CTCGTCGCATCGGCGAGGCGATCCAAAGAACCCTCACCATATCATCCTCCCTCTTTCGGGCAAACTGATTGAGATACTGGTGTCGGATGGAGAGGATGTTGCTGAAAATCAGGTCCTGGCTTTCGTCAAGCAAATGAAGATGGAGCTCGAAGTACGAAGCCCTCGGAGTGGTCGGGTCAAATGGGTTTATGAGATGGAAGATGAAGAGGAGGATGTCGCTGAGGGAATGCTTTTGGTCGAGCTGGAGCCAAACAATGGCAGAGTGGAAGTCCGGGGGAAGTTATGATTCTGCGCTGTATAACTAGACCAAAGGGCTTCAAGGATAGCATTGAGTCCCTCTACAAATCAAATTCGTGAGCACTAGATATGACCAGCAAATCAGCTTTCAGATCCACCTGGTTTCACAGCATCATTGGTCTAGTGGTAGAATTCGTCGTTGCCATCGACGAGGCCCGTGTTCGATTCACGGATGATGCACAAGAATTTCTTTTTTAGTCTTTTTATTTGATGCTCTAGTTCCAACTGATAAATCAATAATCAACAGAATTGGGTTTTTTTTTGCCCGTACCTGTATAAGATGGTCTTTTCTCCAAATTAAAATCCAAATTCGAGTTTGTGTGTTTACTCTTGACTATACGAGGCAAGCGGTCAAGAAGAGCGGTCACCTACCCAGGTGACGTCACCGTCTCAGTTTCCCCATCTACTTTGCCCTCAGTCTCCTCTGCCTTGACCCAGTGTAATTTTTCAGTATGGACGCCCTCGGTGTCTACGTGCTGACCTTTAACTGTGCAAGGAACTTTGTCGATGTCGACGCGTTCGCGAATCATTTCTTCGATGCACTCCCCGCGTCTGGTGCGGGGAGCTCCGCACCCGACCTAATTTTCCTTTCGCTACAAGAGATCGCACCGATCGCCTACTCGTTCCTCGGAGGATCCTATCTATTACCATACTTCGATGCATTCCGCCGTGCCGTCCAGAAAGCCTCGACACAAAAATGGGACCAGCACTATGTGAACTTCCTCAACGACAATACGGGAATGACAGGCCTAATGCTCTTCGCGCGCGATGACACCCTGAGGAAAATCGCCTGGCGCGACACAGCACACGTGGGGTTTGGAGTTCAGGAAATGGGAAATAAGGGCGCTGTCGGGGCACGTCTGGGATACGTTGTTGAGGGAAACTCATCCGAGACTGTTGACCTCACTTTCGTCGCGGCCCATCTGGCTCCCATGGAGGATTCCTATGAGCAAAGGAACATGGACTGGAAAAGCATTGTTGAGCGCCTTGTTTTCACGCATGACAGCAATGGACCAGCAGAGAGGTCAAGCCTGGACGAAAACACCAGCCTTCTCGAAGACGCTGCATCGGCGCACGCGGAGGGCAGTCGCAGAGATCTTTTCGCGCCAAACGCTTACCTATTCCTTGCCGGAGACTTGAACTACCGCACGTCGAATATCGGACCATCGACTCGGGAAATTGAACAATTCCCTCGACGCAATGTCGACCTCGATCACCCGTCGCACTATTCCCACCTTCTGAAGAACGACCAGCTCGTGCGTGAAATGAGCTATGGCAGGACCTTCCACAGCCTGTCTGAGGCTCCGATCGATTTCCCTCCCACGTACAAATACTCGGATGCCGCGCGCGAAGCTGCCCGCCTCGGCTTGGATACTGATGATCATGAATGGAAATGGTCGAATCACCGCTGGCCCAGTTGGTGCGATCGAGTTCTTTTCCTCGATAAGCCCTGGGCTGGTGAAGCTGGAAAGGTCAAACCGCTCGCTTACAATGCACTCCCTCTTTTCGCACAGTCGGATCATCGCCCCGTTGCGCTCGTTGCAACTGTGCCTCTGCGGCCCTCTGACGCATCTTCAAACACTGAGAATATCCGAGCTGTGGCTCCATTCTCTATCGATCCGAGTTGGAAATCCAAGCGAGACATGGCGCGACGAAAGGAACTTGTAGTGGGTGCAGTTGCGTATCTGGGACTGACCAGGGAAGGAAATGGGCTGTTGCTCGCGTCGCTGTTGGGTATCATTGGGGCGTGGTTCATTCTTCGATCTATGCTGGAGGTTTGAGTGACGGTGTGGTGAATGGCGCTAGGAGACTCGCTTTTTTCCTTCTTTTTTTCTATCTCCCGATTTGCGTTGTTGTCTCTTGGGTGTTTTCGGAAGAATATCATGCAATGCTGCCAGTCGGCAGATCCGACACTGGATGAAATATCCCAACTATGTCCCTTTTCCTCTGCATACCTCGGCAGTCTCCAGGGTTCCAGGTTTGTAGTGAGGTTGCATTGTCAGCAGCCTCAATCGAATGTCCTGTGACGGCGGAACTCCCCGCATTTCTCCAAATGGGTGCACCCTGCCCATCAGATAACTCAATGGTCCGATTTACCGGCTGTAGTCCCAATTATGTACAATCAGACAATGCGGTAGATGATTTCTCAGCAACAACCTAAACTAGGCAGTACTCTTTCTGGGCTAAGTCACATGAACTGAGCCAATCCAAAACGGTATGCATTCTGCAGGTGAGAAAGATGGCGTTGAGGGCTGAGGGGTTTGGATTCTCGGATGAGGTCATATTTGACTCTTGCTTTTCTCCCTCCGATTATCGCTCCTTCTTCGAAAGGTTCCCATGACTGTGATGACTGGACTGAGACTGAGGACTGCAGAGAGCTCTGCAGGTCTCTCGGATATCTTTATTACTGTCGCTGTTATTGTTGTCATAGTAAGGTTTTCATTCTTCAGTCTCCTCCACTTCTTGGTTACACCAGGTTATTTTTTATCTTTTTATTTTTTGGGGCTGTGAAGGTCCAGATGCCGAGGTAAATTTTCGATTGTCTTCTAGACTCCAAAATGTTTCTGTTCCTGAACCATGGGCCACTATTCTTTCAGACATGGATCCAGCTGCAGCTGTCCTAAAAATACAAAGGTCTGTTATTACCTAAGTCGGTATATACTATGCACCAGCTCTTCTATATACTATACGGAGTATAATATACTATACATCCATAGGAAATTGGATAGGATGGTATTGTAGCACCAACCATTAACAAACGTGCGATAACGCATGGAACAGACCACATGAATCGCTCAAGTGACCAGCAGAGAGCTTAATTTCCTGATTCTCCAAGCACAATTTTAAAAAGCCCAAGGCCACGTCTAGCCTTCACCGCGTGTACGACATTACGAAAGCATTGCCAAGGGCGGGAACAAATGTGAAGCTGAGGTTTCATATGAGGCGGTGTATGGTCAAAACGTGTATAGAGAGAGAGATCGATCTAGAAAGCTGGACTTCTGGAATGCACAGCACTGGATCTAACAGTAAGCCCTGCATTTTGGTATCTCATTTTCTTACTTTGGAATGTTTCTGGCTGGGCTAAAAAAAAAAAAAGAAGGGAAAAAAAAAGAAAAAAAAGAAAACGCCCGGGCTGTGGATCCACAAGCTCTCCACAGGGATGAAAGGGAGAACCCATACAAATGTAGGACCAAGTCAAAGGGTTATTGAATTGGATTGTTTCTAGTGAAGTTTCAATGACTCAAATATTGGATTGTTATTGGCTTATATACTGATATATAAAATAACGATCAGCTGAGGATAGAGTAGAAGAATAGGGGGTTGGATATACAGTGCTCAATTATCACACAAAAGGAGCAAAAATATGTCACATTGACAGGGCTGATCAGGAGAAAGTGGACAACACGGAAGGATCGGAATGTTCTGTGCAAACTTGCAAACAAAACTGAAAGAAAAAAATTGAGGGAATCCCTTGAGTTCGGTGGAGATTTTTCTAGAACAAAAAAACCAGACCTACTCCATATGGAGGCCCAAGAGCCCAAGACCCAGCATTGGGAATCGAGGGGGCTTCAATGTGAAACCCATTTAATCTGTATAGAATACTAAACGGCAAAAGTGAAGTAAAACAGTAATCCTCTCCCCTATATACGTAATCCCAATAAATGAAGCTTGTATACAATCTACTACCTACTTTCATAGTGTTCATAGAAGTACGGAGTACTTAATCCGAAGCTTAACGGTTTGGTTTGCATTAGGCAGTTTGCATTAGGCGGTTGTTTCAAATTCAGCCTTTCTCAGCTACTCCACCTGTCCCTGCAATATACTTACTTATGAGACTGCAAGTCATTCCGCGATCCTGACGATGCATCGTACCGTCTTTTTTTTCTCTCCCATATATGGCGGATCCTTCATTGGCCCCCCTTCATGCACCGAAGACCAGCATTTGAGCGATCAACCCGCATATTTGGGTCAAGATCGACCGATCGCTGCAGTATTAGAATCTGATGAGGACATATAGGACATATGTAGTCAGTTGTATAGTTCTATGACAATTATAACTCAAATATTAAGGAACATTGGAAATAACCCGGGAAGCACTGCCAAGTGTACCCAATACTACCCAGAGTCCTGTCAAAAAATAATCAACCATAAAACAACCACAAAACGGGTGATTCGTATGGTTCGGCCAGGTTAGAGAGAGATTAAAGAAAAGGAAACAATGTAAAACTGAACAAGAATGGTAAAATAATATAAAACGAGTAAAATAACAGAACTAATAATATAAAACATAAAGGAAAATAATAAATAATACATAAAATAATAAATAAAAATAAAAATACCAAAAATAATAATAAATAAAAAATTAAAATAAAATAAAAAAAACCAACCCCAGCAAACGGCCGTAAATAATAATGGAACCCTAAAAATTCTAATCCTCCTATTTCACTTGGAATTGTATTTGTTGGATTGTTTTACATGTCTAAGCCATCTTTTTTGAGCCTCTAATATAAACCCCGTCATCTTCCCTAGATCTTCTCTTTCTTCAACTTCTCTAGCCTTAACCTTGTGGCTGGATTTCTACGCAACCTTGAACCTCCGACGTCATCGTGTTGTACTACACATTCTAGGCCTTGATCCTTATTCTCCGTTACATTTAATCTTGAGGTGTCTAGTCTACTTTTTTTCTTCCTTCTTTTCTTCTCTCAACTCTTTGAGAAGATTCGCCAACTCAACTCCCTTTGTCGATCCACACTTGATCTAAACAACCCCGGTCAATATCTACCATGTATTCCTGCGCAAATTATCCCCGTGGGTGCCGAGGCCGTGTCAACCGACAAGGAGCAAAGTGCTCTGACTGCGTTGTATGTGATCCCTAAATCTATATATTTGAATCTGCCTATATAAAAAAAGGGTCCTTGCAAAGAAAATTAAGCGAAAAAAAAACACTAACACTTTTCACAGTCTCTAAACTTGCGCCGTCCGGCTTTCGCTTCGCCGTTCGCCCAAACGCGCGATTACAAGCGTGCGCTGCCTTCAGAGCTCTTCGGCGACCTTTCCTCTAAAGCATCTGAGCCTGAGCTGTAATGAACGCAAAGATCGCACACCCTGGGACGGTCCGGGGAATAACCCAGCTCCTCGCTAGGTTGCATCCTGCCGGCTGGGATTCACCTCGCATGGTCTACGGCCGCTTCCTTTGTTCTTTCTCATTCGCCTCTTTTCCTCTCCCTCTCTCCCCACATCTCTCATATGCATCCTCGGGAGTTTCTTTGTTATATATGCAGCGGCCGCCTGCCATCTGCTTTGATGCCTAATTTCCTGGTTCTCTCATCCTACGTCACCTCTTTGATCTCGTCTCTCTACATTGGCCGGGCTAATGAGCGAGCTTCCACGAATCTCCTTTCGGAAACTGGGAATCTTGGCATGGACTTCGCGAACATTTCCTTTTTCACTCGCTTGGGTTTGTTTCTAGGACAAAGAACGGCCCGCACTTTTCTTGTTTTGCATGGAGGATAGATCGCTTCTTTTTTTGCATGGATACCTACTACGGACATGGATCTGCCACTGGAGGGCAGTGGCGCTGATGGATTGGGTTCTTTCAACTCTCCGGTTGATCGTTGATCGACCCCTTCTTTTCCTTGCGCATACGTGTGCTTTGATATTCCTGGTTTTTGCTTTGGTTTTGATTTTATGCCCTATTTTTATGTTCTCTTTAACTCATGTTGACTCTTTTCTTTGTGAACGGTGATGCCATACCCCTCTGTTTTACTTGCGCTTCATATCATATGACCATTCCCCCCAGTGCTAGTGCTATATACCTATTTACATCATTCATACTATTATGTTTTGACCTTCTACTATCTCTACTATCTCGTTTATCCCGCTTCAACAATATAGACCTAAATCCAGAATACTCAGCCCTGTTGACAACATTCCTGATCCACCCTCAAAACCCGACACCCACTTCACTACCCAACCCTTGCAGTAGCGCGTTCGGGTCCAAATGGATATACGCTCAGCCGCAGTGCCGCGGGGCTGTGAAGTTTCGGCCCCAAACCCCCCCTCTCTCTCTGTAACCCGTCGTGGGGGCTCGGCACCCGGCTAGTCCTCTTCGCTAACAGTTTTCAGCCGCAATAACTCCCGCATCTCACGTTGAAACAGATATCCGAGCCCCAATATACCAGAAGAAGAAAAAGATATTCGAAAATACCCCAAGTTTAGAAATACTACTGTGCACACACCCCGCCCATCTCTCAGATCAACTCCCAACAAACTCGCCCGGGTGGGTGTGTGTCTTCACCCTTCATCAGCCCTCAGCACATCCACATCCGTCGTGTCGCATCATCACCCCCGACTCCGCTGCGAAATGCCGAAGCAACCGAAAACAACCCCTGTAGCTACATGCCCGTCAGCATCTAGACCCCGTTGGACCCAAATCTACAGATCACCGCCTTGCTATAGATGCGTAGGTGGCATGCTTTAGCTCTTTCGTTTGGTGAATGGCCCGGCTGGAGGGGCTATGTTGCACGCGGATTTACGGGTTACGGGTTACGGGTTAGGCAGTAACATAATAGCATTTGTGCGAGGATTAGTACCACCTGCGCCGTCGATCGGGTTTTGTTGATAGCTCATGTCATGCAGGGGTCATCCCTGTCTTGGTGGGCGCATACACACATAAGAATGCAACAAGCTCTGGTGGTATTGGATTGACGTCGTTATGGCTTGATATAATTACCTGTCGGAGTATTGGGGGCCCTTTTTTTTTGGCACAGATTGTGTAGGTCATGTGGTGTGCACAGCTGTGTTTCGGGAAATCTAGACTGAGCTGGGCCTGGCGTTTTTCGGAGAATTAATCGTTCCGAGAGATGGGTTTAATTTTTCTATAATATACGATATACGATATACGAGGTATGATGTATGATGTACTCCGTATATCCAATTTTTTAAACTGGGGGATGTGGATAGGGCATGTCACACCTTGCTGACTACGCGGAACGGAAAAGGGGGCGCTTCCAAGGTTCCAAGGTTGTTCCGAATGTACGGAATACTCCGTACTCCGTACAATATAGGAGAATACCAAAGAGAAAGAACCATGTCGATCGCTTGTCTCAGAGATAGATAGGTCCACTTCTGCGTGTTTTGTCCACATCTGAAACTATTGTTTATATTGTCTATATTGTTGTAAGCTAGACATTTTACCTCGGGCAAAAACTACGGCCCGCTAATCAAATATCATATTGAACAGGGGATCAGGGGTGGCCAAGGAAAAAGACACTCAAAAAGAAGAACAGGAGAGGGAAAAATAAGAGAAACATAAAACCCACATTCCACAGTCGGATTCTGTCAAATTTGGGCTCCATCTGAATGTAAAACAAAGCCCAGTGAGATAGACTAACTAAAGCGCTTAGTGTTAAATCTGCTTCTAGCCTCTTCTACTGGCCTTCTATGCTGTTTCTCTTTTTGTTCTTTAGCGTCGAAATGTCAAGCCCCTTTTTTTTCTGTTTTGCTCGGTATTAGGGGTAATTTTCTACGCTCAGCCACATGCTACATACCACATACGGAAAATGTACAGTAGCGGATCGATCGTTGTTTCAGGAACTGTGGGGAATTTGGCACGTTCCATCTCCACGGGATGTCTGCTCTTGAGAATGCTCTAGCTCGTTTGGAATTTCTAAGATCTGTTGATCGCTGTGGGAAAGCATACTCGGATAACCGGGGTGGCGTTGCATTTCCCGTTGACATTTAGGTAGATCGATTAATATTCGTTGATGCCTGTCCCGAGACCTTGGCAATTTTGTTGGGCACTTATATTTGCAAAAGTTACACCTCGGTCATGTTGACTCATATCCCTGAACTTCCAAGGTTACTAGATTATGTATTTAACTGGAATAGAGTGAAAATTCTAAAGGGTTGTCTTGTTAATTACCTACCGAGTAGATTAATACTATATTAACTTGTCTCCCTAATATCCCGATATAACGGCAATAATAATCTGCAGAATGTAGCCAATCCTCGTCATCAGAAAATAGATTGGGCTTCCAAAAGTCTAGAAGGGAAAAACAAGGATCATATGAAATCTAGGTCAAAGACAAGTGAGCTTGTCTACGTCCAATCGAGCCCAAGTGGATAATTTGCCCTGTTGCATGTGCCCGAACACGAACCTCCATACCCACCGTGTCCTATAAGCGTCCGAAGACCCCTGTCCGATCCTCTAATCCGATACAGAAGTCTCAAACTGTCAAACAGACCGTCGTGGATATGTACCCGATCTGATCTACAAGACATACGCCTCTTGGCTGACACTTACCAATCGGCCATTAGTTCCCGGTCTGGAACGCGCCACTGGATTGCGATCATAAGCGCGGCACGGTTGGGAACCTTAGCAGTTGACTCGGCCGGTGTTTAGCCCCCTATGCGTAGTTAAAGCGCCGCTTTGGGACGTAGATCCTTTAATCTCGGGTGCTAGGGTGGTCGGGCGCGTTGCGTGGATACCGGCACTTGGCGGAAGAAATTTGCGATAGATAGATTGGGGGTTTTTTTTTTACCGCCAACAGCGTCATAATCAATATGTTGGGACGTACGGAATAGTCCGATATTAGTTGCCGTTTTATATGTTAGGCTTTCTTGGTGGATCATTGTTCGGAGTTTGCGGGTGGTGGTCACGGCCTATAGAGAGGCTTAAACATTCAATTTGTGGCTCCAATACGGCATCTAGATGTTTCTAGTGCAATGCAACCATCTATACATTCAAAATCTGCCGGCACACCCATTGTGCGGTCTTCGTGTGGAGTGTCCAATCTCGCTCGTCTTCCAAAGTTTCAGTGTCCGTTGTTTCAGCATCATGTCCACCTGCGCTACAGGCCTCTCCGAGTGCCTCGAACACAACAATCTGATCTCTCATGTAGCTGTCTAGACAAGATCTCTTGACGTTGGAATCAGATTTCTGGTCTGGCTGGGCATTGGGACTCTCGTTTGAGATTTCCCCGATGAATCCATCCACACATCGGCGGACTAGATCTGCTGCTGCAGAAAATGCTATTTCATTTTGTGAATTTTGTGAATCTCGTCGAGGGTCACGAGCTGGCTGTTGCTTTTGTTTCCCTTTGTTCTTTGGCTTAGACAGGCGATCGCCTCCCATGCTGCCGAGAATATCGTGGCCTATTCTGAACCCCGAGGAAGTATGTGCAACAAGAAGGATGTACACATGGCTGCGGTGAGTTGTAGCTTCCGATGTGTGTATTGTGATGGGAACTAATGCGTTTTTGGCTGACAATTTGCTGAGCGAGTCCCCTTCGGATAAAGCCGAATTAGAGCGTTTAGCAAATATAGACGGATCCAGCTTCTTCATTTCACGTCGAAGAGTACGTCGGGTAACTTGTTCAATAAACTGGCGAAGAGTACTCCCCGTGCCTTCTTCTGCGTCGGCGTTTAGGGTGGGCTGGTCAGGTGCTAGCACCGTGATATCAATCTGCGTGATTTTTTCCGCGTTTATGATCCATTAGATTAATCCGCGGGAAACTGTATAGAAGCTCAGCTGTCGATTCTTTTTCTGTCGACCTCTGGGGTTGATCTCTATCATCTGGATCATGTCGAGATCTGAGTGTATGTATGAGAAAGGTGACTGCTCCAAGATCAACTGGCCCTGTGGTCCAGCCGCGCTTATTAAGGATAATGGACAGGGGAGGAAGTCCAAGCTTGGCAAAATTGGGCACGATAACTTGTGATGCATAATCATATGATGGAGAATAAGTAGCATTGGTTCCACCAGTTATGTTCACTTTCACAAAGGGAGCCGACGCCTGCGATCCAACATGAAGTAGATACGGGTAGAGGGCCTGGAACACGAGAAAGATGGCACCAGCAGTCGTGAGCTTGATATCGTATTCAGATTTTACATTCACTCGCGACAAGTCCAAGAGCGGTCCGCTTTTTGATCTTGTTGATTGTGGAAAGAAGTTCAAGGACTGGGAGCCAACCTCGCCTCCTGATACTTTGCTGCCGCTGATCTCGGCCAACAGCTTCACTGCCGCGGCGTGAGATCTCTTAAGCCCCTTCTTTCCCTCTCTGTTCCCGCGAACATGATCAATGCTAACTGGACGACCAGTCAATGCAGACAGCCCGATAGCGATGCGAACCAGCTGACCACCTCCTTCCAAAGTTCGGCCGTTCAAATGGACATGGTTTAATTTGGACGAAGTGGATCGTGAGGCCGCCATTTCAGTTAATTTGGGTTATCTTCAACGCTGATGTCTTAAAATCATTCGAAAATATTTCTGCGAAAGACAATCAATATATTCACTTCGACTAGTCTCACCTGCAGTTGGTCCTGAGTCAGATCCTGAGGCTGCGTCATCTTGGCGTGAGTCACCGCTAGTCTAGATCTTGACCCGTGGAGTTAGCGCTTAGCGAAGGCTTAACTCTGGAAGGAGATCAAGATTCACCTGAAGTTGGTAAAATGGACAGAATAAATGTAGAGATGGCAGTTGCCATGAAGTTATTTCGTACCTTCCATGTTGCTAGAGTAGCAGTGCTTCTTTCCATCAAATAATCTCATCTTGAATCTTCCCTCTTCGGATCCCCAAAATCCAGTCTTCTCTAAATTCCTCCTTGTCTCAATACTTCTGTAGTTATATACTCTGCAGACATTTTGTAACATGTTTTCCTCTACATTCAATACACGCAACCTAAGAAGGTCCATGTCCACCCGCTCAATACGAAAGCCGCGACGACCTACCCCAGAGATCCCCGATGTTACCATGCAGCATGCAACCGCTGCAGCTGCAGCTTCGCGAGCAATGCGCTCTAGTCAAAGCTCGTCTCAGGAGTCGAAAAGCTCATACGAACGACTAGGTGGTCCAGGAAACTTTGCCATTCCTCGAAGGCGTCCTGGATCAAGCCTTCGGGGCACCGATGATAGCTCGGTCAGCCAGGGCGACTTGCCTAAAGTTCCAAAAACTCGTCAGTCCAAGGAAATAACTGGCGTATCGGCTCGAGCCTATTGCTTCGATGACCCTGCCGCCCTTCCGCCAATCACAGAACTCGACGGACTTGATGGACGAGACAGCTCAGTGCCCTCTTCATACCGCCGATTGCGAAAGGCCAAGTCAATGTTCTCAACCAGGCAGCGAACTTCACAGACCCCATATGGAGTGCCTGCCCTTCCTTGTGGTGATCCCCTTGATCCCGAGCGCAGTCCTGGATTCCAGCTGCCGCGAACAATGAGACGATCTATGTCCTTTCTTCGAGGGAGTTATCAATCCACACAAGTCAGTCCAACTGCTAAGGGCCATGATGCAGCTATTCAACTTGCTCGCAGCCAATTTTCCCAGGATTCCAACAGTAGAGGTGTTCAGACTCGCCGGTCATCCTTCTTGCTCAGACGCAAGAAGGAGCACAGGCCATTTCGAAAATCGTTCCGGGCTACGAGTGAAGGTGGTGTCGACACCGGGCGTTCTCATCGGTCTTTTTCACACTCTATTAAAAGCAAATTCAGGCGGGTGTTTGGATTTTCCAAGTTTGCGGATCAACAACCTACGCCTCATGGTACCACAAATGGTGCTGAGGCATCTATGGTAACTCCAATTGGGAAAAGCGAGGAGTGCTCTCCGCACAAACTTACAGCCACTGGAGACTGTATTGACTCCAACTATTTCCAGTCAATGCCCCAGTCCCCCGGCCGCGGCAGTCTCTGCACTTCCACTTCACGCGTCACCAGTTGGGCTGATTCAACCATGCCAAACACAGTTACAACCCGAAAACCAGGACATCGCCAATCTCTCTCTTTGGTCAGAGAGGACGGGGGCCTGGATAAGCAAATGCCACGAACACCTGTAATGGATAATACCCAAGATCAATCTCCTTTGGGTATGAGAGCAAACGCTCATCAAATTAGCCTTGTTGACAGTCAAGATCTGTACACTGCGTTGATGAAACAGATGGGCCACGATTCCCTGTCTGATCCCAACGAGGAGATGGTCTTTGGCAATGTGCCACAGCATCGTGTGATTCCAGAACGGACGAATTCGGTCTACTCTCAACATGGCCGACGCAGTATCCGCCATATCCCAAGCGAAGCCTCGACCTCCCCCGGTTCATTCGCAACAGCCCGGGGTGGTGATCAATCCAGTCCACGAAAGTATCCGCGCTCAGCTAAGTCAATGCAAGTTCCTCGTAGCATGCCGCCTCAGGTGAAAATTCAACATATGACTGCTGTTTCAGACAAGAGGTCGCCGCAATCAACGTACACTTTGAGCGAGGAATCGGATGAGGATAGTGGTAGCGTTATTGTTTCTCGCCTTCGGGCCACGAAAAGGGATATTGTTTCCCCCAGCGTCTATTCCAGAACCACAGGTGGCAATACCCCAACCAGAACTGACAATGCCAACATGGGCGTCCATGATGAACCAGGAACAGCGACCATCTTTACTCAACAGCGGACAAAATACAGCTCACCCAGGCGTGCCAATCGGATCTCGTCTCCCGCGCCTCATGTAAATCCCAGTGCAGACTGGCAGCAATGGATGAGCTCGCAGATCGAAAGAATCGAGCAGGCAAGCCCCACAAGGGAACATATCAGGGAAGATGCACAGTACCAGGACGATGATGAATACTTTACCAGCATAGCTCGGCGAGCTCCTGTCGCTGTCTCTACTCCCGCTTCAACAACTCTACTAAATGTTCCAGACAGCCAAAATATCACCGATCGCACAACTTCTACCGAGTACAAAGTCCCGTCACAAAGCAATTTCTCCCGTCCGTTAATCCAAGCTTCCGGCATGCGAACCATCGTACCATTACAGACAACTAAGTCGGAAAATATTGCGCAAGCTCACACTAACTCATTGGCCATGGATACCGCTCCTAATTCTGGTGAAAATGTCTCACCCAAGCCCGTTCCTGTTGCTTGCAATCAAGAACCGTCCCCAATTCGACTAAGATCTGGAAATATGCAGCCACCAGAGTCTCCAATCCCCAAAGGGGTGGGAACAAAACGATCCTGGACCAAGGAACAACAGCGACGCTATTCAGCCAGGCGTGCTCCGATTGCCCAAGATAGCAGGGTCAATTACTTCCGGTCCATGCGCGCCCAACGAGACAACCGTACAAACAATGAGAACGCGAGGCAGCAGGATGAGTACACTGACATGATGGAGAACTACCACCAAATCCAAGACCTTCATTCAACGATCTCTAGCAAGCGCATGGTGGATTTGTTCTTGGACAGTCGCCGTCGACAAATGGGTGAAGTCACTGACAACGATACAACCGCAGAGGCTTTTCTTTGAATGTAAGAGATTGACTCTTTTTGCTGTCGGGATACCTCGAGGGTTTATTTTTTGCTGTGTCATATTCTTTCGGAGATACTGACCATTCATTCGCTCATTCACTCATCCATTACATTTTGGACATGTATACATACTAAAGCTCCGGATCGGGGTTGGGCAGTTTGTTTACCTGATATGGAAGCAGCCATGGTTATGTTTTATTATGTCCACCTAATACAAAAATATCAAGGGCGCTTCGTCTGATATTCACCCAATTTGGAGGAGTAAAATGGGTCTCGAAATTTTTTTTTTTTTTTTAAAAAAAAAAGTGCAAAAAGAAATCTCTCCCTCGGGGAATCGAACCCCGGTCTCCCGCGCTTATCGGTTTTAATGACAAGCGGAAATCATCACCACTAGACCAAGGAAGATGTGATGGTCGAGTTACTGCTCGACCACTTGGCTGGTTGATGGAAGTTCCAGCATACTATGATCTTATGACCACAATCTCAAAACCCATCCCAAAAACAAAATAATTGTCGACTTCAACCAATAATTTATTTAATTGACTGTTAAAGGGAACTTATTTTCTAGTCTAACACGCCGTATACAATTTTTTAAAATATCTACGAGCGGGAAAGATATATATATATGATTCTTTGGGGGAGGAAAACATGAAGCTCAATATATATATCCGTTGACCACATGAACAATAGTCACAGGTGCTGATCACGAATTGTTTTGAATAGCCCAGGGTCGATTGATATAGCCATGAGCTATTACATACAATCAATCTCGACAACTCTTTCGCATTCATTAGGAATTTAATAGCGAAGAAATGCAGATAAATTAATATGTTCAACTAGGTATCTTCATTCCTGGAATAGTTTGTTGACCCACCGATATCCACGCGTGGTATTAAGTGGGTCACTGCGTGCAAGTGATCAGGCCATGTAGGGATTTCCCGTGTGGGTATTGGCCGTGTGGGTATTCCCCGATCCGAAGCCAACATGCCATGTAGGTATTCTTCGAGTAGGTAATTGCCATGTAGGTATACCCCTTTGTAGGTATTGTCCATATATAAGAGAAGAGAAATGGCCTCGTATCTACCGCTGAGCGAGTCGTTCAAGGGACATAACACATTTATCCAACAATGGATATTTTCCTGGACGTTCTGGATACATTGATCCTCGATCGGTGCTATGCATTACTATCACCAGACCCAGCAGCAACCTTCAACAATGATACTCTCTCCACCGCAAATTTGAATCGCCATGTCCGGGTTTATTACCCTATGCAGCCCTCAAAATGGGCAGAGGCAAGCCTTTGGAAGAGAGATGACATTGCTAGACAAGCATTGTCATTATACTTGATCACATGGTAAGTCCTTTCGTCCAAAGAAAAGTATCCCGGTATCTGATGCAGGTCTCGATATACGCAACAGGCTTTTCGCAATGATCATGTACCTCCTCGGTAGCCTCCTACTATACCACACACTGTTCGACAAAAGATTACTCCAACACCCGCGCTTCCTCCCAAATCAAATCAAACTCGAGATCAACCAAGGCATCTCTGCGATTCCCGTAATGGCCCTCCTCACTGTCCCCTTCTTCCTAGCAGAGATCCGGGGATGGTCAAAGCTATATGATTTCACCAGCGACTCTCCATTCTCCGGATACACCTTACTGCAATATCCATTATTTATCTGCTTCACAGACAGTGGGATTTACTGGATCCACCGTGCTCTACATCACCCGCTCATCTACCGTTGGCTTCACAAACCACACCATAAATGGGCTGTACCGACGCCGTTCGCCAGTTATGCGTTTCATCCATTGGATGGATGGTCGCAGAGTTTGCCATACCATATCTACCCGTTCATTTTCCCTTTGCAGAAAGGTGCATACCTAGGGCTATTTATGTTTGTTACTATTTGGACAGTACTGATCCGTGAGTGCTTTCTGATACCCATTGAATCGATAGAATGATGGCTTACATTAATTCTTACAGATGATGCCGAGTACATGCCGGCATCGGCGATAATTAACGGCGCGTCTTGTCACACAATGCATCACCTGCACTTCAACTATAATTATGGGCAGTTTACAACGGCGTGGGATCGTATCGGAGGAACATACCGGAAACCTAAGGGTGATAGTTTCATGGAAAGCCAGCAGAAACTTGGGGACAAGCGTGATTGAGATGGACATATAAGGAAGACGTATTTTGTATTTAAATGTACTATAATAAATAGTATAATAATGGGGCCGTCTCTGTTCTTGACGAAGTCATCATTGGACTCAAGATCATATTAACCAAGATAATAATACAATGTAGTATTAGATGTATCTTTTGCTCTCAAGTGTCGTACCGAAGGAACAAACTAATTAGCCGCAAATTGCACCATACGTTCGGCGACAAACGGATTTTCCATGTGCAACATTAGACTATATTGTATTTATATTCAAAATCTATGGGGTACTTTGGTGACACCATTGAATGAATTCATTCAAATTCCCCAAGTCATCGGTAGCAGTGTTATCCATATACCGAAGGCTGACATCAGATCTGCCAGTAGCATCCAGCGTGGCATTCAATAACCACCAAAGCTCCTGAGCGTGTTTCGGATATCCAAGGTGAAGTAATTGATCCTTATTTAGGAGACCAATAACAGAATCCCATATGCGCTTCCAATTACCAGACGCACAGCGTATTCTATCGAGTGATAGATATCTTAATAACCCGGCTCTCGCTTGGAAGGCGAGGGAGTTAATGGCTATTTTGATGCCGTTAGCAATTAAATCAATTCTTTAGTTTCGGTAATAAACATACCATAAATCAGAATCAGAAGATGCTCCACCGATACCGAAAGACCCCATGGTATTGGGTCATTATTTTTAGGAGTTTCTAGTAACTGCGTGACCACATCTTTCAGGGGAGGGAGTGGGAGCTCTGTCGAGTGCGACATGGCAATTTTGCTGAAAGAAGATGCGTTTTCGGCTTCCCATAACCCGGCACTCCAAGGGAAATGACAGTCCATCTCAAATACCGATATTGATGGATTGTTTTTGAAGCACACTGTGAGGAATCCATCCGCCAGGAAGACCCAACACGCGATTCTTGGAGCTTGTTAGCGACGCATCCTGAAAGAAAAGAAAATATGATAAAGAACGGGATATAAATTACCGTATACACACTTCCTCTGCCACTAAATTTTTCCAAGTTCTCTCATCGCAAACGGTGGGAGCGGTTCCTCGCTTGAGCTGGAAAATCCCCAGGGATCGTATGGTGGACACTAAACATGGATGTCGGACGATGCGAATGCGACGTCGTGTTTGCATATTGTCTTGTCCAAACTGAAGCATCTCAATAATAAGAGCACTCTGTAGTAGCTGTACAGTTGATAATAGATGTGACTGATCTTTCGGTGAAGCGAGTGTCGATAGGTCCGCAATTTTCCGAAATATATACTCTTCTGCGACATCGAAGAGACCAGAGGGTAGGGCTCCTCCATCCAATGGAATGGTATATGTGGCACCGGATAAAAATATCGAGAGTAAAAGAGGATTGGAAATGTTTCCTGGATCGAAGGTTGGAAAATGCACCACGGGTAAATGCCAGTGAAGAGAGTGGAAGAACGCAGAGATAGAAGCAGAAATATTGGAAACCACCAGCAGAGTAGAAAGTTCCATAAAATCAAGGGCGTTTAGCGTCCCTGTACTTCCCAGCCCCATTGACTTTGAAGTATCGACCAACTCTGTCATGATCTCGGATAGTTGGCTGGAAAGCTTTGAAGGGAAGAGTGTATCAGGGCTGAACTGAAGTAGATAATCATCTGTGAAAGAGGGTAGAGTCGATGGTATTTGGAAAGGGAAATTTGTAAGTTGAAAGTCGCTACCAAAAGTCGACATGGGATCAGTGGGAACGAGCGCATCTTCGATATGGGAATTGAGTGTTTCAAGGTTTCTTCGAACAGAACATTTCGCCGTCTCCCCGATCGCCAGCCTGTCCCTTTGAAAAGATGGATTGGCAAAATGTTGAAGGAAAGAAAATGATCCACCATCTGTCGGGGTGACTCGGGGTGTGGTTATAGAGGGTGAGACTGAGGCTACCGCAGAGCAACTGGAATCCCGGGAAGATGTCTCTTGGGCCACGAAAGTGCATTGTCGTCCAAGAGAGCGACAGCGAGAGCATGGTAGATTCCTATCGCAAGATGCTTTGGCAAAGAAACATAGCTCACAGGACTGCCTTTTTCTGCCTGGTTTGGCTGCAGGAGGTGGAGGTTGGTTGAACTTTTTTGCACAGGTTTTGATATGTCTTCGAGTAACCTCACTTTTAAAACATTAGATAATGTGTTCATTATTTAACGATACTTTACATACGGCTTTAGGAATGCTTTGCTGCACAAAGGGCAGCTGGAAGAGAGCTGCTGTGTATCTGGAAGGTGGTCAGCCTATTCATAAATTTTTAAATCGAGATCATCCGACCTTACGAGTCGCTTCATGACGAATTAAATGGGTCTTCCTCTGGTAGGATTTTTCGCATAGTGTACATTGGAACATGGTATCCAGAACAGCCTTTGTTGTCGCAATCGCCGAGGAAGAAAAAGAAAGGAAAGGAAGGGGTGGGCACGGAGGTCAGCGCGTGGACAAATTCTATCCGTGCGTGGCCGCATCTTTCACAAATTGGCAGATTAATTGTAAAGTCGCAAAAATTCGGAGTTTCCATTTCAACAGGCGATTTTATTATTGTCTTAGATGAGAATGTCAGATAGCAACAGAAGTGAGCAACAGAGGTGAACAATGACTACGGAGTAAATCGATCAAAATTTGTCATTTATGCGGGCAATTTAGGACCGAGTACTCCAGGGTATGGAGTACAGCCATAATGCTTCAACATACCATTGAACACAAATGGGGCTGGCTTTACGGCGTAGACCATGCTATGATATGCAGAGGCTGCAAGGGTAATTGATAAACCGTACTAACAATGCTGCATACGATGAGGTTGCTAATGAAACTCTTCCTCCTGGCGGGCCGGGCCACTGGAGAAAGATTGCTGATCTTGGATTTATGATAAATAGTTCGAACGTGGGAACTTCTTTAGTTCTTGTGTTTGATATCTACGACATTTGTGATGATATTTGAAAAGTTGTGGATACCCATGAAGTCCGGATGCTCAGGAGCAGGGGTTCCTTGAGCGCGAGTTCCTGGTTCCCAGTTATTTCCCCAACACCATTGAAAGTAAAAGTAAGCTGAATTTTTGAGACCCATCTAAGCGACTGGGGGCAAATTAACGGAACTTTCCGAACCCCTGGCGTGCACGGAACTTATGTGCATCGAATTCGATCATTTGTGGAGCTATACAAACTCTTTGAAATTTAAGGTATCATATCGACTAGTCAAGAAAGCATGTTTCGCTCGAGGACACAATGCATTGCAAATGCATAATATCGATCTGTACGGAGTACTCCGTACATGCACTGATAATTTTTGCGTAGATCTGCTTGAGGAAATACACAGACTTATGAAGACGCCGGGACAAAGCCGAGACTCGCAGGCAATCATGCACGCCAGACTGTAGATCACACTCCACATGCGGAAACAGAAATTGTGGGGCTCATAAGATCGAAAGAGATCGAAAAAGGCGGTGGGGTTCGCATCTCTAGCGCAGCCAAGGAGATCAAGCCCCCCAAGGGTTAATGAACCATGGGGTAGTGCGGAATTCAGATCCTAAATTTCAATGCTGGTGCAATACTTCGGTGTCCGCGGATGCGATGCAGTGTTAATAGGGAGTACAGAACATTGTTTTTGTCTTGGAAGGAAAAAGTGAATAGGACTTGATTGGCTTCAAATTAATTTAGAGATGCGGCGTACCTGAATAGAGACCCCTGCACTCCGAGAACCGGGGTTCTGCATTGAGTAGGAGGCGCATGATGACTAGTCTATTGGTGTTACGGGGGGTCTCGAATTTAATGAACTAGCTTTTTGCTGGTCCGATTTAGGATTATTCGGCTTATTTCGCTGGATAGCCCTATATTGAAACTCATACCTTGCATGGAGTAGCCCCTGAACTGAGATATCAACACAAAGAACTGCTTGAGATACGCCGTGCATATGGGCTTGTGTGGCGGGACTAGTTCGGGCTAGGCCCCGGGAAGCAATCAAATAAGGCGCTAATTGCATTAGCGGCCCGGGAGTGAAGTGATAGGTCTACCATAAGGTTTGAATATCAGGTTTGCTTCATTGACCAACTTGTCAAAATCGAGTAAAATGAGGAGTAGGCGACCAATCAGAAAGTTATCTACAAGCAAAATGGGCTGGCCTGGTCTTGTGCCTCCTACTTGGCGTTCTTTTTTGGGCTAGGCAATGGCTTGTGATGTAGATCGACGTTTCCTCCCCTATTTTAAGATTGCTATAATGAGGCTACCTGATGGGTTGTCACATATAAGGCTGCCTGTCTCTCTCATTTATTCCTGTTCTTCATCTCTTCGTTGTTGGTTTTTTGACCTATCACTCGTTTTTGCTGGTATCATTCAGCGTCCATTCTTTATTTCACTCTGAATATACTTCCAACCCGCAACGATGAAGCAATCTATGCTTACTTCTCTTGTGGCTCTCGCAGCATCATGCTCGGTAAGCAAGGCCACAGTTCATTGTCGTGGTAATTAGGCATGAAGCTAACAGATTATCCTATTGTATAGGGAGTCCAAGCTGCTGATGGCTTGATCAACGTGCCCGTTAATCTTTGCGCAGCCATCCTCGGAGAGGCTGAATGCGAGCAGAAGGCAGCCACCGTTGATGGTTTGATCAGCGTGCCTGTTAATGCTTGTGCCGCAGTCCTTGGAAGAGCCAAGTGCGAACAAATTTCTTTGTCTTCCCGGAGCCTGAGTGGTGGCCTGGTCAATGTGCCCGTTAATCTTTGTGCAGCCATCCTTGGAGAGGCTGAATGCGAGCAGAAGACAGCCACCGTTGATGGTTTGATTAGCGTCCCTGTCGATGCGTGTGTTGCAGTCCTTGGAAGGGCCACATGCGAGCAGGTTTCTTTGTCTTCCAGGAGCCTCGGCGGTGGCCTGATCAACGTTCCAGTCAATCTCTGCGCAGCTATTCTTGGAGAGGCCGAATGCAACCAAAAGGCAGTCACCGGCGATGGCTTGGTCAATGTGCCCGTTAACGCGTGTGCTGCGGTTCTTGGAAAGGCCAAGTGTGACCAGGTCGCTTCCACTTCCACTTCCAGCGGCGGTGACGGCGACGGTGGCCAGGTCGCTTCCACTTCCAGTGGCGGTGGCGGTGGCCTGATCAATGTTCCCGTCAATGTTTGCGCCGCTATCCTCGGAGAGGCTGAGTGCAAGCAGAAGGCAACCACCGCTGATGGCTTGGTTAACGTGCCCGTTAACGCCTGTGCTGCAGTCCTTGGAAAGGCTAAATGCGACCAGGTCGCTTCCACCGGTACTGGAACCGGCACTGGCACTGGCACCGGCAGCGACAGCGGAAGCGGTAGCGGCAGCAGTGGCGATGAGAGCCTGATTAATGTGCCCGTTGGACTCTGCGCAGCTATCCTTGGAGAGGCCGAGTGCAAGCAGAAGACAGCCACTAGCGGTGGCTTGATCAACGTCCCTGTCAACGCATGCCTGGCTGTCCTTGGAAAAGCCAAGTGTGATCAGGCCTCTTCCACTTCCGGCGGCGGCGAGGGTGCCCTCATCAATGTGCCGGTCAACGTCTGTCTTGCTGTCCTTGGTGAGGCTCACTGCCAACAGAGCTCTGAGTCTAATGGTGGTCTGATTAACATCCCCGTCAACCTGTGTCTGGCCGTTCTGGGCGAGGTTGACTGCCAAGATTCATCGTCTGCCCCTCCCCCGGCCACTACCACCCCCGTTGTCGTTGTGCCAGGCGAGACTACCACCCCTGCCGTCGTTGTTCCAGGCGAGACCACTACCCCCGCCATCATTGTGCCAGGCAAGAGTACCATCCCCGGTGTTGTTGTTCCATGCGAGACCACTACCCCTGCCGTCGTTGTGCCAGGAGAGACTGCCACCCCTGCCGTCGTTGTGCCTGGAAAGACTACCGTCCCCGGTGTCGTTGTGCCAGGAGAGACTGCCACCCCTGTCATTGTTCCGGGCGAGTCTTCCGTCCCCGTTGTTATTCCAGGCGAGTCTTCCATCCCTGCTTGGACTGGCCCTGCAGGACCTGGCTCTGTGCCCTCTTATGGCGGTGCCTCCGCTTCGGTTCCTACCTACACCCATGTTCCTTCCGTCACCGTGGGACGCCCAACCCCCACCGGCGCTTGGACCCGTGTCACTCCTACCTTCACTAATGTCGCCACTGTCTGCAATGCTGCCTGCCAAGCGTCCAAGGCTTCTACCGGCCTCGTGGCTCACACTTCTCCTGCTTACGCTCCCGGCGGCAACAAGCCCAACGCTACCCCCAGCCCCAGCATCCTTCCCTTCAACGCTGCCGGTCGGGCGACTTTGTCCGGGTTTGCCGTTGTGTTCGGAGCCATCTGCGCTGTTGCCATGCAGATCTAAGTGGTGATCTAAGTTTAGATACCATTCAAGGCGGTACTTGGTGGCGACAATTGGGATCGCTCAGTGTGCAGATTTATGGTTCCTGTCGCGTTGGACATAACAGTCCGTCTTTCGTTTTTCCCCTTCTATGTTCAATGGTTTAAATCAGCACGAGTTAATATAATTATACGATATACGTCTCAATTTAGCCTCCTATTCTGACATCTAAGGTTGCCTATCTGTATATGAAGCAAGTATCGTACGTACCCAATTCTATTCCGAAGTTTTACACCAAATGCTGTAAATGGGTCGACCCGCAACCAACAAACGGGTCAGTCAACTCCACTCCTTAAACTCAAACCTCGCGGCTATATCAATTAAGCCCATATGCGCATGTACGTACATACATCACCAATTCCGACGGAAAATGCTGATATGATTCAAGGCAACTCGCTTTGATATTTTAAAATATTTCCTTTTTACGCGTAAAGTAAGAAAAAGAGGGACTGAAAAATTAGGTGAAAATGTCAAAAAATCCTCTGACCCGGGATCGAACCAGGGACCTCAAGATAACAAGTTCCTTGCAGAACAGGGCAATTACAGTCTTGCGCTCTTCCAGCTGAGCTATCAGAGGAGATTATTGGAAAGCTGCCCAGTTTAAGAACCCATAAGTCAAACTGCAGAACAACCTACATTTGAAATATGAAATCTGCAAGGTCAACTTGAGTCCCATGTTGAATATCTAAGGATGAGTCATACAATCTTACCAATTCATCATCACCCTAATAACGTGATATTTGGATTCTTTATGTCTTGAAAGCAGCGTGACCCAAACCACTGTCGTAAGAGAACCTCATGATCATTCAGCATCCTTTCTAAAGGCTCGTATGCATCGCCCCTACAAACTTTGACCTTTTCCTAAACTAAATTTCTATGCTTTCTTCTAAGAGACGTCTTTTGTGGGTCGTTGCAAGATATTTGGATTATCCTGACGAATTTTGAGAGAGAGACTTTGACGAGAAGCTGACTAGAAAACATATTGTTTAGTATTTTCCCCTTCTTTGGAAATACTCCTAGAAAGTTGTATATTGCTTTGGTTGACTAAGAAGGAACATTCGACAGATGGACCTATGTGTAAGTTGAAGCAGGCTCTTTTTACTTATTTGGAATCACGGCATCTCCGTTGTGAGGACTGTGGACAGTTTACTTGCACAGCTGAATTATCTGCGTGTGAGAGTACGACATCAAGCCCTGGTTTCCCCACTCGCCCCCAATACCACTCTGCTTCCAGCCAGAGCAGTAGCCGTATGGGTTGGGGGCTTCGGCGCTATTGATCCATACTGTTCCAGCCTCAATTTTCCGCGCAATCCGCTCCGCATTGCCAACATCATTGGCCCACACGCAGGCCCCTAACCCAGTACATGTCCTATTGACCCTTGGGATCACTTCATCCTCAGTAGACCACATCATCAGTGGAATGATAGGACCGAACTGCTCCATTTGGACGATGCGAGAATCATCTGGTGGTCTGTCCACAACAATAGGTGCGATGAAGAGTCCTGGCTGCTCGTCGTCGTCATTTCCCCCACAAAGAAAAGTGTAGTTGTTTTCTTTGCAATCAGCGATGAGATCCTTGACTACCTTATACTGTGACCCATTTTGGACGGGACTAAACAGAGGTGACTGGTCATCAGAAGGGTCGATTTTGATGTTCTTCACTGCCTCCACAAAAGTGTCCCGGAATTCTTGGAAAATAGCCTCATGCACATAAACCCTTTTCGTAGCAACGCACATTTGGCCCGAATGGAAAAAGGATCCCGTAGCAACCTTACCAGCAACGTGTTTGACATCAATATCGGGGCAGACCACACTTGCATCGTTTCCACCGAGTTCGAGTGTCACTAGTTTCAGAGTCTTGGCCGCGCTTTCAGCTACTTTTTTCCCAGTCGCAATGGACCCGGTAAAACTAATCTTGTCGATGCCTGGATGAATGGAAATGAGTCTTCCCATTTCGCTATCTCCGTTGAGTGCCTGGACTAGACCCCGCGGAAGCACGGACGTCGCAAGCTCAACGAATTTCAAAGCGGCACATGGGGTGAATGGTGACGGTTTGATGATGACCGAATTTCCCATGACGAGGGCTGCAGAAATTTTGCCAGCGGCTAAGACGAGCGGAAAGTTCCATGGGCAAATCGCACCCACCACTCCTATAGGATGATGGGTAGACATGATCTTGAGGGTCTCGGTTTCGTGATCCACTTTATCAGGCAATGACTGAGACGCTACAATAGTAAGCTTTCCTGGCTAAGAAATATTTCTGAATGTAGATTTGCAATACCATTAAACCTGATGAACGCTAAAGTATCATCAATCTCCATGTTTGTGAGGGTATTCTGGGAAGTTTATTAGCAATCTTTTCGATAATCACAATATGGAGGGGATTTGTTACGGATTTTCCGGTCTCCCCTGCTAGAGGAGGCTGTACTTCATCTCTTCGATGTTCTAGTTCATCGGCTAGTTTGAATAGGTACTTCTGTCTTTCCCCGATAGACAAGAGCTTCCATGATTCAAACGACACCCTTGCAGCCTCCACTGCGTCATTAAGGTCCGTCTCATGTCCGACTGTCACCTCGCAGAGGACATTATGTGTCCTGGGGTTCGTGACTGTTGCAAAATCTCCGGACCGGCGCTCCGAGTTGATAATATTGTAGAACATTTCGAGATCTCAGAAAAAGGCAAAGTCTCAACCTCAGAGCCGAATAAAGATGAAAGCCGAATAAAGTATAAAATGCCGGGTGAATAGTAGGTCAACAAGCTTCTCCCACATTTGTGACGGGATTTCTACATCATTTTACCCCGAATCGGATATTAGGTGAGGGCGGGCCGACTTTGGAGGCTTCGGATATAAACAAAAATAGGTTCTATAATTAGTGGAGGAGCTGACGTCGAGACTATGTCGAGGGATACCGAGAGGAAAATATGCCCGAGAGGCTTGAACAGTACGCTGAGATGGGCCCCTGAATTAAATATAGGTTTGTCGTTGGAGGTCAAACATTCCGATTATGAAATAATTACCGTTGCTAATTATCCATGTTAAATCTCCAAGTTACGATGAGATCCAGTTCAGGACAAAGAGTGTCATCGTATCAGGTGGCTTCAGTCCTTGAAAAATGTAAGGAAATCTGTTTCCTCGGTGAGGGTTGATGAATATTGTCACTGACAAATTGCTCTTCAGCAAGGTCCGAATTTCTATTTTGAGACACAAAAACTCGCGATCCCAACCAACAATCACCAAGAGGTTCTCGTTGAATTAGATGTTACTGGATTTTGTGGAACCGATCTTTCACTTGCACACAGCTATCTTGGTCCATGCCAGACGATTCTAGGCCACGAGGGCGTAGGCCGGATCTCCGCCGTAGGCTCTTCGTGCCCAAGCGAGGCAGCTAGGGTAGGCTGTCTGGTCGGTGCTGGCTGGATTCGTGATGCATGTGGATCCTGCCGCGTATGTGACAGCGATATAAAAGATAAGATACGACGTCTAGAGCAGGTTCTCGGTGGACGTAATGTGCCGGGTACCCTGGTCAGGTATACCGTCATACCGGAAAGGTATATCACGCCTCTGCCCGATGGAGTCCCTAGTGAGATGTTGGCGCCAGTGATGTGTGCCGGTGTTACGGGTTATGAGGCACTCAAGGTGGCAAACATCGCAACAGGTTCGTGGGTTGGTATTGCTGGCGCTGCAGGTGAAGTGGGATCGTTGGCATTATCAGATGTAAAGTAGATGGGCTACCGACCTATCATGATTGACGGAGGAGAGTAGCAAAGATCTCTGTGCATGGATGTAGTAGTAGAGGCCTATTTGGACTTCGAAAAAGAGGACAACATGAGGAGTGCCGTGCTGCTGAAAACGGAGGGCAGGCTTTGTTCTGCGATTATCGTGTGCGCTGGAGCTGCATCGGCCTACGAACAGGCCTTGAATTGTCTGGATTACCACGGGACAGTGGTCGCCGTAAGTATTCCTCCGCCTCCTTAAAATATATCTCTTCATCCCATCTCTTTGATCTACTATGGAATTTGGATCATTGGGAGCATCGCGGGCGATCGCGTGGATATTGCAGAGGCTGCAGAATTAGTTCGCAAAGAGGTAGTGTAACCAAGGGTCACAAAAATTGGCATTCACGAGCTAGACAACTATGCTGGATGTGTGAATGAACTGGATGGGAAGCTTGTTGTGCGGCTAGGCCCAAAGGTTGGGTGAAGATATTTTGTGAGTTGCATGTTAGGGCTTCATGTTCATCGATTGGCGAACAAATAAATTGTTTTAAGCTTGAGAAGCTTACTGAATAACTTATCCGAATGATACTGACTTGGTATTAGGTGCAGAAAAGTCTCTTAAAAAAAGCGTACTCCATTTTTTACCTCCTTGAGTTTTGACTTCTTCCACCATCCTCCAATGACTGTGCTAAATAGAACTTCACGTAGTCGCTACCACCAAGGCCCCCAAATTCTTCAATGCCCTAGCATTAAAAGCGACAACAATAAAAAAGCCAGAGATCGCAATAGAAACCCCAACTTCATGAAATCATCAGAATATGTAAAGGTGTCATAGTCATAGCGGTGAGGGTCTTACATATTATCGGAAATATCCACCATCCCTGATAGCTAACATTACCACCCTCATGTGGAAAGTCTGACACGTCCAATGCAAACAGGCTGGTCAAGAAGGACGCAGGGAGCTATAGGCAGATCAATACCGGGTTACGAACAGATCAATTAATCAATATCACTAGTGTGTCACTTACAAAGAGGATGGTGACCACTGTGAACACCATGACTGTATCACCTTGTATCGCAGTGTCTTCGCTTTGTTTTCGTGTATACTCCGCTTCGAAAATATTGGCTTGTTTTTGTTTCAAGTCCAAAAGAGTTGAGAGAGACCGTTTGACCGTTTCAGTTTGTTGAATCATTTCCTCAATCTCAGCCTTGATCTCAGACGGATTGAAACCACCCGAAATTTCACCATAGTCATTTTCCGGCTGCAAAGCTTGCTGCCAGACGTTTTCCTGGTCTTGGGCCACCTTTTTCAACATATTGAGCTCTTCGTGTATATCTTTGACCTCTTTTAAGAGCTTAGTCTCCTCTAAGATTCCCAAATGAGGATTCGCATTGTGCTGTTCATGCGTTTGATCTCTCCCTTCTTGATTCCCGTTTTCCTGATCTCCGTTGGTAAGTGGTTTTTGTGGTTTCCGCCATGCTTTGAACCAGTTTTTCCATTTTGGATCGCTTTTCTCGTATTCTTTCGGTAAGAGGGATTTTTTGAACGCCTCGAACAGCTCTGTCTCTTGTGTTGTCTGGATTCAATTAGCTTATATTCGTCCCATTAGAGCCCCCCCTTTATTCTTACCACTTTCACGATGGTTTCTCGGAAGACACCCAAGGGTGATACATTCCTACCAGAAACGGCGATATCGTTCTTTCTGAACAAGCCTGTGGCTGTATTGAGAATCAAGTGCATCAGAAAGTGGACTGTCACAGATGAGACATGCTCCTGTGCCCTAAGTGCAGCCAAGACTCGATCAAAGAAAACGCTCTCCACCCCCCTGGTGCTGCCGTTGTGCTTGTAATGATGGTCTCTTTTCATGAAAATGTCAGCTCAAGGTTGCAAATTGGCCGTTCTATACACATACTATCGTCAAGGATCCATAGCCATAATTGGTCCACAATCAAGATATTAGTTGGGTTATTTATTGGGTATGGATTTGGGTTGCCGTAACAGCGCGAGAGGACTTGGTCTGTATCTCGTTCCATAGTGTCACTGAGAGAGACATGATAAAATTGATCGAGTGTCATAGACTCATGTGAGGTATTGCCCATGTCAAAAGACTGGCCATTCCTTTGCTGATCCTCGTTGACTTCAGCAGTTTGTCGTTGTTGGGGCAACATATCCGACCATTTCTGCCAAAATATAAAGGGCATCTGCATAGAGCTCATTAGCACAATATTCAATCCGAAGATTGATGTCTGTTACGACTGACGAAGAGAGCAATCTTCCTGATAGAGCCTGCCCCTTGCCCATCGGCATTAGCTTTGAGGCCCGCGTCACCAGCTTCCACAGCTAAAAGATCACTAAATGCTGCTGAATTGGGAGTCCTCTTAAATAAATCCGTTAGAAAAAATTTCATAGACGAAGCGAGGCTTTTAGCTTATCTTAAAGTATTTATTTCAACTCACCATTATAACAGATTTCGGATTCATGTACCGTTTTCCTATTCCACCAGCACGAACTTCTGTACCACTTTGCCGAACAAAAGCAGACAAGGAGCGGGAGTTTTTCTTCTCAAAAATCTTGTGAACGAGATTCTAATAGAAATTAGCCCGGGTCTTCAAACAAAGAAACAAATGGGGTATACCTCAATGTGCGTGATCTATCAAAAACCTAGTCTTCAGCATAAAGTTATGACTTCACATAGAAACATTGAAAACACTCACGTTGTTCACGGGGATATGAATCCATCGAATGCTCGGTGTCATGGGCTTAGGTTTATGTCTAAGCTCTCCCTCAAGAATGTCCTTTTCGAGGTCTTTAATATAGTGATACTCTATTTTGTTCATTATGACTTCTGGTCCTTTGTTGTCAACAATATCAGCAATGAGACTCCGCTGGACTCGAAACTTGAATGGTCTTTCTTGATAATTCCAAAAGTCAATTATCTCTCCACGTATCTCCCCTGTGTCGTCTTCAGATCGATATCGACCAATGGGTGTATGGTCAACCACCTGAGCTTGACGATGCGTCATGCGTGGAGGATTTTCAAGAATATTTTCGATCATCTTGTATTGCAGGCGCTCACGTAAAGGAATATTATGAGATGGCAAAGAATCCATAATACGATTGCATTGGCGGTATTCATCGGCGGTTAGGTAACCTCGCCTTGTAAGAAAGTGGAAAGCCACAGTGGGAAAGCCAAGAGCAATGGCCTGGTATAAAGCAGTGAGCCCGGGCCTGATCGAGCCCTCCGAAAGGAATGTATTTCTGACCCGTGTAAGCTCAATGACCCGCACCCATAATACATCAAGAACAGATCCTAGAATTTGAACAATATCAGGTGATTCAAACCGAGTAACAAGCTCCAAGAACACCTGAAAGTTCACCTCTGATTTTGAAAAGGATACTGTATCGTTCAGTATCTTCTCAGATAAAGTTTTCCACAGCCATATCTTGGTTTCGTGGTGACTCCTGGTGTCTCCTGCTGCCGCAAGTGAAATCAAGGTTTGTTTGTCACTGTTGTCATCGCTGTCTCCTTCGTCCACGTCCATTCTTAGAGATTTGCTTTTAAGAATGGCATCCAAGATATAATCAGAGCTAGGCTCATGTTGTTCTGAGGAAAGGTGATTCAGCAGGACAGACAACAATTGTTGATGTCCATGCTTAGCTGCCAGATAGAGTGAAATAGGCTGTGCGTGTCCTGTCGCCTCGAGGACCTTCTCCATAACATGGACACTTCCGCCGAGTGCGGCAACATTGACCCACGATCTTGCCTCTCTTTCTAAGTCGAGAATAACCCAACGTGTCAAACAGAGATCCAAAAGTCCGTCGAGACCATTTGATAAAGCAAAAAAGGTAACTGCGGCTCGATTTTTCTTTTCCAAGTTTTCGTCGGAGGATTCGTCGCGTTCACGCTCGTTGTCTCTGATCCAATCAGACAAGACCTCAATTATTGGTCCCAGTTTACTTTTGGGGGATAGATACGGTTCAAAGTCTGCAGGATCCTGAGGGGAATGTACTTCTGTCCTCAACAGCCGGAGCACAATTTCGTGTCGATTGTGAGACGTTCCTGATACAGCAAGTTCCAAAGGCGTTTTTCCCCACGCATCTTGTGCAACCATCATCTGTCTTTGAAGTCGGTGGAATACTTCTTCCGAGATGTTTAATGGCCGATCAAGAATTGCATCAATGATATTGGTATTCCCAGCCTCACAAGCACGGTGTAACACATTTTGCTCGTCAACATCCCGAGAAGTAATGTTCACATCATTATGAAGTAACCATTTCGCAATGGCAAGATGCTTTCCTTTGATAGCAAGGTCAAGTGCTGAATCTTGATTCATATCGCGATCGGTGGTGTTTGATCCTTGGTCCACCAAGTACCTCAGGGTTCTGAAGCTTCCAAAATTGGCAGCATGGAGGAAAGCAGTCATCTTGTCGAGATTTCGGCTCTCGAGAAGTCCAGCTCTTCCTAAGATAGTTTCTTTCTCAAAGATTTCTTTGACAGCATCCAGGCGCCCATACTTAGCTGCACTAAGGAAGGCAGTATCTCCATTGATATCCCGTGCATTGATATCCGCACCATACTCACGCAAACACTTCAGGAGACCTGAATGCCCAGATTCAGCAGCGAGAACAAATGCGGTGCGCTTCTCAACATCTCGAGCAGCCACGCTAGCTCCTTGTTTAAGTAAATACCAAAGGACGTCTCCATGTCCCTCTTCAGCGGCTAGATGTAAGGCGGTCTTCCCATCCTTGGTACGTGTCTCCAGTAGATGAGTTTCCAGTTGATCGGGGCCCAGCCGACGAGCAATCGATTGCATTTTCTCATGTTCCCCCTTTCCAGCAGCAGTTAACCACTTCTTTTCATCGTCTTCCATATAATTTTCCATTGGAACGACTAACTAAATGCAAATGTGTCGATAAGATGCGTAGGCTAGTTGGTTATAGAAAATTTGGTACCTGAACATCTACAGGTGAACAGTGGTGAATAATATATAGCACTCAAGTGCTCGAGGGCCATTCGAAGCCCCCTCTTCTCTTAGCGCCCATGGGCAAAGGATACATTTCAAGTGGTTGGACATGAGCGCCTGGAATTTCGGCCCAAATGCACACATGCCTGGCTGGCCTAGGATTAAAAGTACAGTTTGCGCTGTCTAGTTCGTAGGTCGGCAGCTACAGTTCCCATGGGCCAATCATTCGTCATGGTTGGCGGCATCATGATTGGACTGGAATTCACGGGCTGTGTGCAGATAAGCTGCAGATCACGTCAAAACCACGAGGAACCTAGCCTCCTTCTTCCCTAGTTATCGCCCTGTCGAGCTCACAATTCTTGACCCCGGTCGCGCGATTGCAAGGCAGCGCTGACTTGTGTTGGATGCCTGAGGCATCACCATGTGATAGAACCCATAGTAGATAGTACACCTGCTCTCTCTCCCCCTTTCTCTCTCCTCGGTCTGTCCAACTCAATACATACAGTCTTTTCTCTATGAGTACACTCGCACTGTATTAGGTTATGAGTCCTTTCTTTTGCTAGCTGGACCACTAGCAACTCTTTCTCTGAAGCCATTTTCATCTGGAGACTTTTGACGATCCGACCCCACTGTGGATCCACCTTGTGAGTGGTACACTCGGATCCAGCCAATAACATCCAGGAAATCCTTCGAGACCCCGCCGGCAAAAGCTCCGTTTAGCTTTACAACCCAATCATGGCCGACGTCGCGACCGGAAATGTGGGGGACACCAACCCGCAATTTCACGACATATCGGCAAACCCGATTGATCCCAATGAAGTCCCATCCTTGAACAATCCGATTCAATTCGCACAGGATGATAGTGATAGTGAGGATGAGGATAACAAGCCGTCCCATCAGGGACATGGTCTGCCAGCGATTGCAATGACCAAAATTCAGAAAGTTCGGACACTGGAGCACAATGACACCGACCCGAGTGGTTGGAAACAGGCATTAGCGTACCAGTTGATCCCATACGCCTTGGAATGGTTACTAGATAGTGACGTTCCTCGACCTCCAAAGTCGCATGCTTCATTCGAAAGATGGAAGTACTGGTCTCGCTTGGTTGCAAGCTGGATGTACAACCAAATCGATGTGACACTGCAAAATAAACTACGCAACTTGTCAAAGATGCCTAAGTATGCTGATCATCTGTACGATGAACTTACGGCCATGACACAGGGTAGTGACCGGATGCAAACGGCGTTCCTCGAGATGCGCAAGTTCGACAAGATGAAACGTTCCGACTACAACTCGGCAAGCGAGTACATCGAGGAATACCAGCGTCAGTACCACGTACTTGCTAGATTCAAAGCAGCACCACACCCAGCACACGGATTGTCACAAGTTCTCCAAAATCTTGAACTGGAAGTCAAGAAGGTCCAGTTCATTAGGGAGGAAGTCGCAAGTCTGGAACCCAAGAAACTCAACCTCGACAAGGTCGAGGAGTACTGGAGAGCACTGCAAGCAGCGGCAGACATGGAAGGTGTCACTAATGCTACGTACAACAATAACAATGCCGGCCGAGGCCGAGGTAATGGAAGAGGTGGTCGTGGTGGTAACCGAGGTGGCCGAGGCGGTCACAACAACGATCACAATGACGACAATACCCAACCAACCAGAGACATCAATGCTATCGACGACGACACGGCAGCAACTACGAAGAAGAAGAAAAGGAAGCTTCGCAAGCAGCCTGCCGATGGCAAAGACATTCATGAATACGCAAAAGAAATGCGTAATGGCACACAAAAGGATGACAATACCATGTGCTCATTCTGCGGTTTTGGACCACACAATGCAAAGAGATGTGCCTACCTCAGCGACAACCCACCATCATCATGGGAGCCATCAGGTAACCTGTGGGCCTATTCAAAGGCTATCCAGAAAGCCCAACGTCAAGACGGACAGAACAATATGGTCGTCGCAGCTGCCAATTCGGTTGACAGGAAGAACGATTGGTTGTTAGACACTGGTTCTGACAAGACATTGACACATGATCTCGAGGACTTTCACACGTACCAGCTGGATCACCCTGACACTGCCTATGCGTACAAGGATTACTCTGGCAACAGAGTCGTTACACTAGGCCATGGCGAAGTCATTGTGAGAACAGCCTTACCAGGACTAGATGGAAAGACATACTCGTTCATGACAACTGGTTACTACACTCCTGGGGGACACGGCAAGCTGTTTGGCATGCAAAAGCTTCTCGAAGAGCAAGACATCTCTTATGACACGCGTACCAAACATCTCACAAATGGAAGGGGTGACATCCTAGGGTATGCGGACACGTCAACTGGTGTTCCGTACCTAGTCAGTCCAAAGGACGACGATGACCCCAATGAGATCAAAACAGACACAGATGACGATGATGAGATCGGATTTGTGAACAAAGTGACTGCGTATGAGATCCACCGACGTCTCGGACATGCTGGAAAAGCACGAATTGCTTCTACACTGCAACATGCAGAACAACTAGGTGACGATGAACAATACGGCACTGAGCATTTTGACTGTGACGCCTGTTTTCAAGGCAAATCAAAACTCAAGATCTCCCGTCAACCACAGGCAAGGGTACAGGACGTGGCATGGAAGTTTCACGTTGATACACAACCAATGAAGCCTACTGGACCGAACGGAGAGAACTACTGGCTGCCAATTGTCGACGATGCTTCTCGTTTTATTAAGGGGATCATGCTAAAGAACAAGAGTGACGCTTTTCATAAGCTTACTGCGTTCTGTGAGAAGATCAAACTACTCACTGGTAGATACCCAGGCATCTGGCGAATGGATAGCGGAACAGAGTTCAAAGAGTTCATCAAATGGGGTGAGAAACGTGGTATGACTTTCGAGGTCACACCACCGTACACTGCCGAACCAAATGGCACGGTCGAGCGATTCGGAGGACATATCAATGACATTCAAAGAACCATGATCATCGATGCCAAAATGTCGGAAGACATGTGGCCGTACGCAACTGACACAGCCATCTATATCTACAACAGACTAATCAACCCGAAGACTAAGATCTCACCACTGACGCACTGGCGTCAAGAGCTTGAAATTCCTAACCCAGAGCCTTCTTTAAAGCACCTTAAACCATGGGGAACAGCTGCATACGTTCACATTCCAAAGGCCAAGAGATCACAGGCAAGGAAAGCAGCACCTAGAGCATGGAAAGGTATGCTAGTCGGTTATGAGGGGGACGGAGGTCATGTCTACAAGGTGTGGGATCCAACCAACAAGAAACTGGTCGTGTCGCGGGATGTCGGTTTTCCACAACCTGGTGATGATGAAGATGACACGGATCTGTCGACAAAGGAACCACCTACAGATCCAAAGGACCCAGATGATGACGATACTGTCGGATTCATGCCTATCTCGTTGACACAAGGTAATGAAATCTTGAAACCAGAGGTTGAGAAACAACTGGTAGTGAGTACGTTACCGGCACAGACACCAATGCGTATGACTGTACAAACACCGGTTACGCCGTCTACAATTCATCTACCAACGATCTACGGCAGTGCGTCTACGATGCCAGAAACACCACAAAAGGCACCACCACAGAAAACAATTGCTCCACCAATAAAACAGCGCAAACTATTTCAAAGCTTTCTCCCAACTGTGCGAGAAGAGCCTATGATGACAGGCGCGAGAATCACTGAGATCACTAACCCTCCTACTGAGAGTGTTTCACAAGTTTCTGATGACATTTCACGGAGGAGAGAAGATTTCGGGAGGAGACTTCAACAACTGTCGAGCCAGGTGTCTCAGTTAGCCGAGAGTATGGATGACGTTCGTCGAGATGCGAACAATATCGAGTCAGCCATCACTGAGGAAACAGATGACGGTACTTCTCCAGTGAGACAGGAAGCGGTTTACGAATACCCATTCTCGTCTCCAATTCAACAAGCTAGTGTGTCACCAAGTCGTGAGACCACACAAGCTTCAACAAATACCCAGGTCAGTGTGTCACCGAGTCGTGAGATCACACAGACCACGCCTGCTCGACAAGCCAGTGTGTCACCAAGTCGTGAGATCACACAGGCTATCGAAACAAGTACTGAGAACACACCGGTTACCGCAAGATCAGAGATGTCGCCTAGTCGTGAGATCATCTCAATTGAATCGTCACCGGACCCCATTACCCTAGACCCAACTCCGGTCCCGCCCCTACCCCGACGATCGAGACGAGCGAACATCGGAATCGCGCCCAATCGATACCATGACCCAAAGCAGAAACACCTCGCCGTCGAGTACGAGAAACGAGAGCGAGACATTCAACGCGCAGCCAAGAGGGCGAACGCGAAGGATTCAGGCGGTAATAATATGACGGAGGGTGAGGGACAGGGGTCTGCGGGACCTAGTGCAATGTCTGCGACAGCTGATGTGTCTGCGTCAAAGATTGACATTGACGAGCCATTTCTCTACAATGGGAAGCCCCTGTATGCAAAGGACGTTGACCTGCCATCTACGTACAAACAAGCACAGAAGAGCCCTTTCTGGCCTCAATGGCTAGACGCTATGCAGAGACAACTGGGTGATCTCGTGGCTAAAGACACATGGAGTCTGATTCTTAAGCCACCAAAGGCTAAGATACTGCCAGGTCAATGGCGATTCACTGTCAAGTCCAATACCAGAGACGAAGTCTATGAATTCAAAGCACGATGGGTCGTGTGTGGAAATTTCCAAGATAAGAACGACGGGGAAACATATGCTCCTGTCGTCGCCGAGTGCATGATCAAGATCGTTTTCACACTGATTGCAGTGTATGGTCTGAAATGGAGACAGGTTGACTTCACCGCCGCATATCTCAACGCGTCGCGAGAACATGTGGAGACAGTCTACATGAGACAACCCACAGGTTTTGAGCATGCAGATGCACAAGGAGACAAGAACCAATGGGTGTGTACACTCAATCAAGCGCTCTTCGGACTACGTGACTCTGCTTTCCTATGGAACGAAGAGATGGACTGCAAACTACGTCAGATTGGCTTTCGTCCGCTGGACGATGATCCCTGCGTTTATGTCAAAGGCAAAGGCATGGGGTTGACTATCATGATGATCCATGTGGATGACTTCATCATTGCAGCGCCTACTGACAAAGAGATTGAGAACGTCGTCAACGAGCTCCGTCAACACTACGATCTGAAGGATCTTGGTGAACCGAAGCAGTATCTGAACTGTGCGCTACACAGGGATTATGACAGACGTACGATCACTATGTCACAGAAGGCCTACGTACAGAAGGTACTACGGACAGCTCAAGCCTCTGGCTGGAAGGATACACCATTACCAGCAGCATGGAGAGAAACACCAGCTGACGCAACCAACGTACTGGATGACGAAGCATTTGATCAATATCAATCCATCGTGGGTATGTTAAACTGGCTGGCAGTCAAAACCCGACCAGACATACGATTCGCAGTGACACGTTTGCAACACCGACTGGCAAACCCCACTCTCACTGACTTCGACGCAATGCAACATGTGGTGAAATATCTAAGGAGACGACCGGACATCGGAATTGTACTGGGTCGAACTGACGAGCTTCGCTTTTACGCACATGCAGATGCTTCACATGCGGACTGGGAGGATAGTAAATCGACAGAAGGATGTGTCTGGTACCTCGCCGGATCACCAGTCATGTGGTCTACGAAGAAGCAGACAATTACGGCTAATTCGACGACAGTTGCAGAATGGTGTGCACTGGATCAACCTTGCCGAGACGCAATGTGGTTGAGCAAAATTGCATATTCATTCATGCTTCCGGAGCAGCGTCCGACGGAGATCTACACTGACAACATCAATTCTCAATTGCTGATCTCGAAGAAAGGAGGAAAATCGGCGAACAGATGGCTCAATTTACGTTACTTCTTTGTCAAGGATGCAGTGGCACAAGGACACGTTGAGATTCATCGTGTGGACACTAAGAGAAATGCCGCAGACGGGTTTACTAAGGCTCTGGCAAAAGACCAATTCGAGGTTTTTACTGAGCTAATTGGCATGTGCTAAAATCCACAGGAATTTGCAGAGTTTTACTATGTACGCCGGAATTGGAGACTTTGATAGAGGGACTATGCAGGATTCTATGAGGGGGATGTTGGATGCCTGAGGCATCACCATGTGATAGAACCCATAGTAGATAGTACACCTGCTCTCTCTCCCCCTTTCTCTCTCCTCGGTCTGTCCAACTCAATACATACAGTCTTTTCTCTATGAGTACACTCGCACTGTATTAACTTGTCACTCGGGCGCCACCATATTAGCGGCGCAACTCAGGACGACTAATTAATAGTCAGCTGAATTATCATTATGGAATAAAATCAAAAATAACACAGGTAAGCACCGTCTGTGGCCTCAATGGCTATCTGAGATACCGTCAGTCCGGGCGCGCCGGCCCGAAAGATTCTCTCGCCGATTGCCTACGTGGCCACCACTGCTTGCAGACAGGTCGAATGCCGCTCACACCTAAAGGTAGGCCATATAGTGATGTGTTAGGTTGAAAAAAGGGGGGTCATAGCGGCTTCACGTACGATAAGAAACAAACCGCCCATTGGGAACAGATACGGGCGATCCACATCGTCTTGGCTTCGCATCAAATTTTGAATTATAATCGTCCGACACAAGAAGCAGGCTAGCATAATTTGTCTCAAACGTACTTGAATATTTGGAGATACACTCGCTATTGTTGAAACGCTTGAGGTTTTCTTTCATGTCCTTCTCCATAAGTATTGAAAATATCGTATCAGGCGAGATTTGATTAGGGAGCGTCACATTGTTTATATCAAAACTTGGAAAGGGCTTGTTAGCCACAAGCACTTGGTACTTGTAGAATGAGAGGGTCTGGAAAATGGCAAAGTTAGACCTGGCGGGGAGAAAAACGAGGCATTATACCTAGTGGGAATCTCGCGAATAGCATCAGACTTACATGAGATGGAAAGGGGGAGATGGAAAAGCCAAATGGATCCAAAGAAAAAGCTTTATCTGGGGAATATGCCGGCGATTCCGCATGCTTTGCACGCCAATATCCGGCCACATTCTTCTAGAATGTAAAGCTATATATCTATGAAGATAATTTCTCGTAAACAAACCTGCAAATAGCCTGTGCTACCACGACTCCATCATGTTCATTTCCCGCACGCGATAGCCCACTCTTCGCCAAATCTTCTCCGAGGATACCCTGGCTATGTCGCATATTGATCATGCTCCTGATTACAAATTCATCATGCTCTGGATGGCCTTGCACAGTTAGGATCCGCTGAGGCATATATATCCCTTGTACCTGGCACTTAGGTGTTGAGCCGATATTAACACACCCTATCGGTACCTCGTGCACGATATCTCGGTGCATCTGGTGCAGAGCCTGTAGAGACAACCTGTTAGCTAACAATATCTTTGCCCTATGCAGCTATATAAATGGCGTTGTCAATGACATACCAAGGTCTCCTTCCCGAATAACGACCATCCAGGTTCACTCAATGCAATCGGTTCCACGGCGATCTCCCACCCCTTACTACCCCGTCCGATAGAAGCACCTAGCGCCCGCGCGATAATTTGGTGTCCAAAGCAAATACCCAGGATCAGCTTGGTGGTCTCCTTAAATATCTTGGCCACGTATTTCGTCAATTCGATGATCCAGCCAGAGTCGGAAAATGCATCCCATTCTGTGCATGTCAGTCAAATGGCCGGAGGTTGTCATTGTCTGGTTTAGACATACTGCTTCCAGTCAATAGAATAGCGTCATATGTCTCCGGGCTGGGAAAGACAGGGTTATCCACGACGCTCGTCTTGGTCACTTTCAGATTGACCTTATTCTCCCACTTCAAACTCCTGAGCCCCGAGTTCAGGAGCCGCTCGAACATATCCCCGTATGTTCCTAGGCGCTCCCGCACAGGGTCAATTGGCGAGTCACATTCAATGACTGCGATGCACATCGTGCGCATTGTGATTGTCATAGCCAAAGACGTGCTCAGGATGTTGACAGGACGAAAATGTAGAGTAATGGTAGAATTTTATTAATAGACGAATCAATTTGTCATCGCGTACATGGAATGCAGGGGGACCAAGGGGAAGACAGAGGGTGAATAACCCGGCCTCTCTTACCGGGAACGAAAGCTCGTTAGTGTCATCACAATTGATGGAGCGGGAGAATCTCGCCAACATTTGCTGTTTAAATTTGACTTCCATGACCACCCCAACCCATGCTATACTGCCATATTCGTCTTTTTTTGCCAGTGCAGTACCAGGAAGGTAGACAGGCCATGTAAACACAGTATGAGGATAGATGGACTCCAGAGCAACATTAAATACAAAGAGACAAGCAACAAAATATTGAAATTTAGATCAGTCCATCCTATGCCCCGCTACTAATTGATAATGTCGGTTTAGTTTCCTCGGAATCTCGCACATGGAGACGTCCGCCTCCCCTTCCTATCGTAGCTCAGGAGGAGATATCGAACTTTCCCTTTTGGCCTTAAAAAGAGGGCTACATAGACGTAATGTCGTGCTTAATATAGTAATTTCTCCTTTTGACAAGAAATCAAAACTGCAATACAAGATAATCAACAAATAAAAGCACTGTTGTTGCTTTCCTGTCACTCCTCTGATTCTTTTCCGGTCCCATAGTTGCGAAGCAGTCCGCCCACTCTCAGTTTCCACAACAGTCCCAGCTCCTTCGTAGGGGTACGGTCACGATGTCGGAAAGTCCTCCCTCCCACCTCCTGTGAAATGAAATCAAGCTTCTTTCCCATGGAAAGCTGCTCAATATGCTTGATCACCCGATCTACTGCCATATGACTGCAGCGTGTATACAGAGTCTCTTCGTTGTCAGTGGGAAACACTGGCGGAACGACCCTATCTAAGATGTCCCCCCCCGTCTAGGGTCGATGTTAGCTGGTGCAAGGTCGACGAAACCTTGTCCACCGCCCCATCATTCAAAGCGAAGAATATGCAGTGGTTTCCCTTGTACTCTGGAAGATGGCCAGTATGCAGGTTGATCATGAGTCCAGCACGAGCGATTAGGTTCTTTCCAATGTACTTAGTACCCGAGACGATGGTGACTTCTGGTTGCCATTGTGTCACCGCATCCCAGACCTGGCGGCAGTTGACGCTGTCAATCGTGAGGTCTGGTGTCGGGGAGGCATGGCTGTGTGGCATCAGGTCGTCGAAGTAAGCTTTGCGGTAACTATCGTGACCAAAGAGGTGACGTCGAAAGCCATGATATTTTGTATAGCACGCATCTACTATACGGCGCTTTTGAAGTAGCTGGCGTATCTGTCCGTCGGTTGTTTCCAGAATGCAGCGATAGCCGGGAAAAGTCTGATCCAGACGGTATCGTAGGTAGCGGTGCTGGGGACCGTCAGAGCAGAGCAAAAGCAGCCGCAAGGGCTTGAGAGCCTCTGTACTGCCCATTGATAACGTCTCAGGAACTGGGTATTTGTAGGCAATGGGAGTGGCACCGGGGAGCCTGCCTCGACCAGGATGGAAAAGCATGTGAATTGGATCGAACTCGCCCACCAACGAGCGCCAGACCGCACGTGCTATGGCAGGTGCTTGCGAAAAACCGCCAGTATTATTCCCGCCAGTAATAATCAGACAGCCTCCACTTGCTGTAGGAATTTTCTCATACACTCCGAGGCCTGTGGGTGTAAAAGGTCGGACGCAAAACTTGCGGTTTCCACCGGGGTGCAGGGTGTCACGAGCTTTGGCTACTGCATATCCTTCAGGGAAATAGATGCGTGCCACCTCTTCCAGCTCATTGAAGAGGGCCATGAGTTCCAGAGAGTCGGGTGCAGGACGGCCCTCCCCGACATAACCGTACCCACCACCAAATATAAGGATTTCTTCACCGGTATCCATATCCTTCGCAACAGTAACATTGATATCTTCGACAAGGTGACTGCGACGGTGAATCTTGATAGAATGCTTCTGCTGCCGGTTCAGGTTGGGGATTTGTAGCCATACTCCAAGGACCCCATGGACCAAGTTTTCGCAGCCCGTTCCATTTAGTAGTACATGTCCAGTCACACCAGGGCTCACGACAAAGTGATCCGCTTTTAGAGGGCCAAGTTGTGATTCTAGCTTGGTCACTTTGCCTAAAGAGTCGCGCATTATACCCTGCACTTCACAGTTCCAGAGAAACTCCCCACCGAGCTCAGTAATGCGGTCCATCAACTTTGCCACGAAGGGATGAATGTTCACTGTGAACCCTTCCACGGTGATTCCTCCCGCGAGATGGTCCGACTCGGCTGCGGGCTTGAAGCCGGGATTGGTATCCAGGAACTCATGCAGAGAAGTGGTCTGAAGGATCGCCCCGAGCTGGCGGTGTAGCGTGATGGCTGTGTCCAGAGCAACAGGCTCCACGTACATACGGAGGATGTCCTTGCAAAATCCCACCTCCTGAAATAAGTGTGGATAGCCTTCAATATATTCTTTCCAGAGCTTGCCAGCTTCCATATTGACCTCTCGGATATTATCCCTGAATGCCCGCGCCAACCAAGCCGGAATTTGCTCGAATGCATGCACCCAAGAATTCTCCGCGGCAGTAAAATCGTCAGGTGGCTTCACGCACCATCCGCCCTCACGCACAGTCTTCCGGAAAACCCCCTGCATGTTTTCGTAGATTTTGCTCCCTTTCTCATTGTAGTTGTCCGCTTCGGTACGGGTGTACATGCGGGCATTGCCGCCACCATTAGTGACACCCAGGCGAGTCCAGTCCTTACAGCATCGAGGATCCGGGCCTGCATCCACCACGTGCACCTGGTAACCGCGCGCAGCTAAATATTCCGCTGTCACAAGATTCATGATGCCCGCTCCAACAAGAAAAACAGTCTCCTTGCCGTCCTTGACTTTCAATTTTTTTTGTGACTGGACTTTTGTATTGACGCATGCACGCGCGTAGAGCATTTCCGCATCTCGAAGTATGGATTCCTCCCATTGTATTGCAAGATTCTCATGCTTTGGGAAGCCTGCGATTTGAACCCCTCGGCCCTCTGCATATTCCTGCAGACGGGAAATGGCGGTGGGGTCTTCCACAAGAATCGACTTGGGGATATGGCTAGCTTGTCCAAGCCATTTGTTCATCAGCTCATTGGTAGCCTCTTGGCCGTTGCATATCCACACATCCACCGTTTCCGGGGCGGTCAATGGTATAGAAAGGTTATCGGAGGTGGGATCGCAGAATTGAATGAACGTGGACGAATCGGCCACATCACGAAAAGACGAAGAACGTGTAGTAACAAGGAACTTCATGACTAGAGTATCGTGAGAAGTGAGTGATCTAGTTAAGATTGAATTTAACTGCGACTATGTGGGGGGAGGTCCTGGTGGACTCTTTTAAATCACGTCTTCGCCCCAAATTTGGCACCCAATGCACTCCCATACTCTCCTGGAAAATATCCACGTAAGCGTTTTATTGTATCCTTGGCCTAATATGACTAATTTGGGGCTCATAATTCTGTGAAGTGGTTCTCCGATACCGCTGGTACCTTGGGGAATTAAGTGGAGTTGTTGCTTGATTCACAAATGCCTATCAGGACTTAATGTTGTGACACGTCGATGGTCGAAGAATTTGAAATTTGATACCTTTGTATAACTGCCAATGAGATGCCAATCAATGGATACTGCTACTTTACTGATATTGGAAAGACTCATAGTCGAAACTGGTGAACAACTTAACGCCAACGCGGTGGTGCTTGGTTGATTACCGATCTCAGTACCACGATAATGACGCCAGGAGCCCATACCGTACTGATCTCTCAGGCACCAAAGTTACTGGTTAATGATCTACATTACTGTTATTGTCCCACTCTTTGTGGGGTTTCATTCCATTTAATTTCCAATTTGTCAACTAGATCATCCATGCTGTACACAAGCGAAGTCGGCCATAGTGACACAAGTAAAGTTACCGCCATCACTTTGTCCCTTCGTATATCTGAGCCTGACTGGGCCGGTAAAATCGGGACCAGGCAATTCATAAGTACTCTTCTATGCAAGGGAGCCTATCCTCAATTTAGCGGTCTACGCCGGGGAATAGGGTAGCAGTACGTAAGTACGCTACTATGCAAGTCTCTAGGAATAAAATAGTTAGGGGGCCTGTTTTTGACCCGGGAGACTACAGGTTCGAATCCTACCCCCGGTACAATTTCCAGTTCTGAGGCACCTACCAAAAATACTATTCTTTGATTGACTTGGCTAGGACCTATAGGTAGATCATAAGTGGGGATAGCTTACTGTGGGACTAAAAGGCCGGAGGCAACCTCGGTATATGTACTATGTACTCCGTACGGAGTACATACTTTCGGCTTAGCGGGCCGGGCCGGTAAGTAGCGTATTATGTATTAGTGCGCTTTGTATGCAAGGAAACCCATCCTCCATTTAGCGGGCCGGACCGGTAAGTGGCGTAGCAATACAGTCAAACCCCGTTAAAATGTGAAGATCGTCGGAGACCAAATCCTTGCGAATGAACGGAGTATGTAAAGAAGTAAGGGTTTTCCCCAGGTGGCATTTTTGGGTTATGTAATATGAAAGGCAACCTTGCAAAGTAACATTCGCAAAACCGGGGTGCTCTATACCTAATTAGGCAGCCTTGGCGCTCTTTGCTACCAAGGTATGACAAAATATCCCGGGAGCGTAAATTCTTCCATAATCGGGGTTTACAAAGAAGTGGAGTACATTTCGGGGCTCAACTGTACATACGTATGCTACTATGCAAGGCTCTAGGAATAAAATAGTTAGAGACATATTTTTGAAAACCAGGAGACTAATCGCTTTGAAGTGCTACGGAGGGCCTAGCTAGTCATTACTTTAGGAACGGCGTTAGGATAGGTTGTGCGGTGTTAGAAGGGAGATTGATTCTAACATTAGAAGTAAAAAGCAGCGGGTTTAAAGAAGGGCTTGAAGGCCGATCTGACGCATGGGCAAAGGGCAAAAGTGGAACATATTCTGGAGCCACGTAGTAATGGCGAGTAGTAGTATTAACACTTAGGACCATTTGACTAATTTCGAGGTAAGACGTGATCTACTACTCCACTACTCCGTACGGGTGGCCTAGATTTTTCTTGGCCCCCAACCCCTATGTAGATTATTTCTCTCCCCTTTTCTCTAATGAGTGGCAGATCGGTTTTCTGAGAACTCTTCTCTCTCTTGCCCACCGAAATATCTTTACTATTAATTGATTGGTAAGGCTCTTCTACTTCTGTAGCGGCCTTCGCTAAGTCCTTATTCTGTTATTGCCACAGAAGGGTTGGATTCTCAACCCGATTTCAACTAGCAGCATAGCAGCATGACACACCGCCAACTAGAATCTGGAACGAACGACTGGAGGGGGCCTGATGATCCAGACTGTCCTTACAACTGGCCGATGTGGAAGCGCATCTACATGACCAGTATTCCAGCATTCCTCTGCATCAACGTGTGAGCATGATCTATCCACTCAAAATGTAGATTCTAACTCTAGAAGGTCCTTCGCCTCATCCATATACACATCTGGAGCCGAAAATATCGCACAAAATTTTGGTGTCTCCCACACGGCAGCTCTGCTTGGGCTTTCCCTATTTCTTTGGGGTCTTGGCCTTGGGGCCATCATCGCGGCACCTGTCAGCGAGTATTATGGTCGCAGAATTGTATATCTATCAACTGTTCCAATCTTCGGGTTGTTTATCCTAGGCTCGGGATTAGCACAAAACTTCGCCACTTTGATCGTCTGTCGTTGCTTGGCTGGTTTCTTTGGGAGCGCGGTGGTCTCTGTTGGTGGAGGCACCAATGCAGACCTCTGGCCCCCTGCTCTAGCGGGATTTGTTTATCCATTCTACTTCGTATCGCCTTTCCTTGGCCCAGCTCTTGGTACGACAGACTATACACATCCGATGTTTCTTCATGCTGACCTCCCCAGGACCTGTTATTGGCGGCTTCGTCAGCGAGAAAAAGGACTTCCGCTGGCTTGAATGGGTAATACTCTTCATGGTCGCCTTTAACTACCTCTACTCTATCCCCCAATTTGAAACCTATAAGAAAACGATCCTCCAAAAACGCTCCCGCACCGAGAAAAACGCCGAAGCACCCCCAAATCTCAAATCGGTTGTCCCTTCGAGCGCTGTGATTCAGCGTATCGTCCTCAAACCTTTTAAGATGCTTTTCGTCGAGATGATCGTGCTATTTATGACTATTTATATGGCGTTCAACTTCGCCGTGTTCTATAGTTTCTTCGCCGCCTTCCCGTATATATTCGGTGGCCGGTACAGCTTTACCGCTAGCCAGGAAGGCCTTACCTTCATCTCTATAGCGCTGGGGTGCGTCATCGGCTTCCTTGCCGTGGTCTACATAGATCGAAAGACATACCCTGCACTAGAGGCAAAGTATGGCGTCGGCACAGTCCCACCCGAGTACCGTCTCTATGGTGCAATGGTAGGCTGTGCCCTCAACCCAGTCAGCCTCTTCTGGTTTGGCTGGACAGCCGACAAAGGCGTGCACTGGCTGAGCCCCGTTGTTGCAGCTGTGCCATTCGCAGTGGGAAATATTATGGTATATAGCAGCGGAGCGCTGTATATCATGAATTCATACGGATCGCTACATGGGGCTAGTGCCCTCAGCGCCAATAGTCTCCTTCGTTATGCGGCAGGGGGTGCATTCCCGCTTTTCACGGTGCAGATGTTCTCCTCCTTGGGAATTGGATGGGCGAGCAGCCTACTGGGCTTCGTGTCGGTGGCATTAGTGCCTGTGCCATGGGTGCTATACAAGTATGGAAGCAGGATCAGAGCGCACAGTCAGTATATTACCATCCAGGCAATTGAACCAGAGAATCCATTTGTAGAGGATGGAGTGACAGCCTGCAAATAGAAGTCGAGGTGAGGAAAGAGTGTCAGTTCTTAATACTCTGTTGAACATACTGGAGTAACAAAAAAACCCGGAGAAAAGGGTGTTTCTTGTCGAGTCAACGGTGATATTTGATTGCTGGCTTGAACCAGACTATTGTCGTTTCGGGTCATAATCGGGCATTCAGACTGATGGCCCAGGTTAAGTATATTTTGTATGGCAGGTCATAAATAATACCTAATTTTGACGAAAGTTCGGAATTTACTAGGGTGTGTACTAGGGTGTGTACTTGGCACTTGGCACGGTTACTTGGTTGCTTTGATCTCAAATGGCGCAATTAATATACAGGTTTACCTTCGTCTGATTTGTTGGAGCCTGGCCGACAGAATTTACCTATTTTGGAATCAGGATCTTGCTCTTCTTAGCCAAGGTGAATTCTCTCCCTTAGGTCAGTATAATGCCTACCCATTTAAAATCTTAAGTATCGCAACCTCAACAGCTAACTTGAGGATCACGGGGATTCAGAAAGCTCCGCCATACAGTGCCAAGTAAATTTCGTGATTGCCCCTCATGATGATGTAGGCACGAAGAGATATTGAAAAAGCACCTTCAATTATTTAATGAACAGCATACGCGACTTATCAGAATATCAAGAAAATGAAAATGGAACATTTTTCCAAAGGTGAACCCAGTCCGGAATTGGACGAGGACCAACAAAGTCAAACAGGGCTATTTAAGGTATTGGCGCGCTATGTGCCCTACTTTCGCAACCCGCAACATGTCTTGGTTTTCAAGCTTGACTGCTTGTTGTTGACATGGACTTTTATTGCTGGGATTTTGAAAGAAATGGACCAAAGTGCAACTGCTCAAGCTTACGTTTCTGGGATGAAGGAATCGTTGAATTTATATGGAAATGAATTGATCAACTTCAATACATTTTTCTCTGTTGGATATGCTATCGGTTTGATTCCAGGTCAACTTATCCAGACCAAGGTGAGTAGTCTTGGAATTTTGACGAATTAATTCACACTGACCATTTTCAAGGTTCGCCCTTCCATTTTTCTTCCATTTTGTGAGATATCATGGGGAATTCTGGTCACCTGGTAAGGAGAGAGAAGCCAAATTACTATTTAACAAATACTGACGACTTTGAATAGTATTGCCCAGGCACCAAACGCCAAAACAATATACGCATTGCGAATCCTGCTTGGATTATTTTCAGCAGTCTTCTGGCCTACTGCCGTATCTATGATCTTCAACTGGTACACGCCAGCGGAGCTAGCTAAAAGAATCGCCTTCTTCAACGTATCAGATGCAGCAGGTGGTATGTTCTTAAGCGCACTTCAAGCTGCCCTTTACACCAACATGAATGGCGTGCACGGTATCACCGGATGGCAATGGCTATTCATTATCTCGGGTACAGTAACTATTGGGCAAGGACTCCTCGGCCTCGTTGTCATCCCAGATTCACCAGTTCTAACTCGCGCTATCTGGCTTACCGATACGGAAAAACGCCTTGCAAGAAAGCGTATGGCTGACTTTGGCGCCAATACCTCAAACATGATTCCTACCAAGGTTGTTGCACAGAAATTGCGGAAACTTATCTTACACCCTGTGACATACTTCTTCTTGGCCGCTTTTGCTTTGCAAGCCTGGGCAAACCGAGCAAATTCTTATTTCACTCTTTATCTCAAAGCGCTGGAAGACTCGTCAGGAAACCTTCGTTTCAGTACATACCAAGTCAACGTTATTCCTATGGGTGGCTATGTTCTCCAGATCATCATTAATCTGAGTGTGAATGCGTTATCTGATTGGAAGCACTGGCGCTGGCAGATCAGTGTTGCGCCGGCCTTTTTGCTCGGCATTGTGCTCAGTGTATTGAGCGCCTGGCCCTCAGATTGGAGGGTCATTATCACGTTTTATTTCCTTACATATGCGACAAATGCAGGAAGTCCATCACTTTTGGCTTGGATGGCTGAACTCCTCAAAAAAGAACCGGAAGCGCGGTCTATCATTATTGCACTGACAGTGACAATTGTATATATTGGTCATGCCACAATTCCAATCCGCGTTTGGAGGACAAGTGACTCACCTCGTTATCCAATCGGATTCCCTCTCGCAACTGCCTTTATCTTCTCGTCTATCTTTGTTCAACTTGGTATGCTTTGGTGGGGACGACGAAACACCCAACTGGCTAGATACGGATACGACGCGCCGTCCAATATTTCAGCTAGGTTGGATGAAGAGAGCTCTGGGATCGCAGAAAGCCAGGTGGTGATACAGCAGAATGATTCAAAAGAAACCATGAGTCTAGAGGTATCAAGAATTCAAGACAGGTAACTACTCTGTGGGGGAATCCAAAGCTATTCTGTTTCACAGGGGTTGTATTGCATATGCCCATATACTAGTGTTTTAGAGCCAGCACGCCACATCCAATGATCGGTTCTCATCCAAATTCTCACACTGTGCATAACGCACTCGCCTTTCTCACCCTCAGTCGCGCGACGCTAAAATGTCACTCACACCATTATGTTGTGCCTGCTCACTACTTGCATTTTATAAACCTCTCCAATGTGACATTTGGTACATACGACCATAGGGTGTGGAAAACAGGGCTTCCCGTCCGCTCAGCCGTACTTAAGCCACACGCCGGTGAGTTAGTAGTTGGGTGGGTGACCACCAGCGAATCCTCACTGTTGTATGTTTTTAGTTATGTTCTTTTTTTGATTCGTTAGGAAATAGCCTCTTACCGCCCTACTTCTAGTCCATTCAACCCATTGAGCCCATTCACCTGAACACCACTATTCTACACCTAAGTATCCAACATACTCTGAACCGTTGACATGGTCCTTCCCTCCCATGCTGATTTTTTTCCTCTTATGCATGTTGTTTTGATCATAACAGGCTGCTTCTCGAAACGCATAGAGCGGCGTGGAGAGCGGTAATACAGGCATTCAGGCACCGAACTGCACCTACATAAGGGGGTTTGAACCCTGGGTCTTATAAATCTTCGTGCCCCACGGATCCACCTTCGTCGGCCTTGGCGGTTTCGTCGACGGACGATGCTTAGGTGGCTTTCGGATACGCAATCATGTGGAATTTTCACTTGTTCTTGAACGTAGTCTCAAAGCAAATATTAAATGATATTATCATTCCCGTCTTCTGTGCGAAGGCAAATACATCCTTTGGAATCCGTTAAGTTAATTCAATCTTCGTACTCGCCTTCGTACGGAGCTGTTCTCCGTACTTTAAAGAGGACAGGCGCTAGAACGAACACCAATACTATGGACCCCAATAAGGGATTTCCCCACTCATAGCTCAGACTGCTGTACATTGCGGGTCCCACAAGGGACAAGAATATGCTGAAATTATACTGAAGTAAGTTGTTGGCTCCCAAGACTGATGCCGCAGCATCAGCCAGACCCGAAGACATTGATTAAGTACAGTTGTACAGGTGTCTAAATTGAAACATATTAGCAAAGGAAATGGAGGCTGTAACAATCGAGTAGAGAAAGTTTACAATAACGAGGAAAGCAGCAAAGCCCATCAAACTTGTGGCATGAATGGGAACAACTAATGGACTTCGTATTATGCCGTCCAGCCATAGAGAACCAAGCCTCCGGCCACGAAAGAACAAAACCAGATCAAGAGAAGAAGATGATACTCAGAGCGGGGTTGCTGCACCCTATAAGCGTTCATGCATGCCGTAAGCTACTACACTAAAAAGGGGAGAATGCAGGAGAATCACGATCACGATTTATTTATAATTGACAAACTAGGGTGTATATACCCTGGCATGCCATCTGAACAAAGCCCTAAGAAACAAACATGCAAACATGCATCTATGGGATGATGCTCCAACAGAATCAATCCATTCAATAAAACTAGCTGTGGTCCTCGTCTTTTATTTCGAAGGACGTCATACGCTTTGGAGGACGTGAAATTTTCAGCCAAAGTTCGTTATCCGAATCATCATCATCAATATACAAGAGACCAGTATCCGCACAGCCATTGTAGACTCCGCCATATTGCCGGCAGTCATGCTCAATCTTCTGCGCAGTTTCAGTTGTCAGCCACATGTATCTCTCCACAATTCCCGCTTGGACCGGTAGGCCACCGTAGATACTAGGAGTGTTCCATTCGCCTCCGGGATACACACCCATCATATCAGAAAAGTTGATAGAAGAATGGGCTTGAGTAGCTCTGGGCTCCAAATCAGGCTGTAAACTTGCTTCCAGGCTAGTGTAATCATCGAATTCTGAGATTTCTCTGGATTTAATAGAACGCTCCTTAACAAATTCCTCTAGATATTTGAGGTAGAACGGGTTTCCGCTTTGTTTAGCAGCCACGAAAAGGGACTCGCGCGGAGGGGGTTTCAAAGCTAGGAATAGCGATTCGTAGTCACAAACTATGCAGGTTATCGCGATTTGTTGTCTCATAGATGGGCATTTGCGAGCTAGCTCATTGCAAGTATTCACACGAGGCCTAACCGGCCACCAGATAAGCCAAGGGAGGTAGTCAGAGTCATCGTCGATACCGGAGATCTCATTGTTCATGATCTTGCGAGCATTGATCGCGGTACGAATCTCTCGATACTCGCGCTCATTGCCTTCGCTAAGCGATTTACCCGGGAGAATGATTCGCCTGGGGTTCGTTTCCAGCTGATAGGCCCACCATTTAGCAAAGGTTGTATGGTGATAAATTCCACGAAGAATACAATTGTATTCAGTTTCCGTTCTGAGCCTACGTGGATGCATCAGTCGAGAGTATCTATCCACATTACCCTCCCATGCAGCCACTTGCGTTAGAAGGCGTTTCTCAACTGGAAGATCGGGCGGAAGAGGCATCCATAGTTGCTCAGAATCTCCTGGACCGAGTGTTGAATTGCGTTCCACTAAGTCGACATTTTGTAACCCAATAAATCCATCCTCCTCGATGTCAATATCATCTGCAGTTGTGTCTGGCAAGTTTTTGGGAGGGAGGGCACGCTGGCCTAAAGCCCGCCGAGGCTTCATATTACCATTCAGAAACGCAGGTATTTGCGGGCTTTCATTAATAGATTGAGTGAAATCATCCATAACAATATATCTTTGAGGGGCTGACATAATGATTTTGTAGATATCATTATTGTCAACATCGCGTGCCTCTTCAGCAATAGATACATCCGGTAGAAGATCTAATTCTTTATAAAGATCCGTATACCAAGAAGCAGCACATGCTCGGCCAACTTGATAGCGCATAGATGGGTATCGACGGGCAACCTCACGGTAGGTTTCTTCCGATGCAGGTTCCGGATACCAAATGCAGTACGGCTCGGTGGCAGGGTTTTGCATATCGGGGATTATGTCACTCATCATCAGACGGGCATTGCGGGCGCGCGAAAACTGATAAGCTTGGCTATCGTCGCCGGAGCATAGCTCGATGACTGCTGGGCTTGTTGCAAATTGGAGTGAATCACGAATCCCGCGGATGACTGCTCTGCGATGCCAAAAAGAGCTTAAGTCGGACGGTACTTTTTCCCCCTTGATTGCCGCGATGCATTGGTCAAGGTCGTAGTCAACGGGTTGTTTCTTGCCCTTATCTGACCGATTGGATTTGCCGGAGGTGTTGACTGGTAGGTCGGTGGGGGAAATGACAGAGTTTTTCCCTGTAACCTGTGTAGCTGTCATGATGATAATAGCGCAGGGGCGTGATGCTCTAGCAATTGCCCGAGGTTGGAAGAAAGTGGGGAGAGGACAGATTTTCAAAAGAAGGAACGTCTCGAGTGCTCAGTAAGAATTTATAGGCTACGCCGACAGCAAGATTAGTACTAGTAGCGCATTAGACTAATTTCCCTTCTGTTTTCTCATTCTTTCCATAATCAGATTGGTTTCCGGCCGCAAATGCCCCACCATATGATCTACGCTGTACCGTAAACTTACAAACTAGTTACTTCATCTACATGACTTACGACCCTTATGGATAGTGGGTGAGTTTGACACCTATATCCACCACCGATGAAGTTTACTGACCATACATAGATTATGACAATAAGTACGTTGTAGAATGTCCCACCGGAAATTGCCTTCGATCGCATGTCAACAAGATCCATAACTCTCTTGCTATGAGCACTAAGGCTGGTGTACCCCCGCAAACAAAGTCTTCGTCGGAATTCCAAGCTACGGTCGCAGTTTTGGTATGACCGACACAAGTTGCACTGGGCCTATGTACAAATATGGCGGTGCCTTTGATGTTCCTATTGCCGAGGCGGGACGGTGTACCAATACTTCAAGATACATCTCAAATACTAGATAAAATTCTATCGCGTGTGAACGCAGGGGAAGAAGGCTACCAGGGCCGCGTGTGGTATGATGAAGCTTCCGCTTCCGATATGATGTTTACGGTACCAATGGCAAAATTACTGCTTGGGTAGCATACATGGCCGATGACAACAAGAAGCAACGCATTGACTGGGTCGGAGGGCTCAACTTCTGATTAGGCTGCCGATCCTCAACGGTGGAACCTGGGCCTTAACCCCGATTCGAAGGAGGCCAAGGGTCTTAAACTAGGGCATCCTTCCAACAACTGGCCAAAACGATAAATATGCATTTAAAAGCTATAATCAATATATTAGTTTTAAGCCCTTCCGATGCTGGTGCAATCAAGCCAATCTAATTCTAGTCCAGATATTATTCCGAGTGTGTCAAGGATAACATCAACGCTTCCCTAACAAGTTTATATGGGGTGATGAAAACAAATACACACACAGTAAATTGACAGCGGACAAAGCATATGGTGGTAGCGGCAATGATACTGATACAAAGATGACTGTCAAAAAGGGACAACCTGCCCAAGGCGTTGTCACTATCACATATACGGTACGCGATGAAGACGGATTTTATAACGTGCTTCAAAATGATTACGGTATCCTCAAAGACTGGGTTATGTAGGAGAAGACATCGGGAGATCCGTCCTTGTCCCTGTCCTATACCAGGACACTACAGTCAATACAATAAGCCACAAGGCGAAGTGTACCACAGCTGGCTAAAAAAGGCTGCCAATGATGATATCAAGGTTCCTAATCTCAAGTCTGTGATCGAAACTACAGTCCCCAACATCACAACACTTCAAGCTGTTATACTCGGAAGCTTCACGGAGATGCGTATGGGGGCCACGGATGCCTCCGACTACAGTCATACACATGCTGTTGTATGTTGTAAGTTTTTCTTTTGCTATTCCTTTATTTATGAAAATCATGTTACACTTTATTATGTGTTTCTTTCCAGGTCAGTATCTCTAATTTAGCTGAGGGGGGGTGGGGGGTGGGGGGGCATTTCTTAAGTTGAATTCGAGCCGAACTATATATCTCCATCCCATGACTGTTAGAATCCGGCCATAGTCTACAGTGAGTAGTGAGTGTGAATTTGATCATATAACACAGTAGACTTGATCATAGTAAATTAAAAAGTTTCAAGTTCACATATTTCTTATTACTCTTGGTGGGTAGTCGTCATACTTCCGAATAGGGAGTTTTGAGAAATAGTAGTTAAACCAGGCTTCATAATTCCGTGACCCCACGTAGGGATTTCGATACAATTTAATGGGTAGATGTAAGGCACAAAACCTAAGACATATGGAGAACGGTTGTGCTCAGTTGGATAGTCTACTTCTGGTAATCAGATCAATCTTTTCAATATTCTTACAAACCATTTAGGCGTCTCTTTGGATGACCCTCACCCGATACCATCTAACAGAAAAGGTGCGTTTTTCTATTAGATAGCTTGCAAATTTGCAGACGTTTATAATAAAACCAGAGCAGCAAGCCGATAGAATTTACATTTTTCACCGTTCTGCCGAAGCCGGAGTAGATGTACTCCGTACCTTACTATCAATTCCTGCCGACCCTTCTTCGCTGGTGGGGGTGGGTCGGGCTACTATACTTCACACCACGCTCGGATTTGTTCCACTGGAGTTATCTCGATATGAATCCCGGGTGACGTTGTGTTTAACCAGCTAGAAAATAGACTCCAAAGTTCACAAAGTTGGAATCACTACAATATACCAATTGTAGAAAGACAGGTATTATAGTAGGCCTTTAGTAAAAGTTCGGGAATTAGATTGTGTGGTATGAATATATTTTCAGGTGCCGCTAATGACCTCGGAACGTTGGAAAAGTTCCACTCCTGTATCGTAATGATTATAAACCATCTGACCACTCTGCTTCAATGGAGAGGGCGCTGCCATCCGAGGACAATGCACGGCTTTGACCTATCCGCAGGTGAGCCGGTGGACACTACTCAAATACCGAAAACGCGGGATAGGTCATAGTCACCGAGTCCAAGCCACCACCTCATGTCAGTGTACAACATACATAATAGCAGCACTAATTTCGAACCCCTCAAAACATCGTCTGATGGCTTTGCGGGGATGCCACTGGTAGCGCTAGAGTGTATGTACCCCTCAGTGACACCGCAACGAAGCGCAAAATTGACCAACAAAGTTTATCGAGCATCCGAAGTATTTCCGGTGAGTACGGCACATATACATACATATTGGTAAAGATGCCGGGTGTTCCGTCTCCGATGAAGTCGCCGAGTGGGATACCCGCTAGCCAACTCTAGCTGCCAAGGCGGTGATCGTGAAGGAAATGTCTCGTGGTGCCAAGGTTCCGAACCTCGGGCCAATTTACACAATTTTTGCTAAGGTTTCTAGGGTTGTTTTTCATATTTGCTTTGATGGTGGGAGACCAAAGCGGGAAGAAATTACCGAGCGTTGGGACCCAGTCGGACCAATAGATGCAAAGGAGGCTGAACTAGAGAATTAAAATGCGTCATAGGGTTTCGCTGCCGGCGTGTAGGGATGAAGGAATTTCCCCAGAAAGAGAAATGTGTGGGGTCCCCACGGGAACGCGCCAAGACTTTCTCGGTAGAACTCCGGCTACTTGTGAACGTTCCTAAGGTGCACTGAAAGGGTGGGGTACTCATATGGACAACCTACCTAGGTAGCAAAATTCTCCCCTGAGTCAACTATCCTCATCATCAAAAGTTATACATGGAAAAGTCGTCTTCACCATCTATGCTAGCTACAACACCAACAAGGGGAAAGTATCTATAAAAGCACACCTAGAAAGATAATTGAAGAGATTTTCTAAAAGACCACCAAAAAGGTGAGACAAAGCCGGGAAATGTGGACAGTGGGACTTGGACAATCCCGAGGTCGGAAAGGCGGCCGAGTATTCTTGTATCCATATCCTTATCGATGAACCAACCTTGGAAGGTTCCAAGACTTGGCCTCAGGGCCCAATCATTATTTCTCCCGCAACGTCACCGGTAGAACTCCGGCAAAATTTGCTCGTTCCCCCCATACCCCATACCCCAACTAGGAGATTTATTTCCGGAGGGTCGCGGGATGCGAGATTGCAGGCTATAAAAAGGAGTGAATATCCCAAGATTGGCAGCTCCAGAGACCGTTCGAGCTCCTGTGTCTAACGAAGTTACGGAAATGGCCCGCGTCGCTCAGTTTGTGGTTTCAGGCCTTTTGGCTGCCACATTGGCTAATGGCCAGTCATTTGATGGAGGCAGTCGAAGTGAAGAAGCTTTCAGTTATGTCCAGCCCAAGAACACAACCATCCTGGGCCCTTACGGACACTCCCCTGCCGTCCTTCCCTCACGTATGTTACTCTTTGATTCTTGTTTATATGCTTGGGCTCTTTCTGATCTATATCACAGCAAACGCTACTGGTTCAGGTGATTGGGAGGAGGCTTACGCCAAAGCCCAAAAGTTTGTCGCCAAATTGACTATCGATGAGAAAGCCGACATGGTCACTGGCCAGCCAGGCCCGTGTGTGGGAAACATCGTTGCCATCCCAAGGCTCGGGTTCCCAGGCCTCTGTTTACAGGACGGTCCCCTGTCAATCCGTGTAGCCGACTATGCCAGTGTTTTTGCTGCCGGTGTCACCGTGGCATCCACGTGGGATAGAGATCTCCTCTATCAACGAGGATACGCCATGGGACAAGAGTTCAAGGCTAAGGGTGCTCACATCGCCCTCAGCCCTGTGGCCGGTCCACTCGGCCGCTCTGCCTACGCAGGCCGAAACTGGGAAGGCTTTGCTGCTGATCCTTACTTGACCGGTGTCGCCATGGAGAAAACCATTCGCGGCCACCAGGACGCTGGCGTGCAAGCCACCGCGAAGCACTTCATCGGAAACGAGCAGGAGACTCAGCGTAACCCTACCTACAACCCCAATGGAACCGTCACCGATGTTATTCAGGAAGCAGTTTCCGCCAACATCGATGACCGAACCATGCATGAGCTATACCTCTGGCCCTTCGCCAATGCCGTCCGCGCCCAGGCTGCTAGCTTCATGTGCTCATACCAACGTCTGAATGGTTCTTATGCTTGCGAGAACTCCAAGTCACTTAATGGCCTGCTCAAAGAAGAGCTTGGTTTCCAGGGATACGTTATGTCTGACTGGGGTGGCACCCACTCTGGTGTCGCCTCGATCGAGGGTGGTCTCGACATGAACATGCCCGGTGGTCTCGGTGCCTACGGTCAAGTCCCCACGGGTCAAGTCTCCGACGGAAACTCCTTCTTCGGAAAGAACGTGACATATGCTGTCAACAACGGAACCGTCGATGAATCTCGTGTCGATGATATGATCATTCGCATTATGACACCCTACTACTGGCTTGGGCAGGATGTGGACTACCCACTGGTGGACCCCTCATCCGCCGACCTGAACACCTTCTCCCCCGCCTCAACCTGGGCCCGCGAGTTCAACCTCACTGGGGAGCGCAACCGTGATGTCCGCGGAGATCACGCCAAGCTGATCCGCAAGCTCGCAGCTGAAGCCACCGTCTTGCTGAAGAACGAAAAGCAGGCCTTGCCCTTGAAGGCCCCTAAGAACATTGCTATCTTCGGCAATGATGCTGGTGAGAACACAATGGGCGCTGTGAACCAGGCGACCTTCGAATTCGGCAACCTCGCGTCTGGTGGTGGCTCGGGTACCGGCCGCTTTACCTATCTTGTCTCCCCCCTCTCGAGGCCATCAAGACCCGTGCTAAGAAGGACAATGCTCTTGTCCAATACTTCCTGAACAACACCCAGATCGCGACCAACAATGTCACTGCTCTTTGGGTTCCCGCCACCCCCGACGCCTGCCTGGTCTTCTTGAAGACCTGGGCCGAAGAAGGTGCTGACCGCGAGAGCCTGACAGTGGACTACGACGGCAACGATGTTGTCGAGTCCGTTGCCAAGTCCTGCAACAACACAATCGTCATCACCCATTCTTCCGGCATCAACGTCCTCCCCTGGGCCAGCCACCCCAACGTCACCGCCATCGTCGCTGCCCACTACCCCGGCCAGGAAGCTGGTAACTCCATCGTCGATGTCCTCTACGGTGACATTAACCCCTCCGGCCACCTACCTTACACAATTGCCAAGAACGCCAGCGACTACAATGCCCCTCCTACCACCGCAGTGTCCACCAACGGCACGTATGACTGGCAATCCTGGTTCGACGAGAAGCTCGAGATCGACTACCGCTACTTCGACGCTAAGAACATCTCCGTGCAGTACGAATTTGGCTTTGGTCTCTCGTACACAACCTTCAACCTCTCCGACCTCAGCGCCGAACCCGTGGCTGACTCCATCTCCTCCATCCCCGAAGAGAAGCCCATTCAGCCCGGTGGTAACCCCGCTCTGTGGGAGACTATCTACAACGTGACTATTTCAATTACCAACTCTGGTGATGTCGAGGGTGCTACCGTTCCCCAGTTGTACGTTACCTTCCCAGACAGCACCCCCGAGGGAACACCACCCAAGCAGCTGCGCGGTTTCGAGAAGGTCTCTTTGGCTGCAGGAGAGTCGCGCACTGTTGGATTTGAGTTGATGCGCAGAGATTTGAGTTATTGGGATATTGTTTCCCAGAAGTGGCTTATCCCCGAGGGCGAGTTTGTCCTTCGTGTTGGATTCAGTAGTCGTGATTTGAAGGAGGTCACTAGGATTACTCCTGTTTCTGCTTGAATGCTGTATATAGAGAGTGTCTTTGATCTGTTATGAGATAACCAGATAGTATATATGAGAGGTTTTAGTCTTTTTCTCAAGTTTTTCTACTCGTCTTTCCGCAATTTTTCTATAAGTCTTTTGACCAGCCCTTTATATTCTTGGTTCTGTGATCTAATATTTGGTCAATAACCATCCAAGATGGCAACCGGGAACTGCTTTGGTGCAGATGATATGCTCAGTCACAAGCAGCTAGCTGCGCTGTCCCCCAGTCTGAGGCTTGACCGAGTGTGATACTACATATATATAACATCCCTCTCTAGGCCTTTCATCCCCCTGGGCTGGATACTCGTTCTATTTCTTTTATTCTTATGGATACCTTATTTATTCGCTCGTTACTTGTAAAAAGGTGATGTGCGTGGGTGGGTTTAAAAACAAAACAGTATCATATATACTAATAGGTTATTCATTCATTGGAGCTAACAATGTCTTATTGAATATAGGCATGTAAAGTATGTATGATCTCACGTATCCCGGGGTCACGCGCAAGCGTTCGTAGAGTACGGCTGTGGCACATAGGAGCTTGAAAAAGAGTACCACAGGAGCTCTTCGATCTTGGTGCTACCGTCGGTAGCCAAGCACACGGTCGATCTCTTCTCCAGAGCCAGATGCATTGAACACCTCGCGGAGCCTCCAGTGGAGGTCAAGCAAAGTCCGATTCACCAAAGCAACTTCGAAATGCTGTCTCATCATAACCTTCTGACCTTCCTTACAGAAGCGAGGTAATGTTGGGCCCCAGGACTTGTACACCACGATCTCGTACAGGAAATCGTTATTGGGCTCAAGATACGATTTATATTAGCTGGGTGTATCAGTTATTGGGCATTTGTCACTCACAATTGGTTTGAAAGCAAGTAGGAACTTTCCAAATAGGAAGTGGAGAGAGGCTGCGAGCAAAAATCCATTGGAAGGCTCGTCGACAGCGGAACCCTTGATGACCTCCCTCGCCGCGGGAAATCAAGTGTAAAGGGCGGACCAGCACACGCCAGTATTGCTACTGGCCATGGTCTTTTTTGTCGCTGCAGAGGAGGACTTGGTCGATCGGGGGCTGCTTTTTTGTTTTTCTTGGGGATGGGAGATGACTGCACTGATCCGGGCGCTGACTGCTGGTAGCCTGTTAGTCTCATAGTCCACAACATGATAATGGAAATGCCTTCTCACCCCTGATAATTCCCCCGTATACAACACCATCTTACCCCAACTAAATAAGTTGCCAACATTCTATAAAAAGTAATTTGCTCTTCCACGTAACAGATCTTTCGAACTTTAGGATCGAAAATAGAGGTAGGGGGATGCGAGACTAAATGAAGTCGGAAGACGATTGGAAAGAGGAATGAAAAGACGGTTGTAATTGCCAAGTCATTTAAAACCTTGGAGCCGTCATCTGTTCTGCTTTCAATTGGCTTGACCTAGATGTATCTGTATACGCGTGCTTTGGAGTCTGGGTTGGGCATGAGAAGGGACGCGTATTCCAACACTTCGCAGACCAGTTATCTTCGCCTGTTTGAGTTTAGAAACTGGTTGAAGGAATTTTTGGTATGCGTGTATAACCGTCATCTTAGTTTGGTATCTGACTTCTTCCCCGTTGCATATATCGAGAGACCATTGTTGCCCTTATGGTAGATCACATTCTGGGTGCCAGGGTCCGTCCAGACAATTTTTGCGGCTCGAAGAACGTTGACAGCAGCAAAGCCTGCTGTTAGAGGATTTTGTCTGTTGAACAGATGCACCCGCCCACCGTCGCTGCAACGGCTTTCTCTTCACTTTGGCGAAGACTAATATCCGGAGGCCCAGATCACCGTGCCCGAATTTTTGATCTCATGGGCTTCATGTGCGATGAACAGACTGAAAATGCCGTCATGTCTAGCGTATATATCCCTAGGACGGTGCACTCTACCTCATATCTGGAAGTGATGCGAGTAAATGTATTAGTCGTCGATCCCTTAGTAAGGACTTTTCAGTATGATAAGTAACATACCAGACAAGTTTTCCAGTAACCGACATATACACCTCACACCTAGTTTCTTTATTGATCCACCACCATGACACGGTCATATCAGACAAACTGGAGATTGAGAGCCCGTGGGAGACATTCGACGATTAAAAACTTCTGGTGGTTGTGTATTTTTCGTGATCCACGAGGTGGAAGGCCTCCCAGGCCAGGGGCTGCTGGTTAATTTCTCTCGGGTAAGGCAAGTCCGGATATTTGAGGAACGATGGAAGGACAGAAGAGTGGAAGGAGGAAGGGAGGAAAAAAGAGGAAAGAAGGAAGAATAGATCCTGCTGTTTCCAAAGATTCCAGAATCACATTGTAAGTCACCTGCCCACTCCCGGCGTGTTAAGCACCTTCGGGGGCTGCTACACAATAAAAAATTTCGTCGAGAAATGAAGTGTGTAGTTTGGCCCTGGAGAGGAGTAGTCAGGGAGAAAAAGGAAGGGACCTAAGTAAGGTAACTACATGGTATTAACCCCATAATACACGGGTGTTAACAATAGGTGTTCAGGTATCTGGCAAGTGGTGAAGACGCGTATCTGATGTTTCAGATTTAGTTGGAACCACCTAAGTAGTTTGTAGCTTGAGAGATTTTCTCTTCCAAGCATTGAAGTGACTCTTCTTTTTCTAGTCCAAATGTAAGTGTTAGCATCGTGAGTTGAGTCACAATGATCAATTTCTTAGCCGATGACCTCGCTAGCAGAACCACGTCACTATAAAACTACGTTGGTATTCTTAGGACACATAAAAAGGAAGAAGAGAAAAATATGACGGTGCTCTCAATGAGACTAGTTATAATAATAAGAGGAAGTACTCCACTACTGGACAAGAAGGACCACGTGATTATACCACATCCCTTGCATCAATATATCTAGACATCTACACTCGAAAGTACATCTTCAGGAAGGGTACCTCAATCAATTCCCCACTATGGACACCGAACTTGTCTTTTACGACATTGCAATGTGCCCCCCAGTCGAAAAGAACAATAGCGCTGTAAACCCTTGGAAGACTCGTCTAGCCCTCAACTTCAAATCAGTCCCATACATAACCAATTGGGTCCAACTCCCCGATGTATCCAGTGTCAGAAAACGCCTCGACATCCCCGCATGCCGTAAATTCGCCAACGGCACAGACTTCCACACTCTTCCCATCTTAGTGGACCTCACAACATCCCGCAAACTCGGCGACTCCTTTGACATTGCTGTCTACCTGCAAAAGCAATACCCATCCGGAAATGATCTATTTCCACCTCAGTCCCTGGATTATGTCTTTAGTCCGGACACTCCGATTTTAATTCCACTGTCTGAGTGTGACGAGGGTGATTACCCCCAATATGCCCGTTTCAATATGAATATCGACGCTGCATTCACCACGCACACCGCGCTCATGGTCCAAGGGCTACCGTTTGATCCTGCAACTGCCGAGGAGACGAAGGCTGAGTTTGTTCGGCGGGCTGGTGTGAGCTGTTGGGGGGATTTTGCTATTACAAATGAACAGCGTGAGAAGCTCCTTGGGTCCTTCCGGGATATGTTGGGGGGATTGGCGAAGTATTTTGGTGGTAATGGGCCGTTTTTACTTGGGGACCGGGCTAGCTATGCGGATCTTATTATTGGGGCTTGGTTGAAGATGGCAAGCAAGACTTTGCCTGGTGAGGAGTGGGAGTTGGTTAGAGGGTGGCATGGGGGTGTTTTTGGAAAGTTGCATGATGCATTAGAGATTTATGCAGCTGTTCAATAGGGAGTACTTGGATTTCCGTCTCGGTCTTGATTCTCCAAATTTCACCTGGCAGTGCTACCTTCCACCTACGCCAACCAATATTCGACAAGCAATCACTGGCGTGTAGGATGTGCGGTCAGTAGTCAGGTGGGTGTCGCCTGGGTGAGACACCATGTTGCAGCAGGCATATGAAGAATATGGGCGTGGAAGGTCGGTTCTTCGGAACCATCAGTTTGCGCTTTGGCTATTTCTTGTCCAGGGTAATAAACGTGATAGTTTTGAGTATGATGCCCTGTTTTGCCACCGTGTAATTGAGCTTCTTCAAAAGCTGGGCCCAAGGGCCAGGTGGCTTTTCCAGGGTGCCCGACGGAACAGACTGCAGTCATGGGCTGGCCAAATAAAAGGGCATCCCAACCGCTGTCTCGACTAAGTCCAAGGTTAGCATGGAGCTATATAGTAAATGGAGATAGTGCCATACAGGTGGGGCATTGTCAGAGAAATGAGACTCCAGTGACGGTGATAAGACAAGATCTCCTACGTGTATCATACATGGAAAGGTCTTAATCCAATAAATTCTAACTTCCGACATGTAGAAGGCTATGTCGATCGCCTAAGCATATGTTATATGTACCTTATTATGATATGATGTGTGATATCTGTACATGTGTGCGCATTTATTTTCACTTTGAATAAAATGGATATGAGAATATATTAGCTTATGGAATATGTATGCTGTTAATTTCCCTCCACCTTTACCATCCATATATACCATGTCCATCCACTCATTGGTGCTGTTCTTACTGCTCCCCCGCAGCGACAATGAGCTGTGGCTGGGCCAAGCTACCCTTTTGCTGAGTCAAGATTCTTGCTGGACCGAGATAACCTTTTGCTGGGACAAGACGGCCTTTTGCTGGGACAAGATATCCTCTTGTTGTTGGATACCCATGTGGGTGGCGGCACGCTTTTTCTTGGTACACCTGAGGTGGCATTGAGATTGTTTGATGGTTGAGAGTTTGGGGGCTGAATGATAATACACCAGCATCACTTGCAAATCAATGTTGTCCACGCAGCATTGCACATGTTCCATACGAGCCTACCGTATTCGAGAATCGCCAATAAAGCCAGTTGTGAGCCGCGCTATCTATGATTGCTATCACCTATATTCATAGGAACTGTGTGCTAATATCTTTGTGTACTTTTCATCAGCCATACAATCGGAGGCGCTAATAGGCCTAGGGGTATCTGGTTGAATAATTACTCACACACATCGCTTGACAACGAAGTCGATACGCGTGGATGTGATTTATATTATAATAATTATGCTGCAATAGTAGTGGAATATTCGCAATAAATCACCGGCGAACCCTCTCGTTTAACTATAACTATTTACTTCATTGCGCATACAGAAAAATCAGTTTGTAATTCAAGTGGGCAGAAGAAACTGCCGATAAAAGCCCCATAGCTTATCTTTTCCTCCGCAACCTTGATTGAGTGTCGGATAGTATCATTTTAGTCTGAAAAGGACTACGATGGTGTTAGCGACACCCTAAATTGCAACATCCACCACCCGTAGCCCTACCAACATGCTAGATAAACAATTCTTATAAAATCAGGTGTTTCTACAAGGAACTAAATATTTTTTAACGCCATCAAAAAAAAAAAAAAAAAGGATTTCACACTTGCGTTACTGGACCCGGGGACCTACACTTAAAATCTTACATTTTATCTACTGCGGCAATGGGTACGGCCGCTACGCCCACCAAAAGGTGGTACCATTGGTATTCTCCAGATGATACACCGGAAGAGAGAAAGTTGGTGTTGAAGCTTGATCTTTTGATTGTTCCATATGCATTCGTTGTCTATTGGGTCAAGTACATTGACCAGGGAAATATCAGTAAGTCAATCACAAAAAGCTACCATAATCTAGTACTAATCGCACCATGTTCAGACAATGCATATCTGTCTGGAATGGCCGAAGATCTTGGCTTCCATGGGAACGAATTAATTCATTTCCAGACTATTTTTACTGTTGGGAATGTCGTTGCGCTTTTGCCTTTCATGTACCTCTTTCCTCGGGTGCCGATGCACTACCTCGTTCCAACTCTCGATCTCATGTGGGGAATCTTTACTCTGCTGCAGTATAGAGCCACAAGCTATGCAGAAATTATGGCTTATAGGTTTTTAGTCTCAATCTTCGAGGTATGGCTTACCAATGGCCCGAAAGGAATCCCTTCGTCTTACTCATGTTGATAGGCATCTTACTTCCCCGGTGTGCACTACGTTCTCGGATCCTGGTACAAAAGCAATGAGATAGGAAGACGAGGAGGGGCCTTCTACATTGGCCTCACCCTGGGATTCCTCACCGCTAGTCTTCTACAGAGCGCCACACTCGACTACCTAGATGGAGTTAACGGACTACCAGGGTGGCGTTGGCTTTTCATCATTAACGCTGTCATTACCATGCCCCTTGCAATTATTGGCTACTTTATTTACCCCGGGACAATTGATAAGCCCAACCGTCTCGTTCTCTCACAAAAAGATCTAGATATTGCTCGCAAGCGACTAGAAAAACAGGGAACGCAAGTCAAAAGTGCCCCTTTCTCATGGGGACTCGCCAAGAGGCTCTTTTTGTCAAAGCGATTCTGGTTGGTCCTTATATGGGATAGCTTCTTTTTCAACTCCAGCGCCAACACAGCGTCCTTTTTGTTGTGGTTAAAGAGCCTCCACCGCTACAGTTCTGCAACACAGAACGAACTCAACTCAATCAGCCCAGCACTCGGGATCTTCTTTATTCTCTTCATCAACATCAGCACGGACTTGTGGCTCGATCGCGCCTGGGCGATTACGTTGGCTTCAAGCATCAACTTTACGGGACTGATCATTCTGTCTATCTGGGAGGTGCCTGAAGGAGCCAAATGGTTTGCTTACAGTGTGCAATACTCGGCAGTTGCAGTATCATCTGTGCTATATGGGTGGGTGAACGTCATTTACCGTAACAACATCGAGGAGCGCGCAATCGTGTTGGTTCTGGCCACTGCTATTTCCACAATGTGGACATGCTGGATCCCACTCTTCACGTACCCAACTGTGGATGGACCTCGTTTTATCAAAGGATACCCCTTTTCTGCAGCCATGACTGTTTGCTTGGTGGCTATGACGTTTGTTATTCGTTACACCTATGGGCCGAATGGGTAAGATCTCCAGATGCCTTTTTACACATGTAACTTGTTGCTAATAAAATACAGAGAGAAGAGTATAAAACACGTGAACGATAGGGATGGGTCTGAGGATGAGTCGACAAACACAATTGGGGTTTTTACAACCGAGGGAGCGAAGAAGGACCAAATTTCGGTTGTGGGCACCAATTTGTAAATTGTCAGCTTCCTATGTCATAGCAAAATTGTTGGCGGTTTGAGACTTTACATAATTTGAGAAGATACCCCAAAAGACTACCAATAAGCACATGGCAAGGCCGATTATTGTTGTCTGCTATAAATGAGTACAAATAGGGTGTATCGACGAATCTGCCACTGTACACAATAGTCCACGTTTGTATATATTAGGATACTAAACAGTAGTTCATTAACTAAACAAAAAATAACTCCGACTCCTTCCCATCTATCTATATACTAGGACACAAAAATTACTGAATTAGGAGCCAAACCACCAATGGTGATCTAGGGCCGATTGAGCTGTTCACGGCGGTAGAAGAGAAGGAAACCAAAGCTATAATCACGGTTAGTAAAATGCTATAGGATGAGTGTTGGGGGATGATAACTGACCTAGCCAAAAGCTGGAAGAAAAGGGCAATCCAGAACCACGCATTTCCAACAGCATCCAATGATGATCCAATAGCTGGGGAGATGTCTCCTGGGCCGACCTTGTTTGGCGCGAATCCGCGAGCACAAATAGTGGCGATAGATCCAAGGGCCTGGGCGGCGAGCAGGACGAAAACGACGTGCACTCTTGTCAAGGTCTGTAGGAGAATCATTCCCAAGCCAACCTGTTGAATCTCATCGAGAACACCGAGCCAGAGCCAGAGACAACGGGATGCGATAGCTCCGGAAGTCAAACCTCCAGCCCATGGGAGATAATAACCGATGTTGGATGTTCCCCACCATGTTTGCGCCCATCGTGGTGCACCGATACTCAGACCGAAGACGGGTAAGATCCAACTGTGCTCCTTGGACAAGAAACGGAAGAGTAGCATCACACCGACCCAAAGGACAACAAAGAAGAAGATGACCAGGAGAGCGACTTCCCATGGTTTTGTGTGTTGAGAGGACCAGAGGAATGACCAATTTCGACCGAATGCCGCGGAAAGGAACCAATTCTGGATGATGACCATGAAGAAGAACCAGAGGACGATTCGGCGACGGAAGAGGGATGTGTAGAAGAAGAGGATCTTTCCGGGTGCTTGGCGATAGTACTTAGGCAGGCCAAGGGCAAGAAGCACACCGACAATGAAACAAGCCGCAGCAATAGGCATCACCACAGCCGTCAGTTTCCAGGAGTTCAGGGCAACTGTGGAAACACCTCCAACTTCCGCTGCGGTGACTTTGGAACTCCAGTACCATAAGGCGACAGTGTAAAGCTGTGAAATTCCCTGGATAAGACTTGCGCGGAACATCCAATCCTTCACAGGGACAGCACCTTGATCACCAAAGTTGAGAGCGAAGAACAAGGAACCACTGGAAGATGCTGCGGCATAGACACCTGCGGCGACATTCTGAGCCCACGCTTGACCGACGTCTGAGAGTGCGAACGGAGATACGCCCATGGTGACGAATGCCATAGAATATATGAACCAGGGGAGAGTGAGGACAATCACAGACGGGAAACGGAAGAATAGGCACCACCAGACAATGGAAGAGACGCAGTAAATTGCCGCGATGACGTAGAGCTTGACTGCTGTCTCACCAATCTGGCCAGCCAACAGGGTGATCTGCGCAGAGTTCGTTGCAATAATCTGTCCGAGACCGAGGAATAGAGCATAGACAGGCCAGTTTCCGACACGCCATCTCATGAAGCGCTGGATGGCGATGGGTCTCTTGTATCCCAGACGGGAGAGCCACTGATCAATTTCATCTGTGTTGTTCTCATCAGACTCGTCAGGACCTTCTGTGACGACGTTATACGGTGTATTCTCGACAGTCTTGCCCAGGCCGGCTCCAGTTACGGGACGTTCTTTGGGCTGCTTCTTCAACTGCGCATCGTTGTACATGTAGAAGAACTTCCGCTCGCTCTTCATGAGATAAAGCTCAATGCAATAATCTGAAGTTGAGTTTTTCTTGTTGAGGTTGGCGAGCATGGTTTCGAAGTTTCGCGTGAAGTGGCCCATGCTGTCCGTAAAGGTCGGGTCGACCTTTTGCAGATGGAAATCGGATTGATCATGGTCGTTAACAACAGAAGGCAAGGAGAGGACAGAAATATTCCGGCCCTCGTGAGCGAAAGGTGCAGCTGGATCGGAAATATCACGAGTTATTCTCACCGGAGAGGAGTCCCTTGAGAGGAAACGCGACGACTCCGAGGCTGACGAGTCAGACTCCCCACGAGCGTGATTGTTGTTTCTAGGGTGTGCTGCCATATCCTGAAGAGGCAAGTTGACTGCTGCCATGGCCTCTTCTTGAGTGATCAAGTTCTCTTGTGGCGTGACAAAGCTCTCATCATCCGTGGTATCACCGTCGATAGCCTCGAGCATCTGACTCTCGCGCGGTGACTTTTTGGTGAGACGATTTCTGCCATGTCCTGGTCCAGATCGTCGACCGAGCGATAGATTGCGGTTTAATGTGCTGCCTCTGTTGTTTTCGGCTGCCTGCATCTCTTGAGCTTCGACTGCCTGTAGCTGGAGAAGGGAAGGCTGAGGAGGCTGTGATGTTCTGTTCGCATCCAAAGTCCCCGGCAATGACAGATATGATGAAGGGCGGGTGATCATACCGGAGTCCCGCAAGCCTGGGGTCTCCCAGTAGATCTGAGACTCTCGCGCTGAACCTGCAACGGTGAGTTGATTCTTTTGGTGATGGATGTGGATAGAAGTTCGCTGCAAGACTTCGAGCTTCTGAACCCACTCCAGAACGGGGAAGCGCTGCTTGGCAGAGTTTGCACGCATCTCCTGTCGGGTTTCGAGTGATGAGTCTAGGGCGGATTTGATGGCAGTTCTCAACTGGTGCAAGAGATGGCGGGCTGAGTCGGATTCCACAGTGTACCACCAACCAGGCATCTGGCCTAGACCTCCGATGCGAGAACCAATTCCAAGTGCACCCTTGCGGCCAAACTCAACGGCAATCAATCCGAAGGGCTCGTCACGGGATGGGATCAAGGCGAAGTCGGCACCAGAAAACACGAAGGGGGAAGAACCGTAAACTCTGGCTTCGAGAAGACACGGCCTGGGAACATTTCCATGATGCGCTGAAGCTTGATAGCGGCGAGTTTACCATAAAGATCAATGAGGGGACCAATACAGATCAGCTGCACATTAGGCCGAGCAGACAAGACAGCCGGCATGACATCGGCAATCAGGTCGACTCCCTTCTGCTTCGACCATCTTCCAACGAACACCAGCAAGTCTGCGTTAGGGTCCTCATTCAAACCGGCCCATTTCTGTGCCTGGAGTTTGTCATTGGCCGACTCGTCAGTAGTCTGTACCGAAACTTCCACGTCGGGGTCTTTCTTCAAGGCGCCTGTGTCAGAGGGATCGGGATTCGGAAGACTACCAATCTTGGCAAGACTCCAGAAGATCGGATAACGGGCCCATGAGCGCTTTCCATACTTCTCGGACACACCTACTGCGCCGAAACCGCGTTGATGGAATCGCAAATAACTAGCACCGGTGTGAAGCAGGTTAAAAACGTTGCCAAACTGACAGTATTTGGTCGCTACATCAACCGGGATATTGAAGACAGAACAGACTTCTTTCTTCTCTTGTGGGGTTCTCAAAGCCCAAAGACCCTGGAACTCAGCGTTGTGCAATGACAGACAAACTGGGATAGTGCGAGACGGGAGCAGGTAAAGTGGTGCCACACAGCCGTGGAAATCGTTGATGTGATAAAGATCGATGGAGGGTGTTCGCTTTATGACCTCTGCAATACACTGATTCCAAGCCGAATAGTAAATGGCACTGTCAAGGTCATCCATACGCGGAGGGTAGGGCTCCGCCTTAGTCTGCTGCCGGAAAACCGGAGCATCAAGGAGGACGTAGGTGATGTTATCGACAACGTGATACTGCACCTGCACCGAATAGGGATGATCTAGGATCGTCACCACGAAAGGCTCAGCAGGTGTATCCTCGGGGTAATCAATATCACCGACACAAGGAACCACCCAAATAAGATTCTGGTGCTTCAGATTCTGTGACATGAGCTGCGCCATTACTCCCAGACCACCAATCTTGACTTTGACCTTCCAGTCCTGGATGTCGTACTCCATAGTGGCAATCAATACAGTGCGGCGCTGGTCGCTCGCGCCCGCTGCTGCCAGAGCCATGTTTTCTGGTACACCCTTGTCTGACATGCCGATCTCTTCGATATCGTCATATTTGTTGAATGTTCCCTTGATTCTGCGCCAAAACAGTATCGGGAATTTATCGGTCTTGGTGACATTGCCATTCATGTTAAGCTTGACACGGTAGAAGTTTCCGATGAAGATAAAGACACCGGCCAATCCCATAAGAATCGGAACAACCCAGAGAAGGACATAGAGGACCAACTGGGCCCATCCCGATCCGACAGGGATCAATTCGTATCTTAGGTTGCCATCATCGAGGGAGATAGTCCAACCAAGATGCGGGAATGGTGGCAGGGTGGTGATATTGATGACGTTTGATGCGAGATAGGACGGAGGAAGCTTTTGAACCGAAGACGAGTTGCCGACATCACCGTAGACCTCGGAGTTATCAGGGTTACCGTCACTGTCTGTGCCCCAAACATTCAGCTGGCCTATGGCTGGCCATTCGTAAACGAAGTCGTAGGTCCAGCGAGATGCTTTGGAATCGTACTTCATCTTGCTGTCCATTCCTGCATCATAGCCATATTGGTTGTATGGGCCGTTAAACCACATATGCGGGAATCTTCGGACTCTATCGCTCCCATAATCACCTTCCTGGATGTAATCGCTACTTCCAGTAAGTCGCGAGAAGTACTGAACTCGGATATGAGTTCCCTCCCACTTCTGGGAGTCTGTGCCAGTGAAGCTTGGGATGGTAATACTCGTGTTGCCACCTTTATACGCCGCCCACTCGTTCCAACTCCGGCCAAAGTCAGACGAGTATCGGAACATGTCTGCACCGGCAGCTCTGTGCTGGATGTAAAAATTGTCGTTAGACTTGTGGACTAGACTGGTAGAGTAATTGGCAAGCGGAGAAATGAGGGGGTTGTCATGAGCACCGAGGCGCAGCAAGAACTTGTCGGTCGAATTGGTGTAGACTCCGGAGGAGGAAACATTCTTAACGGTCAGTTGGTGGATTCCATGGTGGACATTTTTAAGGTTTGCAGACCATGTCCAAACAGTCGGGATTTCTCCGGTGTAGGCATGGCTCGTAGTCCGGGCAGAGATTTTGGTGCAGTTGACACTAGATGTATCAAGCTCGGCGGTGATGTTCTTCTCTGTTGTAGAATTCAGGTAAAATGCCTTTGTGATACTGTCACAGTCCATCTCAGTAGAATATCCAAGCTGGATAGGCATGGTTTCACCCGTGTCTTCTGAAGATAGCAACCGAGCATCATGTCCAGGGAAGAAATCGGTGACAGTAGGGCCGGGCTCGATGAACTCGGAGGCCTTGACATAGGCCCGGTATTCCCATGGAAGCAGCTCCATTTTACGGACGCATCCGTAGGTGTTGTCTGACGACTTGGGGCCATCTTCCAAAGTGAGTTCATCGTAAGGATAGAAGAGGTTCTTCAATTTTGTCCCTGAGTCAAATGGCGCCAATAGAGATCCATTCGTAGAGGTGCAGTTGCCCCCATATGTTTTGGTCGAGTTTCCGTTTTGATACACAAGCCAGAGGGTTTCGTTGGGTAGGATTGCGTTTGTTTGTACCCCAGGGAAATAGCTTCGCAATACAGACCAAAGGCCAGTAACCGTGGGAGTGGTAGAAGAACCAGGAAGGTATATGTCTTCTGTAAGTTGAGATATCGTTTCAAGGAACAAGCCGTCCTGAGCGACGGGGTAATGGGCTCGAATCTCGAACATGCGCTTCATGATATTGCGGAGTGGATGGGCGGGATTCCGCTGGTCGTACGTGACAGTGATATCATTGCAACCATTGCGTCCCTTATCGATAGGGAAATCGTAGAACTTTTCGGTGTTCAAGTTGAAGCAGCCTTGTGTCCACCATGCGGTCTGGTATGTCATGGGCTGTCGACCAAACATATAGTTCGCTGCAGTAGCGTCGAACACGTACATGTCCTGCTCTTCTCCCCACAAGATCAGGGGGATTCCAGGAAGCTCCAGCGAGATGATGTACAAACCCAGGAGGTATTTAGCTGTACCATTTTTCAGAGCTGGCCAGCGGAAATTATCCTGGTTCGAGACACCATACATATGCCTGGGGTCGATTTCTCCTGTGAATGCATTGAGAAAATCGTTGGTAATGAGCATCTCATTCCAGGCTTCGATGAAGTCGGTCGGCAAGTCAAAGCCGGCAACCAGGTTACCGTCCAAGCCCAGGAAACGGGTCATCGAACGATAGATGGTATAATGGAATGCGGAGCCATCCAAGGCTTGCAGCCCATCCTCTCGTAGGAAAGCCCCCTCCGAGGTGTTGGTAAGCTTAACACCCTCGCCTGCATTAGCCACACGCTGATCGGGCTGGCGACCGCGGCCTAGGTAGAGACTGCCAAAGCTATCTCCAGATGTGATCTCGCCGGGGAGGAAGAAATTCTTCTTGCCAAGTTTCTGCGCGCATTCACGGTAGACGGGGAGCATCTGACTCAGGGGCTCGAGGGTCGATTGCACAGACTTATCAAAGCGGAAACCATCGAGATCCAAACTCGCGATTTGAAGGCAGGAGTGTTGAGTGATTACATCGCGGACAGGCTTGTGCCATTCACGCAGGCGATCCTGCACGGAGGCAAACTTGGTAAGTTGACGCTGCCAGTCGGGGAAGTTACCGAATGCCTCTAGCTCTCCAAATTGATCAAAGTCGCTGTTATAGCAACCGTTCAATTCTTGAACCCCGTTGTCTGTTAATGGGAATCCAGTCTCATCCCAGAACTTAGGAAAGTTGCAAGTTTCGTTCCAATCGTTACTGAACTTGAAATCGACGTATTCTCGGTCGGTAACCCATTGGACTTCATATTCTGATGGTTTGAAATCGGCAGAATCGTTCAGATGGCCTTTGAATCCAATCAGGTTGCTCATTCTGTGTTTCTAAGATTAGCCCATGAACGAACACCCGAGAATATGGAGCGTCGACTTACGTTGCCAGTGTGTTATCCACCACCACATACATATTCCGTTTGTGGATCTCGTCGACCGTCCGCCTCCAGTCCTCCAGTGTTCCATAATGCATGTCGAGGAGAGTGGTATCGACCGGCGAGTACCCATCGTAGGCCCAGGGCAAGTTCATCAAGTACGTTCCGGCGAAGTAGATGATCTATTGTGGTTAGCGATGAAGGCATTCGGAAGCTGGATCTCAACTAACCTTGAATCCCATTCCCTCAATATAGTCCAGTGTATCTATCAACCCTTCCAAGTCACCACCGTGGCGCATCTGGTTAGAGTTGATGACATGCTCAAAGGCGGTCCCGTTGATATCGTCATTTGTAGGGTCACCGTTGGATATCCGGTCCAAAAAGATTGTATATGTGGGCATGCGCCAGTTATCTGGCGATGGATGGTACTCATGGTCCGGCCATGCTCCCCAATAATCGATCGGGCCAGCAGCGGTTTTGTTTTCGTTTAGATTGTATTTAGCGAGTGGTTCGTCATACGGCCAACAAAAGGCATAGACGCTCAAAAACGACAGTATGAGGAAAGCTGAGCGCTGCATTTCCGTATATAATACTGTTATCAGCAGTAACCTGCTGCCGGAAAGATGCGCAACTCAAAGAACGAATGATATGAGTTTTTGGCGAATAACGAGAGTGAGATGAATGAAAGAACAAAAAATCAACTGAAACAAGCTTCTAGCATTTTACTGCTTACTGATTTCCAAGATTTTACAGATTTTACAGAATACATATTTTTCTTTTCTTTTCTTTTTTATTTTTTACTATGGGGAACAAAACCCTTATCGGGCCGAACGGATGGATGGTCTATACATAGGTGCCGTACACTACTGCAAGACCCACGTAAACCCACCCAGTCAGATTTCATCGATGTTGTATCCACTGACTTTTTGCCTCTGCGTGGTTGGCTTTTCGGTCGGTGTCTCAGATAGATCCAAAGGGTTTGAAAAGGCTTTGATGTACTCCGTAATCCGTATTTGTTAGTAATTATTAGCAAGCGAGCTTGGCTGATGTTAGTGCGCTTAACCTAAACATTCTAACTTGGATAGGTATATGTTTGTGTGATGTATTGTTCTCATAGTAAATTTTATGGGGTCACCAAGTAAGACGGTTATGCAAAGTGCACTTCTTAGCCATTTAGCTGCATCAGCACACCAGTGTGGATGGCAATATGTACGTTGTATGGCAAAAAGCCTTTTTTAATAACATATGTCTTAGGTCAAAGCACCGCCTATGTCTCTTTTTTTAGTTTCTTCCACATTCGAACTGCATCATGCAATGCAACCGATAATCCTAGAGGCTTATCTTTGTCATTAATTCAAAGGAAGCGAAGCGAGGGAACTATTCTACCGTAGACTAAAAAGTATCCCAAAGACATGGAAGATTACTCCGTAGATATTAGGTGACTATTAGGTGACCGAGGTCTTGTATTCAACCCCCACCCCTCTCTTATCTCCAAAAAAACACAAATACACAATACTTCAACCATTTTGCGGATATCCTGTTTTGCCCTGAAATTTCTACCATTTGTAAAATAAAAAAATAAAAAAAATAAAAGCCAAGTTCGTATACGGAGCATACGGAGTTTTGGTGGGTTTCTTTTTTTATTCGGTTCCGCCCGCCTTCGACGTCACATCTTCAGTTTCCGAGACCACTATCGCCAGAATCCTGGGATGTGAATCAGGGTGAAAGTAATCCCTCGCTCTGAGACCTTCCAAATTCCTTTGCAATATTCTTTCTCAGATTCACTAACCCAGCCCCCTGATTTATTTCCTTGTTCTGATGCATACGAATTCGATCTCCCGTGTCTTAGATAGAAGCGAGCGAATCCACACTACATACTCCGTACATATGCGCCTAACGATCCCGTCACACCTCCTGTTGCAATTCCGGAAGAAAAAAAAAGGCTCATCCCAATGATTTCGTGCCAGTGATCCAATGGCGGGGCTCGGGATCGTACAAAGTAATCTTCAATGGTATCCATGCTATCTTTACTTTTTGCCGCGCTCAGGCACTCATAAATAAGCATCAGTATCATGGGGTGTGCGGTCTAGATGTCGCACAGATGCATGGCTTCAACGTCCCAGTCACACTCTCAATCGTATTCGAACACTGTCTCGGAAGCTTATTTTCCGTGTCAATTTATACATGTTTAATTGGTGGTAAGCGAGCGCAACGTGCTACCTATGTGTACATCCATATACAATGATACATCATGACCCGATAAGGATAGCTTAAATGTCCTAGTCTTACTAAATATAGCCGAGGGCGTCAAGCCAATGATTGAATCGTGCGGCCCATATATGTAACTGGTCTTGTTTCGAGCGCCCCATACAAAGTGGATCAAACTTGATTTCACTCAATTCAGAACACTCTATGATACTCTCACGCCCTGTTTAGGAACAGGCTAGGGCATATGTGCTTTAGTTTAGTTCCAAATATCGGCATGTATTGTCCTCCGTAGGGAAATGTTTTCTCTGCCACGCTGGAGCCTCCACGGAGGAGAATCGTGTCAAGTCCGCCACCTACCCGACCCAATGCACGGCCCAACAACTCTTTTTGTACCTATGGTGTTGGTGGGCACCACCGGATGGCAAATTTTCACCGGATAGCAAATTCTAAGGACTAAGTATCTTTTGTATAGCAATTGTACACAAAAGGCACAGAACCACAATATAGTCAAAAACTCGATTTTATTAACCTTCAAAATAGTTATATATGTAAATCAAGCCTTGACTACTACTTTCCAAGGTTCGTATCAACCTTGGTAAGAACTATCATATCTAGGTATTCTCGAAGTAAGAGAATGGTTCAACCTTTGTATATATTGTTTACGCGCGATGATTTTTAATGTGCTCTTTACATTATATATCACATATTTAGGATCAATACGAAGATCAGTTAAATCTGCTTGAACTGGGTTGAGAGTTGAGAAAAATCGATATGTTCTTTTTATGTACCTTTTTTACGGGGCAGCTGTGCAAAAGATGCCTCTCATCCTTATAATTTGCTCTTCAGTGAAAATTTAGTATCCGGTGTTGTCCGTAGGGGCTTGCCACGATTACTTGATCAATTACTTTACTGCCTAGTAACTGACCTATGAGCAGACTCGGGTATCCGAGACTCGCTGCATTGTTCGGTTCTTCCGGTTATTTTAGGTCGGGCGGTTCCACAATCACCTTTTTGCCTTATATCTTAGGTATCAACATCTTGAACCATGGCTGACTGCATACAAACCCATTTTTACCATGACAAGATTGACAGGGACCAAAGCTTATGATATCATTTGAGTAAATCCATGGATTGCACCCAGAAGAGCACAGCAGTGCTAGCAGGTATAGCTTGTTTGTTGTGCTATCATTACAAGTCAAAACACTCTCTGACTAGGTTCTAAGGGGCATGTTAGAAGGCATACTCCACTTCATCGACACATACGATGAAATAGACATGCAAGGTCTCGTGTGTCCTTACTTAGTAAGCACATATCCCATCCATTCGTCCTACCGTCGCACTATTACGGGCTACAATACGGAGTAAGGAATCCATCTATGCCATTCTAGAGGCTGCCGTCTAAGATAATGAGGTTGTAACTAACTTTAGCACCCACGCTAATAGCAAGCCTCGTGTTCTAGGTGGCTTTCTTTCACTAGACAAAGTGGATAATTGCCGGGCATACCAAGCATTTATATATAGCTTAACTAAGACAGAGATTTCACCTTGATTCTTACCTTGATTCCCCGTTTCTCACACACCAACCACCCAATCACTTCCAGTTCTTTGCAGTATAATCCCCTCACACATGTAACATGCTACATACGACCATAGGGTGTGGAAAACAGGGCTTCCCGTCCGCTCAGCCGTACTTAAGCCACACGCCGGTGAGTTAGTAGTTGGGTGGGTGACCACCAGCGAATCCTCACTGTTGTATGTTTTTGTTTTTTTTTTTTTTATTCTTGGGCTGGATTCAATCAAATAAGTGTGGTTGATAGAGAGAGAGCAAGCATGGCGAAAACCATGGGAATCTTCCAATTCATTGCCGTCAGGGGTAAGAAGAGATAGCGAGTGGTAAGTGAACATAAATTGTCTATATGACATATTATATCTATCTATCTTCATTGAATACAATTGGAAAAGAGTTGAACTTTTCTAACTATTCCTTTCTTCAATATCGGGGCAAATCCAACAAGACAAGTACTATGATACACGAAGTAGCATGCAGCCGATATAACTTCCTCTCATACCAAGTCAGCAATATATATATTGCGACAACGAAGTGTTTGATCTGGATCCAAAACGCTTCGTTCGGGCTATTCCAGTCTGATATTTGTAGTTTTAAGCTCTTGGGTTCCTCAGTACTAATCAAAGTGCGGCAAGAATATGTGAAATTTACATAAATTGTAGGTAAATGCCTCTTCTGAGGCTGAGTTTACCTAGATCTAGACAAGAATCGTGTATTGTCCTTTTAGGTAATACCTCCCTTAGGCTACTCTGGGTTCATCAGAGTCCACTAGCGCAATTACTACGTCAATACAGTCAAGGTTGTACAAACTGACCCTACTCCTACTAGTTATGTTATGCGACAACTATACCCAGCCAGTAGTTGCTGATGCCATAGGGTGATAATGGGCTGTACCAAGGGTGAATGTATAATTCTCCGAAAACCACCAACTTGGCGTCCAATCTCCGTTTGTGTAACGTTTCGCTCGGGAAGACTGCATGTTACACAAGAACGTGAAGACAAATGAAATAATAGTGATTATGCTCGACCACGCGGGTCTATCCGAAAAACAACGGACTATAGCATAACTGACACGTGGTTTCGTGAAGGTGTGTTGATCTATTGATATGTCGCGCACACACTGATGCTTATAGAAAAAGATGCGCAAGGTTTCACAAAACACGTATATTTGTTCACTTAAAACCAGAAACCTCATATTCTACAGAAATGTTGTACTACCAACCTTCATGATCAATTTGTTTGATCAGATAGAGCATGGAGGCGGATCAGGCAAAGCCAATAATGGAACTGCACTTCCGAGTCTATCGCGCTCTGTTTATCATCATCCGGAATTGACACTGGGATTTGGTAATTGCCTAAGCTTTAGACTGTTTTCATATGGTATTTAAAGCGGTAGTGATCCGAGATCGAATGTACAAATCATTCTAAAATTTGCACGCTACGGCAGACAATCTACTCAACATGTTCACAGTAACGGAGCATGTGATTGATGCGCAATACATCCGTGAATACCCAAATGCAACTATTTCTCAAGATTCCCCTTTAAAGCTTGTGGTGAAAAAGTATACACCTATCGACAACCCAAACCCCCAGCTAGGCGATGTGACTATCATTGGGGCACATGGATGCGGGCTTCCAAAGGCAAGTACACGATCTATCGTTTATAGAATGACGGATGTCGCTAACTAAGTAGAGAATTCCAGGAACTTTACGAGCCGTTATGGGAAGAAATTCTCATGCAAAGTAAACAGCAAGGGTTTCGGATCGGATCAATATGGGTTGCAGATGTGGCGAATCTAGGTGCTAGCGGTGTTGCAAATGAAGAACTGCTCGGTGATGATCGTGAGTGCATCTTCTTCGGCATTTGAACCTCACGGCTAATTGGTACAGCGTCATGGTTTGACCATCCTCGTGATATTCTACACATGATCAATCACTTTCGCCACGAGATGCCGAGGCCCATCATTGGTGTAGGGCATAGTATGGGTGCGACTCAACTGTATGTTGCTCGAAGCGAGAGGGAAAAGTAACTCACGTTAACATCCCACACACTAGCGCTCTCTTGTCGCTTATACATCCCCGTCTGTTCACATCGCTTGTCCTAATCGAACCACCTTTCAACCAAAGTCTCTTGACTGTCCAAATATTTGCCCTCCTCTCAATTAAGCGACGAGATACCTGGGCATCTATATCCGAAGCCACCAAATCAGCCACCAGGTCATACGCACGATGGGATCCTCGTGTCCTGAGGCGGTGGAACGAGCATGGATACCGCAGTTTACCAACAGCCATTTACCCACGGACAGACGGGGAAGTGAGCCCCACTAACGGACCAGTCACTTTGACCGGCTCAAAATATCAAGAAGCCATGCTCTTTCTCCGACCAAACTTCATGGGCCACACTACTTCAGTACTAGCAGACCCCACCAAAACGCCGCTGCATGACCCCCTACTATACCCCGACATTATTGACCCTCCAAACCCATCCATGCCCTTTTATCGAAGCGAGGCTATCATTGTGTTGAAGATACTCAAACACATCCGACCGCCTGTCTTCTATCTGTTTGGAGGAGAGAGTCCAGTATCAACGCCAGAGGATCAGGCCCTAATGTTCGAGAGGACAGGCGCAGGATTTGGGGGAAGCGGCGGAGTGAAACATTCCCAAGTTAAGAGGGCAACTATATTGGATTGTGGTCATATGGTTCCCTTCGAAAACGTGGATGAAAGCGCTTCTCTTGTTGCGAGATGGGTTGGCCAGTCTGTACAGAGATGGCAGACAGACGAACTGCGAGTGCACAAGAAATGGGCTAATCAGTCAACAAGGGAGGTGCTGACTGCGCCCGCTAAATGGAGACCCATGCTGGAGGAATTTTTCAAGTCTCAAGGGCGGACAGAGAGGTGGAAAATTTAGTAATATTCATGTACTTGGGTTGATTTTAGTTACTTGGCTTGCCTGTGTTTATTGGTTCCTATCGTGAATTTACAGACTGCGTATGATACTACTTTTGGCAGGTTCCCAAATTTTGCTTAACTATATGTGCGGGCCTCACGTTGCTTAGCTGCGTTGTGTTAATTTAGCTGCGTAGACATAGAGTATATAGGCTATGAAGAAAACTGCCAACATGGGCAGGTATAATTTACAAGCTAGACAGTAATGTTATACCTGCATTATGTGCACTTGATCATCTTCCGGGAAATTAATTACCAAAATGACAACAACCAGTAGAAACCCCACGACGCAGTTGACTGGGCTAGTGATCAAATTAGTGCTGGCACGCTGGAGCTAAGATCAGCAACATAAGTCGCACGGAGTGTTAGACCCCCTTTCCGCCCCTCGCACAGCATGAAAAGCTACGAAGGGTCCGCCTGGGAGGCTTGCTGTGGTTACACATTGCAAATGGTCTGCATGCACGGTTCTTCTTGTGGACAATATGTGAGGTTACACTAATATCTATTATCTCAAAAGCAGGAAGTAACACCCAGAAGGGTGAGGCGCATAGCCGATTATACTTGACACATGAATGATTTTCGAGAATCCACAAAGATTTTCTCAATGTATGAAGGCCGGATCAAACGGCCTGTGGCCTATAAGGGTGTGTTCAATATGCATTCCCCCTCTCCTCCAGGGGGTAATGCCATGCAATTGGAATAATATAAAGTCGAACTCATTAACCCTTTTTCTTTCTTCTTATCAATTCTTACATCGACACCTTAAAGCGACAGCTATTTACACGAAAGATGGTCCCTCTCACATTGGACATATCCGAGTACCTGCTCTTGGTGGTAACTGCAGCCCTTGTGTACACAGGCACCAAGGTTATTTATCGCCTATACTTCTCTCCACTGGCCGGATTTCCCGGCCCACGCTTGGCAGCAGCAACTAGCCTCTATGAGGCCTATTTCGACATCGTGAAAGGAGGCAAGTTCATGTTCGAGCTTGAGCGTTTACACGACAAGTACGGTCCTATCCTCCGCATCAACCCTCACGAGATACATATCAAAGACCCAAACTTTTACGATACCTTATATGGTGGCCCATTAAATAAAAGAGATAGACTGCCCTCGTTTATTCAAACTGGATTGCCCCTGGCAACCTTTGAGGCTGCGCCACATGGTCTTCATCGTGAGCGGAGGAAATTATTGAGCCCTTTCCTTTCAACACAATCGGTTACAGCCCTCCAGCCTGTTGTTCAGGAAAAGTTGGATCTGGTTTGTAGCCACCTGTCAAGAAGGGTTGGCACAGGAGAGGTTCTGGACTTGCACTCTCTCTTTGCTTCTTTCGCCATAGACGTGATGTCTACATATATACTTGGCCGCGCGCATTCTTATGCGTACTTGGACAAGGCAGAGATAACGGATGAATGGAAGACAAATGTGAACAGCATCTTTGAGGTGCTAATTCAGATCCGGCATATTCCATTCATCTTCAGACCAGCACGCAAGTTTCCTAGGATTGCTGCCTGGTTGTTCCCCAACTTTTCCGGGATTCATCAATTTGAGAAGGTATGTGTGGTCATCATCTGGTGTTAAAGATATACTGATAGCGGAATAGAAAAACCATGAAAGTGTAAAAGCCGTGTACGAAAATCCAGAAGGGGATTCGATGATATCAACTATACTCTCCAACAAGAAACTACCTGCCAAGGAAAAAGAGCTCGACCGACTGGACAATGAACTACATTTTTTGTTATTTGCTGCAACTGATGCACCGACTCAAGTAATGGCAATCACTCTATTTCATCTCCTTTGGAATCCAAAAACATATCAAAAGCTCAAAGACGAGTTAGATGAGGCTTTCCCCGTTCTGTCCGATGCTGACTGGACAAAGCTAAAAAGTCTTCCCTATCTGGTAGGCATCATCATCCTGTCATGTTCTCATATTATACTGACGATGACCTTACAAGTCTGCTGTGGTAAAAGAAGGTCTACGGATTTCCGCCGTTGTGACATCAAGGCTTCCGCGTATTGCACCAGATGAAGCTTTACAATACGAAAAATGGACCATTCCACCCGGGGTATGTCTTTCCAAGGCTAATATATCTTCTGCCCAGTTTCCTACTCTTGTTTTCCTATTAATATGTTGATATAGACGCCTATTGCCATGACCATCCATTCCGTTCTACGAAACCCTGAAGTATATGCCGAGCCGATGAAATTCATCCCAGAACGCTGGATAGGCTCTGCCGAGGAAGTCCGTCAATTGGATAAATACTTCGTTCCGTTTGCAAGGGGAAATTCAAGTTGCATGGGTCAAAGGTAAGTAGTTTCTTGTTTCCTTACTAGTTACAGACCGGGGTCACTGATATATATTAGTATGACCTACTCGTGGCTGTACAGCGTGATAGGCACCGTGATACGCAAGTTCCAATTGGAGCTTCACGAGACAGATGAGAAGAATGTTCATATTGTCCGAGATTGCTTCAATGGACAGACAGCCCCTGGGCTCAATGTGATTAATGTCAAGGTGGCTAAGGAGTTCAACTAGAATTTTCTGCTACCATGTGAATCAGTGATATGTTTTGCGTCTTGGTCTAAACTTCAATCGTCATCTTGTTTCAATATTTGTTCAGTCACATCTTCTCGGCTTTAACATCTGCTATCTTTCCGCAGGAACATGGAACTCCAAGAATTTACGCCTTTCTCAGACTAAGCTCTTTCTTTTAGTTTTAACTACATGGTTCTGTTTTGCTTTACAGAGGCATGGACGGGAATGGCATGGAAGAAAGACTGCGATATGCATTACCTCTCATGAGAGAATTACCGAAACTTGTGATATTGTAGAAAACAAAACTCAACCCAATATAATATAATATAATAAGGACTACTAAACAAGACTTAACTCGGAACCAGCACCAATACATGTTGTTGTCATGTCCTAGGCCCTAGGTCCAAAAACATAATCCCGATCAACTGAAAGGCGTCCGGTGGCAATCTCCATCCGGTAGTGCTCAGCAAGTCCAACAACCATAAGAGCCCAGCCGCACTGGGTAAGGTCCTGATCGCAGTTTATAACCGGGAACGAGATATAAAGCTCCTGTTGGTGGTGCAAGGCATCATAGTGGGTGACCGTGCAGTCTCCAGCGCGGCAACGGTCAGCCACAAGATCCATCAACTCCTCATCAGCTAAAAGGCGGTCCTCAACGAAAAGCTTCACCGATACCCACCACATCTCGGGCAGGGTGCCGAGGTTTTCATAGTGAGGCTGGCCGTCTGAGAGGAAGATAGTACGGGTGTGCTTCAAGGCTTCTCGGAGTGCTGGATCCATGGTCTCGAGGGATGCTATAGGTTTGATCTAAATATGTTCAGCTATTGGGGGAGTTTGAGGTTTGCTATTTTTTTTATGAACCTGTGACAGGGAAACGCGTTACTCTCTAATGGCTATGAGTAGACGGGGAATTCCAAGGCTAGGTATTTAAATACGAAGCAGTAAGACAATGAACAGTTCTATTGAGAGGCCGTCTTTGACCTAGTTGAGAGAAACGTCTTTTACACCCTTGGAGGTTGTTACAATGCCTTTTACCGATCTTTTCGATAGGTACTCTAACACCCGATATCTAAATATAACTTATAATCAACAAAGCCCCAAAGCCTTCTACCGTTGAGGATTCGAGAGTAAAGAGCCAAAGAACAAAGTCTCCATGTTCAAATTGGACTTGGATATTATCTTGATCATTTCAATATCAAACTATGGAAATCGCAACTTGATCGTTACGGTGGTATCTTCTTAGTAGTTTTGTCACCAGATGCAGCCATGTGTGAGACTCGACAAAAATCAAGCAGTTTGTGCGTAAATGAGAATGATTAAATTATGACAATTAAGAGTATGTGCAAAATGGAATTTCGATTTCACATCGTTTTCCATCTTCCTTGGCAAAAAGGGAAGAGAACAAATATTAAAGGGAGAGGTAGCCATAACTACAAAGCAGCATACCAACAGGTTTAAGGAGTTCATTAATCGTGTACTTGAATACCAGGGTAGGGTTTGATCCGCCAAAGAAACCCCGATGGATCATTTTAATGCATTTTCAATAGGCCGAGGCCGCTCCGGAGCTTCCAATGCCGTCCCGTTACTCAACATAGTTGGCAGGGAAAGGTCCCTTCTGTCCTCTCAACTCACCCTCCCACCAATCGTCCGTGCTATTGGTCTTCCGCATGACGCGAATGCGGTCCCCTTCCCGGAAACTCAGATCGCCATTTCCCTGGCCATCAAAATCATACAGCGCCGTGACAAACACCGGGCGGGAAGCTGCCGGCGGTGGTGGCGGGGGCTTCTTTTTCCCTATGGCAGCAGCCATGGGTGATACCTTGGCCTGGAAAACGTCTATGTTCGGGCCGGCGGGGGATCTCACCACACCTGATGGAACGGGAGTGGCTTGTGGGGTCGGCAAGAGTGTAGGACGAGGGGGGTCAAAGTAGTCGCCGCCCGTCGAGAGAGGCTTCGATCCTGCGGTGTTTCCGACAGGAATCGCGCTGCTTTTATGGCTAATTGTTGACAAGGGCGGAGACGGAGGATATTCTGGTACACAGGGTGTCTGGCTCGACGACCCGGGTGTTTGTGATCCCCGGCGGAAAGAAGCTGAGAGTGAGCTCGATGAGGCTGTGCTGTGAATGCGATTCCCAATTGAAGGGCGTTTCTTATTCTCCTGATCGGCTGCAGCTCGTCGCATGGCCTTTCCTTGGGTTAGCGAACCAAAGGTTTCTATTTCGGTTTGCACAGGCTTGAAGGCAAACTCCCAGTCCTGGATGACTTGTTCCATGGCTGGTGGCGGAGAAGGGAATCCTTCTTCTTCGCAGTAAGTGTGAAGCACTGTGTAATAGTGCGCAAGCATGCGGTTTTGGATCTCAACCTGTGCTTCAAGGATGAATGGCGTCAGGGAGAATATGAGAGCGATTAATGTTGGGAGTCGCTGTCGTAGATCATGGTCGGCAGCTTGGTAAGCCTGGATCGCAATTAGTATTTCTTGTTCTATGATTGGTATTGGGACTTAATATTTGTACCTCTTTGTTATTGGCGAGCTCGATTTCCGCTTTAGCGAGGCTCACATTTTCGCGATCGGTGCGCTTCGGCTTTTTCATGAGGCTATCAACTCGTCCTTGGGATATTTCAAAGTCGGTCTAAAGATTGGGACGTTAGCCACAAGTAACCCAACAACAGCTCTCATTCTTTATTGTGTACCTTCTTGTTATTTCGTTTTTTGATCGTCTTTTTCATCGGCGCAAGGGATTCCTTCGCTTGTGCAGCCGGCCCTGACATGCGAGTATCAACAGCGCCGAGTTCATCGATGAGATCGGTGCGTAGCTCGTCATATTCCTTCCGCAGTCTGTTGGTCCGGGCTAATCTGCCGGGGTCTGTATCAACGGCTTTGTGGTTGGACGGGGTTTCCGAGGAGCCAATGATAGGACCGTAGAGGCCGTCGAATTCATCGACAAGGCGACTCTGGTAAGTTGCGATAGAGACCCAAGCATCACGCCAGGCTTGGGTAGATTCCACGATCTGATAAAATAACACGTATCAGGAAATCGGACAGAACGCGCGTCATCGGGGTAACATTGTCTACCTTGCCCAAGAGCATATCTGCATCGTCAAAATCTTTTAGAAGCACAGCAATTTGGCTGTCATCTGCAGACGACTTTGTCGTCATGCGACCAAAGCGCCTTGACATGTTCTGCATGTTAGGCGATGGGGGAGCTGTCAGAAGCTCGAGGGGAACACGGAACGGTGAGAGGGAATTGATAACAAAAGTATCGCCACACGGACACAGTGTATGAAACAAGAATCAACTCTAATTCAAGTCAATAGTATTCAATTCCAGAATTCAAATGTAAAGTGATGGAGAAGGAAAGAAACTTGGAAGGGGGCTCAACGTCCCCTCATGACACATAACTTGGCCCCAAAGTGTTTCAGCCTTTCATGCGGCTCTCTCGCCCCACGGCCCCCTCCCCCTCCAGAGTCGTTGACATTTCGGGAAAGAGGTGTGTTTATCAACGCCCAGAGTCCATTCTCCACTCTACGTATATCATCCATGGTTATTGAATCAGGGGTAATGGTCATCTTATCTATCTCATACATCAATACGGAGTACATGGGCCCCTATGACAAAGATAGTACGCATACAATTTTAAAAGGGCGATTAGCTTGTGTTCGAGTCATTGAAATTACGATGCAAGAGGTTGAAATACAATGTAAACATTGAGATTGATATTGATGAACCCATGAATGAATGAACTTAACCTGCTGATATCAGAACTCTATCTGATCTCACGTGATCCATGTTTACATTGTAAGGCAACGTTGCTCGTTAAAAGTTTCATCTTAGATATTGATTTGTCTTCAATCATATGTTGTAATTCAATATGTAGGATGTAAGGCAACAGTGGACGCTGAAACAGCCCCCTTCTATTCCGGGTATAGCGCCCTCACTCCCACCCGTTTAGGTTTAGCGCCTCGATCATTTGTACCGGCTATCTATAGAACACCATTCACCCTATCCTGAGCGAACGACTTATGTTGTGTAAAAGTATAGAACAAACTACGATCCATATTTTTCAAAATTGGGATTATTTGGCTTACAAGGTGGATCCAGTCGAGCTCGATTGTAGGGTTGGAAAATATGTAGCTCGTTTTTGGTTATGGTCTAGTGGTAAAGAAAACCATTCCACCCAACACGTTAGGAAAATGACCCATAATATGGATGATGGAAATATTATGCGAGGGGTGAGAGTGGAAATCGGAATATTCTGGAGAGCGGTCACCTAATTAATTCTAATTGGTTCTTAACTTGCTTGTTGCTGACTTGCCTTTCAGGTTAGACAGCCCAGACTATCTCTCAATTATTCGAGGTTGATTCTGACGATATAGCTGCCAAATTTCAAGTATTATTGGTGGCATCTATAGCAAGCGTAAGGAGTGAAGAGTGTCCGATTCTTACCAACATTGAAGTTATTACATATTCCATAAACCTTAGCCTTAACTATGAAGCGACTCATTTCCCGCAAGCCGCATTGTCGTCATAGTCTCAAACATCCGCTGTATCAATCTTCAACAAACTCTTCTTCCACCATTTCTCCTCCTCTTCCACAGCCGTTATCCGACTCTCCGCCTGCCGGAATCCATGTCCTTCTCCGTGGAAAACCACTAACTTAGAATGACGACCAGCCTTTGTCATCATTTCGACCATTTCCTCTGCCTGGTTCATAGGAACGACCAAATCCTCGTCTCCTTGAAGCAACAACAGTGGCGCAGTGATTTTATCTGCCTTGAGACAGGGGCTGCGTTCGCGGAAAATGCGGGTTTTCTCAGCTTCATTCGCACTAGGATCAAACAGCAAGGCGAATGCGTAATGGCTCTCGAATTTATGAGTATCCTCACAGAGAGCCTTGACATTGCCTATGCCGTACAGAGAGTTACCACCGGCGAAGAGATTGGGGTAGTCGCAAAGAGCTTGAAGTACGATGTATCCACCTGCACTTTGGCCGCGAACACCGACTCCGTTTTGGTCAATCCGGCCAGTGGATGCTAGGTATGACACACAGCTAGCAGCATCTGCTGTATCAAGGATACCTAAAGATATTCGGTTAGCATTGGGAGGGAATTAATCTAATATGAGAGGGGTGGAATTCTTACCCCATTGCCCATTCAAATCATCTCGATACGCTCTGCCATATCCGGAGCTGCCTCCATAGTTTACCCAAACAACAGCATAACCTCGAGAAGTCCAGTATTGGTCCGTGATACTCAGGCCGGTTCCGGTTTGGGCCGTTGGTCCACCATGGACACAGACGATCAAAGGTGGCAGCGCTCCAGATGGTGGCTGATAATCCGGGTTTTGAGGTGGGTAGAAGATGGCATGCGCCACTCCTTCCAAGCTCGTACCGTGAACTCTTGGAAAAGAGATATGCTCTGGCTTGGAAACAAGAGAACTTGGCATAGGGAGCTCGGAAGCTACCTTGAGTGTATTGAGCTTGACGGTGTCGGCGATGTCCAATGTATAAACGGTGCTGAAGCTTGTTTCACTGGATCCGAGAAGGGCTACTTTTGTGCTTGAAAGGGGATTATCTGCCAAAATAATTGTGTCTGTCACTGGTAGATTCATGTCTTGCCAGGAGTCGTTCGACAAATCTATCAGTATGAAGCTCCATCGAGCATTCTTTGTGTACGACGCAATCATTGAAGTTGGAGTCAAGCACACGTATGTGCAGCTAGCAAAGGAAGATATAGGTTAGCCATCGATTTAACAGTTGCCTCGAGTCGAAATCAAACGTACTTTCCTAGACGCCAGTCGGGCTGCGAAAATTCGACTTTTTCCAGGCCATGCAGGGCGATCCGTTGGCATTCTAAAGTGTCGACGTGAGACCGATAGAGCTGCCAATACCCCGAACAATCGCTCGTGAAGTACAAGGTATTATCAAAGCCCCATCGTGGCTGGCTAACACTCTCTTTCTTTGGCACGCCAGACACGTGGTTAACGTCTGTGACCTGACCATTGTCCCATTTAGCCACATACAGGCGGGCTCCTGTCCAAGGCATGTCTGGATGAGACCACTGCATCCAGCATATTCTGCTGCCATCAGGGGAGAACTGGGCAGCGCTGTAGAAGTCGTCGCCGGAGGCGACGTTGACTACTTCTTTAGATTCCACGTTTACCGCGACGAGTCGGTTCCGAACTTCCGACGGCAAGGGCTTAGAGTGGTCCTCTTCGATCGCCAAGATCCATCCCGAATCTGCCTGACCATCCGACAAAGAGCCTACAGCGGAGGTGCACGCATAGCGGAGAGCAGTGCTTGTCTTGGTGATCTGCTCAACATGACCTGTGGAGGGATCAAGTTTATGCAGATCCTGTGTCTCCCGATCAGAAAAGACGACATGTCCATTGAAAGCTATCATGGACGCGCCGCCATATTCATGAACTTTGGTGCGAGCGTCATATCTAGTAACTTCGCATTAGATCTTGGTTCATACATGACTGGATTTTGAGTATGTACTTGGCCGGTAGGATATCGCGCCCTTCACTACCAGAGTATTCGACAATGCAGCCTCGTCCCTGCTCTTTGGGCCGACCCTCAATGACATAAACCTTCTCATTGGATGCCTGAAGAGATCATTAAAACATTTCAATATAAGCGGTCTTGATATTCATTGAACATACTGCGATGGATTCAAACTGAACACCGTCAGCGCCAAGCAAAGTAGAGCTGATCGGGCTCTTCCATTGGCCGAACGGAGCAGTGACGGGAGTACCCATGGGGATCGTAGTACTTGGATTATTTTGCTGGATTGGTCGAGTTGGTACTCTTGTTGAGTATTGGTATAGGTGTTGACTTTGCGAGGGGAGGTGTGAAAATGAAAAACTACCCCGCAGAGACTGCAATATTGGTGAGACTGACCGGGTGTCAGCGGACGTTCAATCGAAACGAGCAATCAGAGTGCTAATTCAGATGTCCCAATATAGAGAAGATATCGATATATCCAAGTATAACAACTAAGACATAATCACTCGACTAACCTCTCACCCGCATCTCTAATATCCTTCCAAATGTATTCTCGACGTGTCTTTTTTGGTGTCTTGTTTGGTGTCTTTTAGTCTGATTTGTTTTTATGTCTGAGCTTGCTCTTGGGAGAACTTGCTCCCAGTCCTATCAATGAGGACATGAGATGGTATTATTTATAAATACCTTGTCAAATGGATGTCTTTGTACACCTATTTCCCAATATTGATGCCTGAGGCATACGAACTTTGTCGGATTGGTCTGTATTGTAAATGTAGGGGTCCAATCAGTGGTATTCAACTCTCTGTATTTCTGTATCGGCTCTTGGTACAATTTATATGGAGCCATGATTACATAACATTAATTACAAAAATGTGTAGGATTAATAAATCCCCCGGTATGCCGGTCGTCATGCTCCGACACACCCCCTCAGCTATCCCAGTATGGGATTGCTGGACTTGTTAGATCGGCATATTGATCTCCATGGTTTAATTGACTAGGCCATTAGATAGCCTATGTCCACCATCCTGAGCATCCTTAGGAAGCTCTCATGCTTCTGGCGAGATAGCATCTTTGTGAGTCCATCTGCGACCATGCTCGCCGTCGGCACCCATCGCACCATTATGCGTCCTTCTCTAACCTCTTGCCGAAGCCAATGATGATGAATATCGACATGCCGAAGCTTCGTTTCGAAGGCAGTGTCCTCACTAGTAAGTAGGCTGATCGTTCTCTCGTTGTCGCAGTCGATCGTCATATTGTGGGAGGGTTCAAAACCGAGGCTTTTTAGTAGTCGACGCCACCATTGAAGTTGCTTCCCTGTCTCTGATAGGCCTAGCAGCTCTGCTTCAGTGGTTGACGTTGTCACGGTGGGTTGCTTGCTCGCTTTCCAGTCAACTGGTCCACCATAAGCTTGACAGATGTAGCCTGCAGAGCTCTTTCGATCTGGGTGATCTCCGTATGAAGCATCGCTTGCGAACTGTATGGAATCGATTCCAGTGCTTACTGCGTCTGCACTATATTCAATAGCTAGGTTCCGGGTAGTATATAGGTAACTGATGACCCGGTCAGCTGCTTGGTGGTGCTGGGGCCCTGGATTCGTCAAGAACTGAGCTAGTCGAGCGGTGGCCTTTGCAGCATCTGGCCTAGTGATAGTGGTGGCATAGCCTGCGGATCCAACCTTCTTTTGATAGAGAAGGATCTCCTTCGGGGTGGCTACGCCTTGGTAAGGCGTCAATTCGTCAACTGGTAGTGGCGTATAGACAGGTGGTCGATCTGTCAAATTGTAGCGGGTAGCAATGCTTGTCATATAGCTATCTTGACATAGCCAGAGCTTCTTCTGCTTCCTATCGCGAATGATTCGGATATTGAGAAACCATGATGCTTCTCCATGATCTGTCAGCTCCCAGTGGGCTTCTAGATCTCGCTCCAATTGCATGGCTCTTGCCTTAGCATTTGCATGGCTAGCAATTAAGATATCATCCACATAGAAGAAGACTATTAGCCCTTCTCCGACGAAGACACAAGGGTCTTCTGGTGCTTGTTGCAGACCTAGTTTTCGGAGTACACTAGCTGCTTCTTGTTGCCAAAGACGTGGCGAGATCCGTAAGCCGTACAATGCTCGACGAAGCTTCCAGCATTTACCTAGGGACTGGAACCCTTCTGGCATCTGCGTATACGTCGGTTTCTCTTGGCTTAGCTTGCTATTCAGAAATGCAGTGACAGCATCTCGCTGACGGAGGTCTAGGTCAAAGGCAGCGACTAGTGCAAAGATCATTCTTGCTGTTCTTGCTGCTAGCGTAGCAGCTCTCTTTTCTTCATAGGTAATCGTCTCAAGATCCCCACGAACACAGATTCGAGCCTTCAATTTCAAAAGGTAACCGTCCTGGTCGAATTTGTATGCAAAAACCCATAGTAAGGGAAGGATTTGTATCCCTCGATCCTTTGGCTTTTCAATGACTTCGAATGTCTCTTTTTCAGATAGAGAGTGGATCTCTTTCTTCATTGCTGCGAGAAAACCTTGCTGAAAAGGATGATTTATGACATCCTTCCAGTACTTGGGTGGTGGTGGGAGATCATCTCGATGGCGGCGAGCGTTTGGTTTCTCGGCGTATAGACCAGCTGCAAATGCATGTAGTAGAGCCGGTGGCTCTTCTTCGTCAATACCCTGTACTATAGTGGTTGCATATGCAAAATCGTCATCTTGTTTTGCTTTGCGTATTCGACGTCCACTTAGTATGTTGCTGGCATCTATATTGCTGGAGATCTCTCTGCTTGGTGCTAGCAGTTCTGCCTGGAGCTGTCTTTCTAGCTCATTTTCCACCTCTCTATTGGGTTCTTCATTAGGTTCTCCATTGGCTTCTTCATTGGCTTCTTCATAGGCTTCTTCATGGGCCTGATCTTCACTGAGCAGTTGATCATCTAGATCATGCGTATCCACCCCCTGATCAGGGCCAGTTTCCACCCCTTGCTGTAAGCCAGTTTCTTCATTTGGTGGGGTTAATGGTGATGGATCTTGATCCTTCTGTATGTCCTGGATCTCACCGGCTTCTTTTCTGACCGAGGTCAGAAGTATAGGTGGTAGGCTTATTGGGGTAGGCATTAATGCCTGCCTGCTCACCCCCTGAAGTGGGGTGATCTCTCGGTAGTCAACCTCACTTAGCTGAATATCTTGTGAAGTATCTGGTAGAGTATCTGGTAGAGCATCTGGAAGAGCATCTAGAAGAGCATCTGGTAGAGCATCTGGAAGAGCATCTGGTAGAGCATCGTCGGTTTCATCTTGTCGGTTTTGATGCTCACTTTCCGGCGTACTAGTTGCTTCCTGGCTAGCGATCTGATGGTTGATGATTTGCGCCACTTCGTCGGGCGTAATCTCTTCTGGCTCTCTCACTAATGGTAGTGGAATAGGCTGAGATTTCTCATAGTCCGGCGAGTATTTACGTGCTTCATCAATGACTGCATCTCGTATATACCTCACTTTCCCACTGTGTGGAAACCAGATTTTGTAGATATTAGATGCCAAGTATCCGACTAGGAAGCCGACCTCTGCTCTTGGATTCATCTTATCTGACTGGATCTGCCTCTCAATGCGGCAGTACGCCAAACTTCCATATAATCTAACATTTGCTAGATTGATCTTCGGGGCTGTTGGAGCAAATTCTCTTCTTACTTCTTCCCATGGTATTAACCACTTGTTCTCAGAAGCAATGTATGTAGGGGTACGGTTCAATAACCACACTGCAGCGCTTGCGAATTCAGGCCATAGGTCTTTCGGAAGCTTGCCTTCAAGAGAGAGCATACGCATACGGGTAATGATCATCCCGCCAGATCTCTCGGCATACCCATTCATCTCTGAGTGGCCGGGTGGAGTATGATATATCAAGATACCATCGCTTGTCAAACTGTGCTCCGCTGTTTTGCCTGCTGCGGCTTCATTGTCATAGTGAAATGCCTTGATCGGAAGGTTCCACTGATTCCTTGCTAGCTGTACAAACTGGTTGATCGCTATCTGGCATTCAGGCTTTAGCTCATGTGTCATGATCCAGTGGAATCTCGGCCCTTCTATATAGAAGTGAGATATCCATCGATGTCGATTGTATGCTGGCGGCAGTTGTATTAGATCAAAGTGGATTCTTCCAAATGGTCCAAAAGTACGTCCCACTGGCCGGCGAGAGATCTGCTTTGGTGCTCTCCCAATACGACATGTATGGCATAATGAAGCTTCTTCTTTCTCTGCTTTCTGGAGGACTATACCGTCTACCATAGTAGCAAGCTTAGCTACGGCGCGGGGCTCAATGTGAGCAAGTCGCCGATGCCAGATGTCAGCCGATGCCTTTGATTCCTGCGGCTTTACTGAGGATCTCTGTGTGGCATATGCTTGTTGTGGTGGTGGGGCCTCGTTTGGTTCGTCAAAAATCCATAGGTTAAATTGATCCCATAGATGCACATTGACTACAGGTAAATCCTTTGGATCTCGGATGCAGTTTGTACGTTGACACCAGGTGCCCCCCTTCTTCTTTAGCATCGCGTACGATACTAGATTTGTATGGAAGCTAGGCGAGTAGAGAGCGTCACTCAATGTGATTTCCATTCTCCCTTTCTGTGGATGCTTGCCGACTAGTCGAACTTTGCCTCTCCCTAGCACCTGCGTAGTACTGTCACCAGTTGTCAAATCTATGACTTCCGGCGTAAAATCAATAAACAGTGCTCTGTTATTGCATACATGTGAACTGGACCCAGTGTCAAGAATCCATCGATTGCGGAGAGAGAGCTCGCCAGTCTTTGCAGCTGAGAGTGCATGCTTGCCAATCTGTATAGCTTCACTTAGTAGCTTGCCTTGGTGCTTGCCCTGGGGCTTGCCCTGAGGCTTGCTCTGAGGCCTGCTCTGAGGCCTGCCCTGTTGCTTACTCTGGTAGGTGGTGGCGAAGCTAACGTGGTTTGCAGATTCATGATGCTTTGATTTAGCTTCATTGACAGCTTTGTCGACCCATTGCTTCCACCCTGGATCATTTGCTAGCTTCTTTCTAGCTCTCTCTAGCTTCCCTTCGTCTAGGGTATATCCTTCTGGGCGTATAGCTTCATTCATGAGCCAGCAGTTGGCCACCTTGTGGTGTGGATGACCATTGCCACATGGACATTTTCTCTTCTCGAATGGAAGCTTCTCTTGCTTCGCTTCCGGCTTTGCTTCTCGATGACCTTGCCAGGTTGAAAAAGCACTTTTTGGAGCATTAGTTGAGGTCACAGTTTTGACGCCTATCTCCCGATTCATTGCACGGAATGATTCAAGAAGATCTCGAGTGTCATATTTCTTCTTATCCATAACAATCTCTTGGTATTTTCCTTGCCACCAGATTGGCAGTACCTCTTTAACTGCATGTAGGAAGTCTCGATTGGAATCTGCATCGCTAATGCCGAGGCTAATAGCTTGCTCTCTTAGTGAATTCCACTTTTGAAGCCACTGCTCAATATCACCGGTTGGTTTCTGCATGGCAAAGACCTTCCAATTCATACGGATTTCTTCTTCGTACGCCGTTGACCGAGCAAATCTAGTCTTTAGGTATACAAGCCTCTCATACGGAGTACGATATGTGATCAGAGCAAGGTGATGCATTGGGTCGAGGTAGGTAAGGATGTACTCGTTGACATCACTTAGTCCTTTTGCTTGCTTCTCCCACTTCGTGTACTTCATTTTATACACGTCCATTCGATCTCGCCAAATCCTTCGATCCTTGTCATCGCCGTCCTCTGGGTATTCCGGTTCCACCGGTTCTTGGAGAGGTATAGATCTTATTGCTTGGGATTCGGTTGTCGTCGGGGGATCTGGGTTGCAAAGGTCCCATACGTTCTTTTGCATGGCATATAGCTGCACTTTTGCAAACCAAGTGAGCCACTGCGGCGAGTCCTTCAGTTTTTCGCCCTTCATGGCGGAGAGAATTGATGCTGCCTCCATTGCTGGATTCAGGGGTAGCTGGGAATAGCTTCACAATTGCTAATTCAGGGGTAGCTAGGAGGTTTCAAGGGGTAGAAAGCAGGCTTCTAGTAGTGTACTAGATACTATATCTCAAATAGTAATGCTTTCTTCGATGCGAACCGGGCTCATAACTGTCGGATTGGTCTGTATTGTAAATGTAGGGGTCCAATCAGTGGTATTCAACTCTCTGTATTTCTGTATCGGCTCTTGGTACAATTTATATGGAGCCATGATTACATAACATTAATTACAAAAATGTGTAGGATTAATAAATCCCCCGGTATGCCGGTCGTCATGCTCCGACAAACTTTGTCGGATTGGTCTGTATTTCGTCATGCTCCGACAAACTTAGCTCTTGCTTATCAGCTTATCGCGTTTCCACTTTCAACACGAGACCAACGCGACCAAAACTACATTTCGTGACATCCAATGTAGCCATGATCAAATCAGGTCTTCAACAATGCTACCATGATGTCTACGCCGTCATCTTCCACGCGTCTTCCCCCGACCTCCCCGCAGGTCACTGCCTCAGTGGTGAAGTTTCGCTGCCTATACACTCACGACCTACGCCGCAAATCCAAACGATGGCACGATGGCTACCTACGATATCATAAGTTCAACAAACGTGTCATGGTCTACGATGACCAGGGTAATTTTATAGGTGACCACCACTGGAGATCCTCCGATGAAGTCCAAGATGGCGATGAAATGGAGCTGGACAAAGGAATACTGATTGAGGTCACCGAGAACATGGGGACAACTGAGACGGACATCACGACCCTTTACGAAAAAAAGATATCTAGCCAAGGTTCGCCGCAAAATAAAGACCCTGTGTCTCAAGTTCCCCGCGCCTCAACCTATACACCAACCGCCTCAGCCTCCGCACCTCTTCGTTCCTCCGCTTCCTCCCAGTCATTTCGCTCTCTCAACGATTTGCTGGGCATTAAAAGAACTCCAATTGGGCATTTGGTGTCTCCATATGAGTCAAGAAATCCTCCGCAACCAGCAGTTACTAGCATTCAGGAACCTGAGCGCCCACCGAAGCGACAGAAGACATCTTCGGTGGTGAATCGAAACACCGAGAGAGGCTCGCGGGCTCACAGTCAAGTCATTGATTTGACGCATTCAAGCGATTCAAACCAGGGACTCCCCGCGAAGGCAAGGTCAAGCCAAATGGTAAAAGAACCACCCAGGGCCCGGGGTGATTTTACGGCCGATGTGCTCTCGGCAGATCGTGATCAGAGGTTGACAGTTCCGTCAAAGCAAACTCGGCCACAAAGACTCAACCATCCTTCATTCTCAAGGGTCTCGGTTCCAACTAGATCTGAACCAACCTCCAGTCTACTACCACCAGAGGAGGTGGTCCATACAATTAAGGGTGTCCAACCACCAAGACCCCTCAGTCCTTCATCGAAGCGTCCTCTTCCCACTTTACACGCAGAAGCAGAAATATCCGAACCACAAGGAAACTTGCGTGTGGAGCAAACGTCAATGAACTGCGAAAACCAGTCGAGAGCTATTTCACGTCCTATCCCAGCACAGAGGCCTGACCCGCCAACGGTTTCAAGAAGCTCTCTCCCAATTGCACCCAAACAGTCGTCTGCTACAATACCTACACCACAGCCGCCAGTACGCGTAGTGAGCAATTATGAGAAACCTATCGAATCTACGAACAATCAAACCTGTACCAACGTTCCACCTCCAGCCAACGTTTCACCCTCAAACAACGTCCCACCCTCAGTCAATATCTCATCTTCAACGAAGATGCCACCTCCATCGCGTCTATCCTCGGCACTGCGCCCTGGAGCACCTACGACAGCTCTACGCATGGGAACCGGAAAGCCACGCAGGAAACTGATGTACAGTGCTCTATTGCCCAGCACTTCACGAACTCCATCACCAGCGACCGCAGATACACCGCCTACTAGTGCAACCGGTGAACCCACCACAAATATCCCGGAGCAACAGTTAGTATGTGCCCACCCATTAGCCAAGATTGTGATATTGATTCCTGTATAGACTAGCCGACGGTCCAGATGATTTCTCAAGATCAAACGAAGAGTTTATGCCCTCAACGTCTACACAGTTTATCTTTGACGAGATGATAGACGGATCAGGATTCAAATCGTCCTCCGCGATCAAAAGGCTAACTGGGAAAAGATCTCTTGATTCACCCTTGCGCAAATCGATATCGGACCCAACTGCATTGACTGCCCGCCAAGGCCGGGCAGGAGAATCATTCCACGCGACCAACAAAGAAAATGAGCCCAGAGAGCAAGGCCCTTGGACATCCGAGGCATTAGATTTGTTTGACTTCTGGCCTGCTGGACGAGCAAAACCAAGTAATTGAAATATTGGGATTTGGTCTGAAACACATGCCTGAGGCTCTAAGTAACAACAGGGAGAGTGCAAACCAATCCAATAACACCAAGGACAAGCATCTTCCAGGCTCTGGTACCCAACAAGGTCTAACGCCCCGTGAGAGGCAACCCCCAGATCACCGAAACTACCCTCTTCGACGTGCTGCTCTCGAAGCCAAGGCAGTGAGCAGCTTTCTGTGGTATTCCTGCGAGAGCCGCATCATTATTCGAATTCCATTCACAAGTGCACACTTTGCGAACATACTGCCTGCAATTCCTGTCGTGGAACCCCATGCATTCGTATCTGCAGGCTTCCCCGTCTCTCTCCCCCACAATCATCCCTGACGACCTCAATGACATGAGTGAAAATATGATAGAAACAAAGATACCCATTTAACAATAATGCAAATATATCTGTACCTAGCTCATCTCGAAAATGAACGAATTTAAACCCCCTTCTTAACCAAAACACCAGAAAGATAAGGCATAGCAGACCACTCAAAATTCCTCTCCAACTCAACCCTTTCCCATCCTCCATCCACATCAGCCACAGCCCTCAAAACCGTCTCGGTATCCCTGTCCAAACAACAATCCCCAAGAAACCAACTCCACCCAAAGATCTGATAGATACCTTGCACAACCCGCCCAACGATCGACCCCTTTGCCCGCCGCCACGGGTTAACAATATGCTCGGTAACAAGCAACCGCCCACCAGGCTTAAGCATCCCATACAACTCACCCACCGTACGCTCCACCTCGGGAACAGAGCACAGCACCCGCACGCACAGGATGGTGTCGAAGATTCCCGCGCGCGGGTCGGTATCATACGCATCCACGACGCCCGTGCCCGTCGCCCGCAATGCGGGGATCAGTTCGTCGGCTGCTACGCCTGTAGGCAGGATATGGTACTTGGATGAGATGTTCTCTGCGAGCGCTTTTTCGCGGATCGTGGGGTGGAGGCTTTTGCATGGCTCGGCACCGTATAGGGCTGTTATGGCTGGTGAGGTGAGTAGTGGCATCTGTGTACCTGTGCCTGGTCCAATGTCGAGGACTATTCCTGAGGCTGTGCGGAGGATTGGAGGGATTAGAGCCGAGGAGCCGACTGGCTCCGGGATTTCTTTGTTGTTTGGGTCAGAGGACATTTGGCGAGGTGCTGTGTTGGTTTGGTTAGGATTTGTGTTCTCATTTATATTGTTTTATATTGATTATAGGGAATTGTTTCTCGCCCCCCTCGTTGATCTTGCAGAAATTGCTAAGAGTAGAGGCTCCGGTCTGGGTTTGTTGATGGTATATAGGGTGGCTGAGACTCACAAGTGAACTCGATCCAGAATCTTCCGAATGCTTCATCACGGAGTCTACCTGTCTGGGTAATTGGGGCAAAGAGCTGGCCATTTTTGAAGACTGCTTCGGCACATACTCGGATATAGTCTGTGATGTTTGAGTTAGTAATGGGCTACTTTATAGGTCGAAGATGAGAAATTGGTGCTGATATGAGGAATGTGCAGTAATATATCATATGCAACGATATACCAGACAGAGTACAGGGAGAGTCCCCTCGAAAGACAAAAGATGATATGAAAAATGGATACAGCATGGGCAGATTGATATAGTATATTGAAAAACGCAAATACAAAGAGAACAAAGGTCAAAAGTACATCCATTAGCGTTGAGTGCGATTTATTGAGATCAAAAGCAACTCGGTGTTTGTTCGGCGTCTGTACTTACGTGACATCGCCCAAGTCATGATATGTGCTGGCTCGAACATTGCGAGCATTCGCCCGATAAACGGTGGGGGTGTTTCAGTCGACATGATGGTCAGAGAAGTTCGGAATCTGATTTTACCAACTCTAATGAATGCTAAGAGGGGAGAATACAAGAGGAGGTTTATAAAGTTAGGGCGCGCATAACGATCACGTGACCCAGAGGCTTTTTGCGGGGATTTCGGCGTTTGAAATCAGAGTCACATCTGTGATCTGGAGATCACCAATAAACGAATATCAATGGCATGGTTATTCCAATGGATTATTGTATCGTCTAATGATCAGCACGCCTTACGAAATCGAAAGTAACCAGGCACAACCCAACAAAATTGAACATAGACTAATATCTAGCATCCTGGTCTGGTGCAAATTGCACAAATACTCAAAAAATGGTCACACCGGAAGAAAGAGCGGAGCCTATCAGTACAAAGACGACGGCATGTAGTGGTCACAGGAATTATCAACATAAATGAGAATATAGGAAAAGAGCAGACTCAGATTGGGAGACACGTTCCAGCAGGACGTAATGATTGAACGAAGGACAGACAGAGACAATAGGAGAGTTGAGATCTGTAGGAAGAAAAGAAAGAAAAAGATCGTAGGTGAAGAGAAGGCGAAGGAAGTTGGGATGAAACTATTCAGAGAGTTTCGAAGCCCAAGAATCCAGAATCACCAAAGAGTACATAATTCAGTTGACGTCTCGGTTTTGAGGTATGAGGTATTCCACGTTGGCGTGAAAGAAGTTAAAGTCGGAAACACTATTAGAAGGGTTGCTGGTTGGACAAGAGACAGAAGAAAAAGAGACTCGTCGTCATTATCTTTATAAGTGACTCGAGTCTGGGTTGAGGGCCTGCCCACAAACCCTACGAACAAACGCCAATTGCATAGGACGATGTTCAGTGATGGTGGGGTGAGTGGATGCGGTTGACCCTCGGACTGTACCGACTGGTGCGAGAAAGAGAGCCAACATCGTGTTTTCCGTCGCAACAAGCGCGGACATTCTCGAGTCGGTCTTGATCCTGGGTTTCGACCACATGTCTCAGGTCGTCGGCACTTTCTTGGCCATGAAGACTTTCGCTGTGGAGACTAGGAGATTGACCGTGCCGTCCCTTCAGGCTTGCGATGGATCCCCGAATCGAACTAGAGATGGTACTAAGTCTCGACGAAGAACGTTGGCGCTCATCGGGAACTTGCAACGTCGAGTTTGGCACAGGTGAACTGAGCGCCGGTGATGCACGCCCACCGAGAGTCCCAGAAGATCGCATGGACATCGCCGAAGCCGCTCGTCGTTGTTGCTTGGATATTTGGCGAGCGGTGCGGCTATTGTAAGAAGAGAACGACATTCGTGCTGTCTGACGAGAACTAGACCGGAAGCTAGGGGGGTTGAACTCGTTGATATCGTCGAGGGTTACGCTGTTATTATCTTCGCAGTTGTCGTTGGTCTCCCTTAAAAGAAGGTAAGACAACGCGTTAAACCATGTCTCGTGCCTCTGGCTTGTCGTAGCCGTAAACCGAACTCGTCGGCCAGGACTGACAACTTCCAAGCTCCTGCAGTGAAGACCGGGAGGATACGGGTTGTCGTCGGCAACCACCCGAACAGCTTCAATAGGCACACTCTTGGTATGGAGCTCACTCTTTCCAGCAGTTTGTGGATCCTGCGTACTCCAGTACAGAGTACGGGTGTATGGGTGGACCCAGAAGTATCGTCTGTGCCGTGTTGTGGACATGTCCGATGAGCCGGTCTTTCGAGTGTACTTCCAAAGGAATTCACCAATCATGGTTTGGGTAATCGCCTGGATCATGCGGGGATCCGTATTAGGTCCATAGCCGCCAGGCATGGGGCCAGCGTGAGGGGCCATATTGAAACGCTCCTCAAGCTCAGAGGCGAAAGACGACACTGAGGATCGTCGAGACATCTGGCTTTGACTTCCCCTCCTCATTCTGGCCTGAGATGAACCAGTTCTTGAAGAGCTAGCCCGCGCAGCATGTTCGCTTGGCGTAAGGGGGCGCTGGGAGTTCATGCGATAGGCGGAGGCAGGCGCCAAAGGAGGCCCCATGACAGAGGTAGGAGATGGCGGAGCCAAGTCGGTGGGCCTCTTCTCGGCTGCCAGGATGGCTTCCCGGTGATCGACAGGCAGCGGGGGGTGACTGGCACCAGATGCTTGACTGGCGGCACTGGGAGGCCGGCGGGAATTTGGCGTTGTCGACTTGGCAGACTGAATTTGTGAGAGGCGAGGTCGTATCGGAGCCTTGGGTGTCACGTAAGGGGATGCAGAAGTTGTAGTAACTGAGGCAATCTCGCGTGAGTTGTCAGTCACCTGGCTGTCAGAAGATAGCGGGCGTGCAGACACACGATCCATAAGAATTTGATCTATCTGCTTGGAAGATAAAATAGTCTGGGATCCTTGGTCCATGCTCACTGAACTAGATTGCTGTCTAGCAGAGCGAGCAAGGGCATTGCCAGAGATATCGTTCAAGGCAAGTCCAGTGCCAACGAGCTGATCACTATTAGCTGTACTGGTACGGCTACGAGTAGCGTCAGTAGGCTGATCTTCGTGGACAATTACAGCGGCCCCTACGGCCTTTGACTCAGTCGACTCGGTTTGGGTAGATAAATCTGACACCGTAGGGACGACAAATGGCATGGACTTCGCTGGATGAGTCTCCACGGAGCGCACAGAGGAGAATGACAATGGCGGCGTGGGCACAAGGCGGGGCTTTGGAATAACAGGCTCCGTGTATGCTGGATCGAGGGTAGAGATCGTCAAATTCGGTACCTCACGTTCACGCTCAACGTGTTTGATCACATCGACGTATTGAATGACAGGTGGTTCCGGTTCGGGAACAATTGCTTTGATTGGTTTCGTGGTTTGAGTTGTGATCGGAGAGAAAGTCAATTCGGGCACCTCACGCTCACGCTCAACGTGCTTGATAACATCAACGTATTGGATCACAGGTGGTTCCGGTTCAGGAACCGTCGCTTTGACGGGCGTAGTGGCTTGAGTGGTGATCGAAGACAAAGTCAATTCGGGTACCTCAACCTCACGCTCGACGTGTTTGATAACATCAACGTATTCGATCACAGGCTCTGCTTTGGCTATGGTTGCCTGTACAGGGGCAGTGGAATGGTTGCTGATGGAAGAGAACGTCAACTCAGGCACCTCGCGCTCACGCTCAACGTGCTTGATAACGTCAACGTATTCGATGATCGGCACCGGTTTAGCAAGAGTTGCGTGCACAGGCGCAGTGGACTGCGTGGTGATAGAAGAGAAACTTGACTCTGGCACTTCACGCTCACGTTCAACGTGCTTAATGACATCAATGTATTGAATGACAGGCGGTTGCGGCTCAGGAACAGTTGCTTCGACTGGCTCTGTGGTTTGAGTGGTGATGGAAGAAAAGGTCAATTCGGGCACCTCAACCTCACGTTCGACGTGTTTGATCACGTCGACGTACTTGACGATAGGCTCTGGCACAGCAAGAGTTGCCTGCACAGGGACAGTTGATTGATTATTGATGGAAGAGAATGTCAACTCGGGGATCTCACGCTCGCGCTCGATGTGTTTAATTACGTCGACGTATTTG